CAGCCTTTCTCCAAGATGGCGCCAAAGCAGTGGTGACGGAGGAACGAGGCAGCACGCCAGGCCAGCAAGAGAGCACGGCACAGGGGGTTCGGAGTTCCCCCATGCATGACAGACATACCCCGCTCCCGCGCCCAAGTACGTACGTGGGAGACCCGTGGGGAGGCAAGCGAGCTACCTGGGAGGCGCTCAGGGCTTTGGAAGAGACTTCTATGGCCTTGTGAGTGGCTGTCTCCGCTGCGTACTCTGGGAGGGCGGGGAAGGTGGGAGAGTGTGGGGAGGTGCGGAGGGTGCGGGGAGGTGGGGTGGGGAGGGTGAGGGGAGGTGGGAAAGCGGTAGAGAGATGAAACTCAGACTTCTATCGCCTTGTGAGTGGCCGACTCTGCTGCCAGTGTAGTCTGTGCCAGTTGTGCCATGGGTTGGGGGAGGAAGTGGGCGGGGGAGGAAGTGGGGGGAAGCATGGAAAGGTGGGAAAGAGGTGGACCATTGAAGTTCGGACTTTAATGGCCTTGTGAATGGCCGACTCTGCTGCCTGGACTGTGAAAGGAACCTGCGAGAGGGGGAGAGAGAGGGAGAGGGGGAGAGGGAGAGGGGGAAGAGATGTGGCAGGAAAAGGGAGGGGGAAAAGTGGGGAAGGGGAGAAAGAGCGAGAGGGGGAATGTGAGGGAGGGAAGAAATGGAGGGGAAGAAATGGAGGGGGGAATGAGAGCGGGGGAATGAGAGCGGGGGACAGACATTGCCTAACAGAGTGCCTTACCTCCTGCACTTGCGTAGCCTGCCTTACTGGGGTCCCCGTTATAAGTGATGGGTGAAATGCTGTCAATGCATTACTAACCTCCTGCACTGGCGAAGGATGCTTTATTGAGGTCCTCGTTAAAGGTGCTGGGGATGACGTCAACAGTAAGGCCCTGGGAAAGAGGAGAGACGGAGGTGGGGATGCGGAATATGAAGGTTAGAGCAGGGGAGAGGTGGAGGGGGGAGAGGTGGATGGGGAGAGGTGGATGGGGAGAGGTGGATGGGGAGAGGTGGATGGGAGAGAGGTGGATGGGGAGAGGTGGATGGGGAGAGGTGGATGGGGAGAGGTGGATGGGGAGAGGTGGATGGGGAGTGGTGGATGGGGAGAGGTGGATGGGGAGAGGTGGATGGGAGAGAGGTGGATGGGGGAGAGGTGGATGGGAGAGAGGTGGATGGGGGAGAGGTGGATGGGAGAGAGGTGGATGGGGGAGAGGTGGATGGGAGAGAGGTGGATGGGGGAGAGGTGGATGGAGAGAGGTGGATGGGGGAGAGGTGGATGGGAGAGAGGTGGATGGGGGAGAGGTGGATGGGAGAGAGGTGGATGGGGGAGAGGTGGATGGGAGAGAGGTGGATGGGGGAGAGGTGGATGGGAGAGAGGTGGATGGGGGAGAGGTGGATGGGAGAGAGGTGGATGGGGGAGAGGTGGATGGGAGAGAGGTGGATGGGGAGAGGTGGATGGGAGAGAGGTGGATGGGGGAGAGGTGGATGGGAGAGATGTGGATGGGGGAGAGGTGGATGGGAGAGATGTGGATGGGGGAGAGGTGGATGGGAGAGAGGTGGATGGGGGAGAGGTGGATGGGAGAGAGGTGGATGGGGGAGAGGTGGATGGGAGAGAGGTGGATGGGGGAGAGGTGGATGGAAGAGAGGTGGATGGGAGAGAGGTGGATGGGGAGAGGTGGATGGGAGAGAGGTGGATGGGAGAGAGGTGGATGGGGAGAGGTGGATGGCTTTTGAGACGACTCAAGAGTCATCGCGTTACGAGATGGCGCCAAAGCAGTGCTCGCTGGGAAGGTGGTGGGGATGCGGAATATGAGAGTTACAGCAGGGGAGAGGTGGATGGGTGGATGGGGAGAGGTGGATGGGTGGATGGGTGGATGGGGAGAGGTGGATGGGTGGATGGGGAGAGGCGGATGGGTGGATGGGAGAGGCGGATGGGTGGATGGGGAGAGGCGGATGGGTGGATGGGGAGAGGCGGATGGGAGAGAGGTGGATGGGAGAGAGGTGGATGGGGAGAGGTGGATGGCTTTTGAGACGACTCAAGAGTCATCGCGTTACGAGATGGCGCCAAAGCAGTGCTCGCTGGGAAGGTGGTGGGGATGCGGAATATGAGAGTTACAGCAGGGAGAGGTGGATGGGTGGATGGGGAGAGGTGGATGGGTGGATGGGGAGAGGCGGATGGGTGGATGGGGAGAGGCGGATGGGTGGATGGGAGAGGCGGATGGGTGGATGGGGAGAGGCGGATGGGTGGATGGGGAGAGGTGGATGGGTGGATGGGGAGAGGCGGATGGGTGGATGGGGAGAGGCGGATGGGTGGATGGGGAGAGGCGGATGGGTGGATGGGGAGAGGCGGATGGGTGGATGGGGAGAGGCGGATGGGTGGATGGGGAGAGGTGGATGGGTGGATGGGGAGAGGCGGATGGGTGGATGGGGAGAGGTGGATGGGTGGATGGGAAGTGGCGGATGGGTGGATGGGGAGAGGCGGATGGGTGGATGGGGAGAGGCGGATGGGTGGATGGGGAGAGGCGGATGGGTGGATGGGGAGAGGCGGATGGGTGGATGGGGAGAGGCGGATGGGTGGATGGGGAGAGGCGGATGGGTGGATGGGGCGAGGCGGATGGGTGGATGGGGAGAGGCGGATGGGTGGATGGGGAGAGGCGGATGGGTGGATGGGGAGAGGTGGATGGGTGGATGGGGAGAGGCGGATGGGTGGATGGGGAGAGGCGGATGGGTGGATGGGGAGAGGCGGATGGGTGGATGGGGAGAGGCGGATGGGTGGATGGGAGAGGCGGATGGGTGGATGGGGAGAGGCGGATGGGTGGATGGGGAGAGGCGGATGGGTGGATGGGGAGAGGCGGATGGGTGGATGGGGAGAGGCGGATGGGTGGATGGGGCGAGGCGGATGGGTGGATGGGGAGAGGCGGATGGGTGGATGGGGAGAGGCGGATGGGTGGATGGGGAGAGGTGGATGGGTGGATGGGGAGAGGCGGATGGGTGGATGGGGAGAGGCGGATGGGTGGATGGGGAGAGGTGGATGGGTGGATGGGGAGAGGCGGATGGGTGGATGGGGAGAGGTGGATGGGAGAGAGGTGGATGGGGAGAGGTGGATGGCTTTTGAGACGACTCAAGAGTCATCGCGTTACGAGATGGCGCCAAAGCAGTGCTCGCTGGGAAGGTGGTGGGGATGCGGAATATGAGAGTTACAGCAGGGGAGAGGTGGATGGGTGGATGGGGAGAGGTGGATGGGTGGATGGGGAGAGGCGGATGGGTGGATGGGGAGAGGCGGATGGGTGGATGGGGAGAGGCGGATGGGTGGATGGGGAGAGGCGGATGGGTGGATGGGGAGAGGCGGATGGGTGGATGGGGAGAGGCGGATGGGTGGATGGGGAGAGGCGGATGGGTGGATGGGGAGAGGCGGATGGGTGGATGGGGCGAGGCGGATGGGTGGATGGGGAGAGGCGGATGGGTGGATGGGGAGAGGCGGATGGGTGGATGGGGAGAGGCGGATGGGTGGATGGGGAGAGGCGGATGGGTGGATGGGGAGAGGCGGATGGGTGGATGGGGAGAGGCGGATGGGTGGATGGGGAGAGGCGGATGGGTGGATGGGGAGAGGCGGATGGGTGGATGGGGAGAGGTGGATGGGTGGATGGGGAGAGGCGGATGGGTGGATGGGGAGAGGCGGATGGGTGGATGGGGAGAGGCGGATGGGTGGATGGGGAGAGGCGGATGGGTGGATGGGGAGAGGCGGATGGGTGGATGGGGAGAGGTGGATGGGTGGATGGGGAGAGGCGGATGGGTGGATGGGGAGAGGTGGATGGGTGGATGGGGAGAGGCGGATGGGTGGATGGGGAGAGGCGGATGGGTGGATGGGGAGAGGCGGATGGGTGGATGGGGAGAGGCGGATGGGTGGATGGGGAGAGGCGGATGGGTGGATGGGGAGAGGCGGAAGGGTGGATGGGGAGAGGCGGATGGGTGGATGGGGAGAGGCGGATGGGTGGATGGGGCGAGGCGGATGGGTGGATGGGGAGAGGCGGATGGGTGGATGGGGAGAGGCGGATGGGTGGATGGGGAGAGGTGGATGGGTGGATGGGGAGAGGCGGATGGGTGGATGGGGAGAGGCGGATGGGTGGATGGGGAGAGGCGGATGGGTGGATGGGGAGAGGCGGATGGGTGGATGGGGAGAGGCGGATGGGTGGATGGGGAGAGGTGGATGGGTGGATGGGGAGAGGCGGATGGGTGGATGGGGAGAGGCGGATGGGTGGATGGGGAGAGGTGGATGGGTGGATGGGGAGAGGCGGATGGGTGGATGGGGAGAGGTGGATGGGTGGATGGGGGAAGAGGCGGAATGGGTGGATGGGGAGAGGTGGATGGGTGGATGGGGAGAGGCGGATGGGTGGATGGGGAGAGAGGGTGGGATGGTGGATGGGGAGAGGGCGGGATGGGTGGATGGGGAGAGGCGGATGGGTGGATGGGGAGAGGCGGGATGGGTGGATGGGGAGAGGCGGATGGGTGGATGGGGGAGAGGCGGATGGGGGAGAGGTGGAGAGAGGGTATGGGAGGGAGAGATGAGGATGACGTCAGCAGACAGGCTCAATGGAACATGTGGGCGGCGGAGGTAAGGGAGGATTTGTCTGTCCCCGCTAATAGCCTGATCCGATACTAGCAGCGGAGCCTATATACTACTAGCAGCCCTACCTACCAGACCGGATAGCAATTCGCGTCGCCTTGGGGATGCCGAAGCGAGAACGATCCGGCGCTTCGACAGTGCTGCCACGTGTTGGATGAACATTGGTCCACGCTTATTCCCTGTTCGCGGACCAAGCTTTCTTTCGCCTTCACCGCTTCAACGAAACTCTTAAGGCTATCGGCCGTTCCCTGACCGTCGCTCGCTGGACGACGCGAACACGCGAGCTGACTTCGAGGTGCATATAAAAGGCAACCGGAATTAGTTTGAGGCGCGTCTAGCGACAGGCGAACTGATTCGCGGCGTGCGGAGCAAAGCTGCAGATGTCGCAGAGTCGTCGCTAGAATACGTCTTGCGACGATCGTGACGGATCACGGGTGCCGCGGCGAGCTAAGGCAGTGGCGACGCGCATAAAACTGGGAGCTCGGGGGAGGAGGATAGATGAATGCGAAAATGCTGATCGTGGTCGTTATTCTCGCTTTTGACAGATTCAGTTTGTGTCGTGCACAACCTCAAACCTGCACACAGTAAATTTCAGTACACTGCATGCTTCCCTTAATCTAATTTGATATCAACACGCAAAAAGCCCGTAACACCTCTAAACAGATTACATTCGCATAATAAACAATAATGGTAGATTATTCACAATGTACGTTAGAGCATATTCCATGCTGGTGGCATTCACCTGCCCAACATCTACGCACTCCCTACTACTCTTGCCCATTTTTCAGCTCCCCATACTTTGTTTCCGCCTTGCCTTTTCCCCCTTTTTCTTCCCCCCCCCGGCCACCTTCTCTTCGTAGCTTCTGCTTCCCTGTGGGTGTTGTTGACCCTGCAACCACTCTTCCCTGCCCCAATCCCTGAATCGAATCCTTCTGCTCCTTCCCTCTCTGCTGCTTGTCACCAGCACCACCACTCCCCTTCGCACCACCTCCTTCACTTGAAAGTGCTGCCTTGGTAGCACCGTCTTTTTTGGGCTTTCTCAACCTAGCAGCTGCAGCAGGGGTCAGACCCACCCCAGGCCCAGCAGCAGCAGCACCGCCACTCCCCTTGGCAGCTCCACCTCGTTCATGTGACGGTGCTGCTTTGGCGGCACAATCCTTCTTAGGCTTTCTTAGACTAGCAGCTGCAGCAGGGGTCCCAGCCACACCAGCAGCAGCAGCAGCAGCAGCAGCAGCAGCAGCAGCAGCAGCAGCAGGAGCAGACGTGCCAGGTACATCACCTGTGGAAGCACCTTGTGCAGTCATCTTCTTCTGCTGCTGTAATTGCTTGCGGCGCTGCTGCCTCTGCCTTCCGCCATCTCCCTTCTGCTTCTTGATGCTCCCTGCAGCACCCGCAGTAGGAGCAGCACCAGGACTTGTAGCGGCAGCCGCCGCAGCAGCAGCAGCATCGGCAGCAGCAGCGGCGGCAGCAGCTTTGGTGCGTTCGAATCTCTCTGCATGGGTCTCTCCTATCGCCTCCACCTCCCCATCGCTGTTCACCATCACCTTAGACTCGCCCCTCTCGTGCCGCACCGCTGCTGCCACGTGTTTCTGCAGGGGGGAGGGGGCCAGGGGCCCATAGATGAGAGGCGCGGGGGGAATGAAGATATGGATGCAAGTAACGCCAATGCACTCCACCTCCCCATCACTGTTCACCATCACTTTTAACTCGCCCCTCCCATGCCCATGCCACCCCACCGCCCCTGCCACGTGCTTCTGCAGGAAGCAGAGGGAACGGCAGTGCAGCGGTTTGTAGCGGCGTGCGGTGCAGGCAGGTAGGGAGGGATGGGGGAGAGAGAGAGGGAACCAAGCACACGACAAGGAACTTGCTACTAGTGAGCGAAAATGGGGGACAGAAAACAAGGAGGTGGCTCAGCACTCTCATCCATGCAGCCTTGTGGTTTTCCCCTTGACGCCATGCTAGTAAACAAAACGATTTTCCTGTTACTTAGAGGCCAGGTGTTTCTTCCTGTTATCTTGGACGCCAGGTGTTTCTTCATGTTACCTTGGACGCCAGGTGTTTCTTCATGTTACCTTGGACGCCAGGTGTTTCTTCATGTTGTCACTGTTCACACAGAGCACCCGAGGGCACACTCTGCACCGCAGCACACCGCCCCCTCCCCCCCCTCCCTGCCCCACCACTCTTATCACCATCTCCCCTCTGCCCCAAAATCCAAGTCTTTAAATGCATTTCTTTTCTCCCTGCCCCTCCTCTCCTTCGCCTTTGCTTTCCTCTTCCGCTTTTCCCCCTCCCCCCCTCCCTCCCCGTCTTTCTCTCCCTCCACCACTCCCTCTTCTTCCTCATCCCCTCCCCGTCCTCTTCTCCCTCCTCCCCCTCGCTGCTCTCGTCAGTGGTGCTGCCATCACTCTCACTACTCCCAGTCTTCCCCCCCTTCTTCCTCCTCTTCTTCCTCCTCCTCTCCTCCTCTCTCTCCCTCTCCTCCTCTGACACCAGCTCCTCCCACTGAGAAGACACCCCCCCTGCTCCTCCCTCCTCCTCCTCCTCCTCCTCCTCTTCGTCTGTGTCACTCTCACTCGCTCCACTCTCATCACCTTCCCCCTCCCTCTCTCCCCCCTCACTCTCCCCACTCCCCCCTTCGTGCACCTCCTCTTCCTCTGCACACAGGGACACGTGGCAGGGAAGGACAGGCGCAGGCAAGGACAGGGGAAGGCAAGGACAGGGGGAGGCAGACATAGAAGGGGGAAAGGCAGAGGGAGGGTTAGGCAGGGAAATGAGGGGTTACACTCGGGTTACCAATCCAGTCGAAGAGAGTACAGGGGCGATTGAGCTTAGCGAGTCGACACACACGGTAGCTGGGAGACGAAACGCGTGGAGGGTGGAAGGTCGTCGGCGCGAGTTACTTCCGAATTGGCCAAGAAATGCGCCAAGGCGTCGTTCGTTCCCGTGGAGAGGGGCGTCGTCTTTCCGCTGGCACCACCCTCACGCGATTCCTTCCGCCGCATTCGTCGTCGCTGGGCGACGAGGAGCTCCACTCGTCGCTGGACGACGAATGCAGCGGAAGGAGTCGCGCGAAGGTGGTGGCAGCGGAAGGACGACGAGGAACTCGACTCGTCGCTGGAGTCAGCGGGGCCGCCGTCGGCGCGATTCGCCTCATGAGTAACTTCGGCGCGACTCAAGCGTCGCCTGGGTTCGATGACACGTGACAATTTCGCTTCAGTCGCTCACCTGACGACGCGGCGCCGTCGTCGTCGCTCGACGAACTCGATTCGTCGCTGGAGGCAGCCGCGGGGCCATCTTCGGCATGCAGCATGCGATAGTCGCGACGCTTTATCATTGTGACGCTGGCTCGTAGCTGCAGGCGAGTATTGCGCTTCTGATGGTATGATTCTAGCGTAAAGCGAATAGATGGTAGCTGCAGTTGCGACAGATGGTAAATGGTAGTTGCAGATGGTACGGAAGAAAACGCAGTGGTTCTAGCACTAAGTAGGGGGTTAGGTTTTGGGGTTTTATGAAATCCGCAAGAGAAAGAATTCTACGGGGTTTTGCAAAACACTGGAGGGGGCTGTGGAAACTCCCCGCGTTGGCGAATTGTACGTTCGCGCAGGGCGACACCACTTCTCGCCAAGAAAATCAGGTAACCGTGTGGAGTTTGAGTAGCTGAGATGTATTCGAGAGACTTCGGTACCAGAAACATTCGAGACTATGTACAAGATTGATTGATCGGAGTGGATTGGAGTGGTCCAAAAATGTCGTTTTAAAGAAAGTGGAGTGGATACTCTGCTCTCTCCTTTCGACTCGGAGAGGGAGCCTTGTCCCTTCACCTGTTCAATAGTTGACAAAGAGCGGCAAGGCGCCCCTTGGCGACCCAAGGCGCCTTGTACACGCCCTCACCTTCTTTCGCCAAAACTTCGCCAACGGTTTCGTAGAACCCAAGGAAACCTGATCCACTTTCGTGGGATAGCAACCAATCCCGCAGCGGCGCCGTCACTTCATGTCACGGCGGCGTATGATTTGACCGTTCTGAGACCGCCTGATTCCGTAATATCCGGGCGTTTCACCCGTCAGTTTCTGCCACTGCTTTAGCGGCTCGGCAACGTAGGTAGTTAACAACTTCCACCCGCTTTGCACACTTATCAGCCGTAACTACTAGTGTGTGGCTCATAATTACGCCTGCGAATCACGCGGTGATTCGCGAAAACGTTTCGGTAGAGTACATACCGCTCGTTTCCGACATACGGTTTCGTTTCAGGACAGGCGAGGAGTGAGGCGAGGAGTGAGGCGAGGAGTGAGGCGAGGAGTGAGGCGAGGCGAGGAGTGAGGCGAGGAGTGAGGCGAGGAGTGAGGCGAGGAGTGAGGCGAGGAGTGAGGCCCGGGAGTTCCAAACCCGCAATCGTAGTCCTCGATATTATTACTTCCTCCTTCGTCTTCCGTCGTTTAATCAATGGCGGCGAGTGCGAACCCGCCGGTCTTAGACATCACTATTGACCCGGCGAGCCCTTTGGAAGCGAAGGAAACGGCCGTCAGGTACGCTTCAGGTGCTTTCAGGTGCTTTCAGGTGCTTTCAGGTGGCTCCCAGGTGCTTCCAGGCGGAACTCCAGATTCTTCCAGTGCAGAATCAACGTCAACGTCACCGCAGCATGATTTTTTATGCCTTACGTTTCTCCCCCAGGACCATAGCACACAGTCTCATGCCAGCATGGCAGCTGCTACCTTAGCGTGTGTAATGAGTCGATTTTTTAGTCGACTAAAAAATATCCCCCATAACCAAAGCACGCAGTCTCATGCCAGCATGGCAGCTGCTACCTTAGCATGTGGAATGAGTCGATTTTTGAGTCGACTCTTAAATCTCCCCCAGAACCATAGCACGCAGTCTCATGCCAGCATGGCAGCTGCTACCTTAGCGTGTGTAATGAGTCGATTTTTGAGTCGACTAAAAAAATTCCCCCAGAACCATAGCACGCAGTCTCATGCCAGCATGGGCAGCAGTTACCTTAGCGTGTGTAATGAGTCGATTTTTGTGTCGACTCAAAAATCTCCCCCAGAACCATAGTACGCAGTCTCATGCCAGCAGGGCAGCTGCTACCTTAGCGTGTGTAATGAGTCGATTTTTGAGTCGACTCAAAAATCTCCCCCAGAACCATAGCACGCAGTCTCATGCCAGCATGGCAGCAGTTACCTTAGCGTGTGTAATGAGTCGATTTTTGTGTCGACTCAAAAATCTCCCCCAGAACCATAGTACGCAGTCTCATGCCAGCACGGCAGCTGCTACCTTAGCGTGTGTAATGAGTCGATTTTTTAGTCGACTAAAAAATCTCCCCCAGAACCATAGCACGCAATCTCATGCCAGCATGGCAGCTGCTACCTTAGCGTGTGTAATGAGTCGATTTTTTAGTCGACTAAAAAATATCCCCCATAACCAAAGCACGCAGTCTCATGCCAGCATGGCAGCTGCTACCTTAGCGTGTGTAATGAGTCGATTTTTGAGTCGACTCTTAAATCTCCCCCAGAACCATAGCACGCAGTCTCATGCCAGCATGGCAGCAGCTACCTTAGCGTGTGTAATGAGTCGATTTTTGTGTCGACTCAAAAATCTCCCCCAGAACCATAGCACGCAGTCTCATGCCAGCATGGCAGCAGCTACCTTAGCGTGTGTAATGAGTCGATTTTTTAGTCGACGAAAAAATTCCCCCCAGGACCATAGCACGCAGTCTCATGCCAGCATGGCAGCTGCTACCTTAGCGTGTGTAATGAGTCGATTTTTGAGTCGACTCTTAAATCTCCCCCAGAGCCATAGCACGCAGTCTCATGCCAGCATGGCAGCAGCTACCTTAGCGTGTGTAATGAGTCGATTTTTGTGTCGACTCAAAAATCTCCCCCAGAACCATAGCACGCAGTCTCATGCCAGCATGGCAGCAGCTACCTTAGCGTGTGCAATGAGTCGATTTTTTGAGTCGACGAAAAAATTCCCCCCAGGACCATAGCACGCAGTCTCATGCCAGCATGGCAGCTGCTACCTTAACTGTGCACCATTAGTGGCAAGGTGTGACCCCTTATTCCACTTCCCCCACCTCTCTTCTTCTCCCCTTACCTTCTCCCTCCCTCAGGACCATAGCACATGGGCTCGTGCCAGCGTGGCAGAAGCTTGACTTTTGAGTTGACTCAAAAATCACCTCCCTGCCTTCTCCCTCCCGCAGGACCATAGCGCACAGGCTGATGCCAGCGTGGCAGCAGCTGCCAGAGACAGCCTTGCGAGTCTCCACCATCTCAGGCGGCATCACCAACCTTAGTGAGTTTTAGAGCGCCCTTTAACGACAGCTCTACACATTAGAGACGGGTTTGGCAGCCGGCATCGGTACCCTCCTCTCCCCCCCCCCCCCCTTTTGGTGCCAGAGACTAACCTGCGAGTCTCCACCATCTCAGGCGGCATCACCAACCTTATTGAGCTTAGGGACGCCAGTACGTAGCAGCATTTCACCTCTGAATCGGACTTGAATGCAACAGTGAGAACCTCGGTGATGGGTTGAGGGAAGTATGTATCTACACGACGGCAATGGAGCTTGGAGAAGCACTTGAATGCCAGCATCGATGCTCCTCTACCCCTTCCCCTTCCTTCCTTATCCCACCTTTATGCGAGACGTACTCAGAATGCAACATTTATGACCTCCCTTAGTTGAAGGAAGTATCTATCTACACGACGACAATAGAGCTTAGAGACGTCTTTATATGCCAACATAGACGGTGCTCTCTCTGCCATCCCCCCCTCCCCTTTTCCACCTCTCTCCCTGTGTGAAAGATCTCAGTCGTAGACTTGTGGGCGATGATTCCTCCCCCTTTTTGGCTGTAACACCTCTTCTTTTTTGCATTATTCTTTCCGGTGGCAGTATTTAAAGTGCAGCAAGCGAAGGACGAACAGAATAAAAGGGAGGAGCAAAACGGGGAGGCGTCCAAGACAAGTGGCGACAGCGCCCAATCAGAAGCAATCACTGTGCGGATCTACGGGCCAGATACAGACAAAATCATCAACAGAAGCAGAGAATGGGAGGTGAGGTGGTGGCATGGCATGGCATGGCATGGCATGGGCATGTCTGTGTATCTGTGTGAGGGGCTGTTGACTCGATGCCATGCCATGCCACGCCCTGTCATGTGAGTGTTCTTCAGTGTCATGTTCCTCACCCCATCCCATGCGTTTCCACGCCATGCCACACCATGCCACGCCATGCCACACCATGCCACGCCATGCCACGCCATGCCACACCATGCCATGCCATGCCACGCCATGCCACGCCATGCCACGCCATGCTGTGCCATGTCAGGTACTTATGGCACTGGCAACAGCAAACTTCGGCCCTCGCCTGATAGGAGGGTTCACCAACGGCACAGTGCAGACGTACCTACCCGGCCGCACCTTAACCCCACCAGGTATGCTCCCCCAATCAGTCAACCTGGTGCACCTGGTACCTTGTTGTTGTCAACACCAAGATTGGGCCTCGATCGGCCCTTGCCTGATAGGAGGGTTTACCAACGGAACAGCCCAGACGTACCTTCTTGGCTGCACCCTAACCCCACCAGATATGCTCACCATCCACCTGGTATTCTCACGGTGCATCCAGACTCCTCTCAGCCCATCCTTATCGCGCCATAGTTGCGCAATCTGGAGGTTCAAGAGGAGTGCACCCATCCTGATTCCCATACCCATGCGCTTATTCCCATGCCCATGCTTATCCCCATACCCATGCTTATTCCCATACCCATATCTATTCCCATTACCCTGCCTATTCCCATGCCCATACCATACCCATGCCTATTCCGATACGCATGCCATACCCATGCCTATTCCGATACGCATACCATACCCATGCCTATTCCGATGCGCATGCCATACCCATGCCTATTCCGATACGCATACCATACCCATGCCTATTCCGATGCGCATGCCATACCCATGCCTATTCCGATACGCATACCATACCCATGCCTAATCCGATGCGCATGCCATACCCATGCCTATTCCCATGCGCATACCATACCCATGCCTAATCCGATGCGCATGCCATACCCATGCCTATTCCGATGCGCATGCCATACCCATGCCTATTCCGATACGCATACCATACCCATGCCTAATCCGATGCGCATGCCATACCCATGCCTATTCCCATGCGCATACCATACCCATGCCTAATCCGATGCGCATGCCATACCCATGCCTATTCCGATGCGCATGCCATACCCATGCCTATTCCGATACGCATACCATACCCATGCCTAATCCGATGCGCATGCCATACCCATGCCTATTCCCATGCGCATACCATACCCATGCCTAATCCGATGCGCATGCCATACCCATGCCTATTCCGATGCGCATGCCATACCCATGCCTATTCCGATACGCATACCATACCCATGCCTAATCCGATGCGCATGCCATACCCATGCCTATTCCCATGCGCATACCATACCCATGCCTAATCCGATGCGCATGCCATACCCATGCCTATTCCGATGCGCATGCCATACCCATGCCTATTCCGATACGCATACCATACCCATGCCTAATCCGATGCGCATGCCATACCCATGCCTATTCCCATGCGCATACCATACCCATGCCTAATCCGATGCGCATGCCATACCCATGCCTATTCCGATGCGCATGCCATACCCATGCCTATTCCGATACGCATACCATACCCATGCCTAATCCGATGCGCATGCCATACCCATGCCTATTCCCATGCGCATACCATACCCATGCCTAATCCGATGCGCATGCCATACCCATGCCTATTCCGATGCGCATGCCATACCCATGCCTATTCCGATACGCATACCATACCCATGCCTAATCCGATGCGCATGCCATACCCATGCCTATTCCCATGCGCATACCATACCCATGCCTAATCCGATGCGCATGCCATACCCATGCCTATTCCGATGCGCATGCCATACCCATGCCTATTCCGATACGCATACCATACCCATGCCTAATCCGATGCGCATGCCATACCCATGCCTATTCCCATGCGCATACCATACCCATGCCTAATCCGATGCGCATGCCATACCCATGCCTATTCCGATGCGCATGCCATACCCATGCCTATTCCGATACGCATACCATACCCATGCCTAATCCGATGCGCATGCCATACCCATGCCTATTCCCATGCGCATACCATACCCATGCCTAATCCGATGCGCATGCCATACCCATGCCTATTCCGATGCGCATGCCATACCCATGCCTATTCCGATACGCATACCATACCCATGCCTAATCCGATGCGCATGCCATACCCATGCCTATTCCCATGCGCATACCATACCCATGCCTAATCCGATGCGCATGCCATACCCATGCCTATTCCGATGCGCATGCCATACCCATGCCTATTCCGATACGCATACCATACCCATGCCTAATCCGATGCGCATGCCATACCCATGCCTATTCCCATGCGCATACCATACCCATGCCTAATCCGATGCGCATGCCATACCCATGCCTATTCCGATACGCATACCATACCCATGCCTAATCCGATGCGCATGCCATACCCATGCCTATTCCCATGCGCATACCATACCCATGCCTAATCCGATGCGCATGCCATACCCATGCCTATTCCGATGCGCATGCCATACCCATGCCTATTCCGATACGCATACCATACCCATGCCTAATCCGATGCGCATGCCATACCCATGCCTATTCCCATGCGCATACCATACCCATGCCTATCCGATGCGCATGCCATACCCATGCCTATTCCGATGCGCATGCCATACCCATGCCTATTCCGATACGCATACCATACCCATGCCTAATCCGATGCGCATGCCATACCCATGCCTATTCCCATGCGCATACCATACCCATGCCTAATCCGATGCGCATGCCATACCCATGCCTATTCCGATGCGCATGCCATACCCATGCCTATTCCGATACGCATACCATACCCATGCCTAATCCGATGCGCATGCCATACCCATGCCTATTCCCATGCGCATACCATACCCATGCCTAATCCGATGCGCATGCCATACCCATGCCTATTCCGATGCGCATGCCATACCCATGCCTATTCCGATACGCATACCATACCCATGCCTAATCCGATGCGCATGCCATACCCATGCCTATTCCCATGCGCATACCATACCCATGCCTAATCCGATGCGCATGCCATACCCATGCCTATTCCGATGCGCATGCCATACCCATGCCTATTCCGATACGCATACCATACCCATGCCTAATCCGATGCGCATGCCATACCCATGCCTATTCCCATGCGCATACCATACCCATGCCTAATCCGATGCGCATGCCATACCCATGCCTATTCCGATGCGCATGCCATACCCATGCCTATTCCGATACGCATACCATACCCATGCCTAATCCGATGCGCATGCCATACCCATGCCTATTCCCATGCGCATACCATACCCATGCCTAATCCGATGCGCATGCCATACCCATGCCTATTCCGATGCGCATGCCATACCCATGCCTATTCCGATACGCATACCATACCCATGCCTAATCCGATGCGCATGCCATACCCATGCCTATTCCCATGCGCATACCATACCCATGCCTAATCCGATGCGCATGCCATACCCATGCCTATTCCGATGCGCATGCCATACCCATGCCTATTCCGATACGCATACCATACCCATGCCTAATCCGATGCGCATGCCATACCCATGCCTATTCCCATGCGCATACCATACCCATGCCTAATCCGATGCGCATGCCATACCCATGCCTATTCCGATGCGCATGCCATACCCATGCCTATTCCGATACGCATACCATACCCATGCCTAATCCGATGCGCATGCCATACCCCATGCCTATTCCCATGCGCATACCATACCCATCATCCATGCGCCTACCCTCCTTCCGATGCGCATGCCATACCCATGCCTATTCCGATACGCATACCATACCCATGCCTAATCCGATGCGCATGCCATACCCATGCCTATTCCCATGCGCATACCATACCCATGCCTAATCCGATGCGCATGCCATACCCATGCCTATTCCGATGCGCATGCCATACCCATGCCTATTCCGATACGCATACCATACCCATGCCTAATCCGATGCGCATGCCATACCCATGCCTATTCCCATGCGCATACCATACCCATGCCTAATCCGATGCGCATGCCATACCCATGCCTATTCCGATGCGCATGCCATACCCATGCCTATTCCGATACGCATACCATACCCATGCCTAATCCGATGCGCATGCCATACCCATGCCTATTCCCATGCGCATACCATACCCATGCCTAATCCGATGCGCATGCCATACCCATGCCTATTCCGATGCGCATGCCATACCCATGCCTATTCCGATACGCATACCATACCCATGCCTAATCCGATGCGCATGCCATACCCATGCCTATTCCCATGCGCATACCATACCCATGCCTAATCCGATGCGCATGCCATACCCATGCCTATTCCGATGCGCATGCCATACCCATGCCTATTCCGATACGCATACCATACCCATGCCTAATCCGATGCGCATGCCATGCCTTTATCCCCTGTTTCACTGTTGCAGAGATGTGCGCCCCGCCACTGATGATTTTTGAGTCGACTCAAAAATCACCTTTATCCCCTGTTTCAAAAATCACCTTTATCCCCTGTTTCGCTGTTGCAGAGATGTGCGCCCCGCCACTGGCGCACCTGATAGCAGCGCAGCTGCACCGCCTGCACCATTTGGAGGTGCCTTTGGGGTCGGACGAGGAGAGGAGCGAGGGGCACCTGTGGCATGCCTTGTTGGGCATGCTGGAAACTGGTAGGTGCTTTGATAGCGCTGAGTGCTTTGATACCGCTGGGTGCTTTGATAGCGCTGGGTGCTTTGATAGCGCTGGGTGCTTTGATAGCACCATTTGAAGGTGCCACTGGGGTGGGAGGGGGAGAGAGAGGAGGGGCACCTGTGGCAATGCGGAATAGTGGTGGGTGCTTGAGGGTTTGATGTGTAAGTCAGCTCTGGGCTAGTGTGTGTACTGCCTATGTTCCATCTGCCCTAAGCGATCTACCCTCATCACATTATCATCAGCATCATCATCATCTGTGTTGTGCTTGCTTCTGTTGCCACTCAACCAGCAAGCATTCCCCGCTGTGTCTCGCTGCCGTTTTGTGCTCGTTATTGTCTGCCCCCGCTCCCCGTCAGAGCGCCTTCAGCTGAGAAGCTGCATTTTGACGACAAGAAACTGCAGACTCGCTTTGACTCCATTGACTTTGCAAAGCTGCGACGCGAGATACGCGAAGCCAAGGTGTGTGCCCACAGGTGCATGCGAGTAGCAGAGATGTGCAACGGTCCACATGAGCCATACACTTCCCCAAGCTGCGGGGCGAGACACGCGAAGCCAAGGTGTGTGCCCACAGATGCATGTGAGTAGCAGAGATGTGCAACGGTCCACATGAGCCATACACTTCCCCAAGCTGCGGCGCGAGATACGCGAAGCCAAGGTGTGTGCCCACTGGTGCATGCAAGTAGCAAAGGTGCACATCGATGCGAGAAACTGCAGGCTCGCTGTGACTCCATTGACTTGGTGAAAGATGCAGCGTGAGATACTGGAAGCAAAGGTTGGTCACTGCCCTGTGTTTATAACCTCGGTGCATTTTTGTCATTCTTTGTCGTGATTTGGGCATACGAGCCGTGCACTCCCATGCATGTGCCGTTTGGATCGAACTCAAAAGTCGATTCGCGCGTATGATTCTTGCATTCCCATGCATGCATGTGCATTCCTAGGCCTTGCAGGAGTTGACTGGCCGCCTGCCCTCATGCATCGTCTTTGCGCACAATGACCTTGTTGTTATGCATGCATGCACCCATCATACCACTCACCCAAACCGCACACCCATGCCACTCACCAACACCACTAACATGCTCCTCACCCATGCCCGCCAGGAGTTGACTGACCGCCTGCACTCGCCCATCGTCTTTGCCCACAATGACCTCCTTGCTTACAACCTGCTGCTGGATGACTCGCAACCAGGTAACCCTTGGTAACACTTGGTAACCCTTGGTAACCCTTGGTAACACTTGGTAACCCTTGGTAACCCCTGGTAACCCTTGGTAACATTTGGTAACCCCTGGTAACCCTTGGTAACACTTGGTAACCCCTGGTAACCCTTGTTAACACTTGGTAACCCCTGGTAACCCTTGGTAACACTTGGTAACATTTGCTTTTCCCTGGTAACCCTTGGTAGCACTTGGTAACACTTGGTAACACGTGTTAACACGTGGTAACACTTGGTAGCACCTATCACCTGCTGGTAGGTTCTGCCAGTTGCCTTTGCTCACAATGGTCTCCTTGCTTTCGACCTGCTGCTGGATGACTCGCAACCAGGTAGCAAGAGAGCATCTGGTAACATGAGTTGTATGCTGGTAGGCTTCGCATACTACTTGCTCACAACGGTCTCCTTGCTGAGGACCTGCTGCTGGATGAAGCACAACCAAGTAAGGCGTGGTGGTAACATGTGGTAACCAGGTAACACTTGGGCTCATCTGGCCACGTCTGAAGACTGCTGGTAGGTTCTGCCCGTTGCCTTTGCCCACAACGACCTCCTTGCTTATTACCTGCTGCTGGATGACTCGCAACCAGGTGAGGCATGTGGCATGCTGGTAGCGTCTGCTACATATGCGGGCAGCATCTGTTATAATGCTGATAATAGACATGGTTGAAGTGCGATGCAATAATATATCGCATCGCACTGGCTGCGATAGCGATCAATATCGCGCGATTGCGATATAAATCTTGGAAACCCGATATCGCATATCGCATTTCAGGTGCGATATATGACTATATCGCATTTGAAAATGCGATATATCGCGCGATGGGATAGAATATCGCATCGCGTTTAGGGGCCACTGTTTTCCTGCCCTAATAAAACGTGTTCCCACACCACTCCACAGGGCACGACAATGGCGGCTCTCCTAGGTTCGCGCGGAATTAGGGAAGTGAATTGACGGGCGATGGGAATTTCGTGTTAGAGGGGAAGGGTTGGATTCTGTAGATGCAGGGGAGTTTAGTGCGGTTGAAGTGGTGGAAATTGGTTGGAGTTCCAACCAATTGACTTTGGGGGTCGAAATTTCAGTCCAACCCCCTAAATCCCTTCAACCGCATACCACCACATCCCATCCAAAAAACCCACGCACATCCCATCCAGAAAACCCACTCGCCCACCGCCCACCCCACCACCACCCATAACAAATTTGAACCTCCACCCAACTCCCCTCCCTCAACCGCACTGCACTCCTTCCCATCTAGAATTTCCAACCCTCCCTCTAATGTGCTCCAAGCTCTGCTCCTCACACAAACACCTCCCCCCAAACTGTCGCTTGCCATTTCCGCGCGCCATTTCAGTAAGAGAAACCTAGACTAGCTTACCCTTATCTATTTTCGCTAAGTTCACGGCTCGCGCCCATCTCTCCCCCCCCCCTTGACAGTATCATTCCAATGTTGACAGCTTTACCATTCCATGATGGAAATTTACTATTCTAGTGTTGCCAGCTTGCATTCCAATGTTGACATTCCGCTTTCATGCGCATGCGCCTTTTAAAGTGAGGGTCTCGAGAAGCAGAAAACCAAATCCAAAGGTTTTGGTTTTGGGTTGACGAACTTTGCGAAACAGTTACAGCGCCCAGCCAGCACCCCTTACCACTCCTCGCAATTTTCGAGACCCCCCGAAACCAAAACCTTTGGGTTTGGTTTTTTGCTTCTTGAGACCCTCGCTTTAAGCACATGATTGACTTTGAGTATGTGGCATACAACCCCCGCAGCTACGACCTTGCAAAGCCCTGCCTTCGCCCCAATGTCACAATCTCTCCCCTGTCCCCCCCTCCTTCCCCACCTCCCCTCCCCCCACCTCCCCCACCTCCTGCCTCCCCCACCTGCAGGGCCCCCCGTGATGCACATGATAGACTTTGAGTACGCAGCTTACAACCCCCGGGGCTACGACATTGCGAACCACTTCTGCGAATATGCTGGCTTCGAGTGCGAGTATTCACGGTGGGACTATTGAAGGTGTGCTTATTCACGGCGGGAGAATTCACCGTGTGATTATTCGAAGTGCGCTATTGAAGGTGTGATTATTGCCGATGTGAATTGGTTCCGTTCAAGCAAGTACTCCTAACGCCAACTGTCAATCTCGAAGCCCCAGCCAGCATGTCGCTCCCTGATTGGCTCCTCCAATTCCCTCCAATTCTCTCCTCTTCTCTCATTGGTCCTTTGTATTAGATAGTGTAGGGTACAGGCAAGGCAGCGGACAGCGCACAAAAGGTGAGGCCTAACAACCCAGGCTAGGGGAGCCTTAGGGTCCCTGAACACTGGTTCTAACACATGCAGCAAGTCCCCCATGGGGAGCGGAGCCGCTGGCTCGCCCCAAGGCTGCTCCTCCGCGGCGAGAGCCTCGTTGATCTTTGTGTTGAGGGCCACGGCTTGGCCCCGCTGTAGAGTCACCGACCAGCGCTGGCGGTACTCATGGAACAGCTTCGCGGCTTCCCGCGAGGTGGGGGCCACCTGGTGGTGCTTGCGAGCCGCCAACTCGGTGCACTGCTTGATAAAGCCAAAGACGCCGGGAGAAGAGCAGCCATACGTCTCTGCCGCCATCGCAAAAAAGCCAACCCACTCCGCCCGAGCTGGTGGGCGGTACTTGCTTTCCTTGCCCCGGGCTGCTATCCTAGCTGCCCAGCCAGTCCCCTTGCGAGCCAATGGGTTGACTTTGGAGATGGGATCGGTCAGAGTCTGGGTGGCGGATGGCTACGTCCGCCCAGAGATTGGAGACCCGCGTGAAGAGATTGGTCTCCTTCCGCGTAATGAACCCTGCCTCGATGGCGATCCGCGCGCATTCATCCCGCAGGGCGTGATGTGCACCCGTCCGACCCGGCCCCTTAGCGCACCTCAGGAGGTGGTTGGGTAGACGGGGATCGTCGATGTCGGTACGGTCGGCACAGTCACAGATGCCCGGGGTGGAGTGGGGGAGCCCTAGGCGAAAAGCCACGGCGGTGGAGACGTGGTCAGGGCTGAGGCAGAGGGAGGACGAGAAGGGGATGGCGTGCACCCAGTCGCCAGCCCCCAGAACCAGGAGCGAGAGCAGGCGCTGCGTGTGCCCCTGGAGCGGGTTGAGCGGCATGCGGCGAGCGTGGTCCAGCTGAAGCGTGAAACGCTCCGCCTGCACCTTCAGCGCCAGCGCCCGCTGAAGCTTAGGCAGGTCTGGAGAGGCGCGCTCCTTGCGCAGAAGCTCCGCCGCAGAAGGCGGTAGGGAGTTCTCGAGGATGGCGAGGCGGCGGGGGAAGGGCGTGGGGCCAGCGGTATCGGGGGTGAACTGCCCCAGCAGGTCGGAGACAGCCCTGGGCAGCGACGTGAGGCTCCCCAGGAGATGGGCGGTGGCGGCGACAGAGGTCAGGTAGATCGGCACTGCCTCCGCAACAGGGTTGGTGATGCCGAGCCCGCCGAGAGTGGTCGGGAGGGACGCCTGGTCCCACACGCGCCTGCGCTCGTGGCGACCTCGCGGCAGGGTCAGACGGCTCGCCGACAGGGCCGCGTGAAAGAGGCCTTCCCCCCAAGCATCCCACTCGTCCAGGGGAGGCAGCTTGAGCAGTATGGAGAGCAACAGGTAGGCCACACGGTGGGAGACGCAGCGGATGAGAAGCTGCAGGGACAGCTGGGGGTCCATGACCGCAAGCAGCGGCAGCGAAGCAGTGGCAGACGAGATGCGGGCTCGGAGGGCGGCAAAGCAGGCGGAAGGCGGGCCCACGGGGCTCCCCAGAACCTTGAGCCCAGCGGTGCTCATGGTGATGCTGGCGGGAAGCTCCGTGTCAGAGCTAAGTGCAGGGCCCCACGCGTCGCACTTCGGGGGGTTGTGGCGGAGCCCGCACCCCGCAATGGCGGCGGTGAGGTGATCGAAGGCGGCGGAGCAGGCAGCCGGCGGACCCAGCAACATGACGTCGTCGGCGTAGGCAAGAACAACGACGTCGGGGAAAGCCACTGCCCTCTGATGCCAATGCCCGTCTGGGTACGGCTGTCCCCGAAACGGGGCATGCGCTTCAACGGTGATCGGTGCGGGGTTTTAGCGGAGCACCGCACATGCTGGGTACTGCCAGCCCGGACCGCCTACCCTCCGCAACACGGGTGAAGCCGTGGGCGCTAGGGGGTCTCCCCCAAAAGCTCGCAGGTGGATCGGCGTGGGAAAGGGGGCCTGGTTTCCTCATGGGATCTCCTTAAAGCCAAAAAAAAAAAAAAAAAAAAAACTGCCGTGTTGGCGAGGCTGGGATGAAGGCCGGCGGCGAAGAGTAGGGGGCCCATAGGGTCGCCTTGGCGCACGCCGCGCGCGCTGGTCAGAGGCCCCTCCACGAAGCCATGGTCGATGCAGAGGGTGGAGGGCGCGTGGTAGGAGAGGCGGACAAAGGGGATCAGGAACTCGAGTTCCGTCACCCGAAGGCCCTCAAAGACCGCCACGGGCTCGATCGCGTTGAACGCATTGGCGACGTCAATTTGCAGCGCGATGTGACTGGTGTGCGTGTCGAGGTAGACGCGGGTGACGTGGATGATGACCCCCGCGCCCCCAGGGATGGCGACGCCAAACTGAATCGGCGCGAAGTGGAGGCGGGTGGGGGCAGTAGCAAGGAACAAGGCAGCCTTGGCGATGATGCGGTGCAGGCATTCGCCGACGGCGATGGGGCGAGTGCCATCGCCAGGTTTGGAAAAGGCGAGCTGCCGCGACGTCATGAGAAGGGAAATGGCTTCAGGACCGAGCTTGCCGGCGAGGGCCGTGTTGGTGAGCGCGTAAAGATGCTGGCAGATGTCGGTATTGGTGAGGGCCGCGTCGCACAAGAGCTCGAAGGTGGTCCCCGAGGGACCGGTTCCTACGCCATTAGGAAGGTGGGACAAGAGACGGCGAAAGTGTTTGGCGCTGATAGAGGGGTTCCGCTCCAAGGTGTGTGAGAGAACCCAATTAGGGATGGCGAGGGAGGCGAGAGGGTGGCGTGAGTGGAGAGCGGCGAGAGTCTCTCCGGAGGAAGGGCTGATTGGTGTCGCTTCGAGGGCCTGGAGAGCCTTGCCAAGGTTCCCACGCTTGGCCAGGCCTTCAGCCCGAGCGATCAGGCCCGTATTGTCAGGAGCGTGGCACGGGGGATGGGGAAGATCGACGGCAGCCACAGCTTCGGTGAATAGGCTGGCCAGGAACCCCGCCGGAAAACCTCCAGACGCTTCTGGACGGCGTCCCAATCGGGTTTGCGGGTGGTGCCAATGCGGAGGGTCAGACATGGCAGGAAGAACAGAAGCCTCCACACTGGCGGAGATTCTGGATCGTCAGCCAATCGGAGGAGGGGGTTGAGCACACATGCGGCAAACTCGTCAAGGGTGGCTGGCGAATGTCGCGTAGGATGGACAGATCCCAATCCGAAATGTCAGCTAATAAGCCATCCCGAGCCGCGAGCACAGCTGGCGAAAGGAAATCCTCGCGCAGCTGGCGAAAGGAAATTTTCGCCACTGGTTGGGCGCTGGTTCGGGGCGGCTCGGGAGCGTTGGGACAGGATCTGGGAACACCCCCACTCTCCGCACCAACGTCCTCCCCAGTCCTTGAATCCGAAACCCCATCACCCGAATGGGTATAACTGGGGTCACCCTCCACATCCTCTCTAGCAACTCGAGCACTCGTCGCCTCTCATGGCTCAGCACCACCCGCTGCTTCCAAGCTAGCCAGCCGCCGACAAACAGCCTGCACGTAGGATCCTGCCACGCCGACATTCCCCGCTCGCCCTCCGCGTCCGCGTCGTCCTCTGCCACGATCGCCAAGAAGCGTCCGTCCCGCCGCGCGAAACTGGGCCTACATCTGTGGGCTCCACCAACCCGCTCCCCCCAACGATGCCGTCCTTGCACTACCGTGGGCATGGGCGCTCGCCGGAGCGAGTGTATGGTCGGCACCGGACGCCGGACCGCTGGCCGCCGTCCTCCCGCGAGCTCCAGTGGGACTCAAGGACTCCCGAATGGCGGAGCCCGCCGCGACGCGAGGAGCAGCCCCCGCAGCAGCGCCGCCTGGGGTGGCTTCGCCCGCGTTCCCAGCAGCGGCGCCCGTAGAGGCAGGGGTCGACCGCGCGGTTCTCCGACGTGGAGGAGCAAGTTGAACGTGTCTCGCGCGCGTCCCCTCCGTGATTCGGGGGATCGCGGAGAGGACAGCGCCGGCGGCTCCAGCAGCAGCGATCCCAGCCGTGGGGACGAACGGGGCGGCGACAGGCGGGCTGTTGCCACTATGGCCGGCGCAGGGGCCGGTGGCGCCGGGGAGTCTCTATCGCGTGGAGCCGCCATGGGTGCTAGGTCCTGGTGGCGCGCCTCCGGTGATGCAGGCAGCCTCGATGCCCGCGACGACAGTGGCGGTGGTGTAACGGCGGTGCCAGTAACGGCATTGGTTCCCGTATCCCCGCCGCAGTTGGCGTCCGCGTGGGCAATGCCGGCAGAGGTGCCGGAAGCGGGGGCGAGGCAGGGCGGCTGGGAGGATGAGGACTCGGAGGTGTCGGCGAGCGGCCGGTCCCGCAAGCGACAGCAGACCCAGGGAGGGCCCACGGTGAGCCTCCTGGCGAACGCAAGCCGGCAGGCGGCACGGCTGGCGGACGTGTTGTGCCGTCTGGACGCGGCGCGGAGCTGCATTGATCGTCTGGAGGTGGCTGGATACGCTCTCCAGCTTCCCCGTCAGGAGGGGTTGAGGACGGAGTCGGAACAGCAGGACTGCGAGGCGCAGGCTGTGGTGGTGCGGGCGGCAATGGCCGTATCGTGGCCCAGGCTCGCCCCGGGAAACGGGCTGCCCCCACGGGGGGGTGCCGTGGTGATGGATTTGGAGGCGAATCTGGGGGGATGCGAGCTGCAGAAGTCGTCGACGGCTGCGTGTCAGTACTCCGCAAGGCGGAGACTTAGTTGCTACAAACGCGTTTGGTGTTTGAACGCTAAACGCTCGGAAGTGTTTACGTGAACGCTAGGCAAACGCTTGCCCAGGCAGGGGTAAAAGTTTTACCCGGGCAGGGGTTCAAGATTCCTGTGGGGGAGAGGGGAAACATGGGGGTTCTACCAGCAAGCATTTTGTCTCATAAAAAAGAACTGTGCTTAACATTTAAGCCAGCATCCTCATATGTCATGTAGATCACCTATCCTTGAGGCTATTCTCCAACGACAATCTCGTGTTTTTTTTCGGGGGGGCAGCCCGAAAAAAATCCCAGTGAGCGTTTGCGTTTTTGGGTGCGTTTGAACGCTAAACGCGTGTCTGCCAGAGCGTTTGTAGCAACTAAGGGCGGAGAGGATCGTCGTCCTTCTGCTGGGGGAGATAGCCCAGCAGGCATAGCTGGCTAGCGGCGTCGAGTGTAACGGAGGGCGGAAGGCGTCAACGCGCCAGCCAGATCAGGAGGTAGGACACGGCTCATTGGGCCAGTCGGCACCTCCCCATGCGCGCCCTCATGATGCTTGTTGTAGATGTAATACTGGAGAGTTGCGGTGTGTTGATTGCGTCCTCCCCCCCCCCCCCCGTGCCTTGCCGTCTATGTTGGCATAAACGCGTTTCCGCGTTTTTGCGTTTCGTTCTGAACGCTTGCGTTCAGGACGCAAAACGCAGGATTCCAGGCTTCAAATACGCTCGAAAAACGCCTGCCCGGGCAGGCGGGAAATTTGGCCCGAGCAGGGGACGCCATGCTAGGGGCTGGAAGTCGGGTAGCTTAGGTGCTGGAAGGAAGAACGAATGAGTACTAGATCGTCAGTGCATGTCAGGTGAGCGAAATTCTCCTCTACAGATAGATCTGGATCAAGCGGGGGGGAATGGGTTGGGATTTTCAACACGTTGGGAAAAGGGAGGGAGGGATTGATGAGTTATTGTGCCGCTATGAAAAGTTTCGCGACTGCACGAAGACGAATTGCGACGCGCGAAACGTGTTGGCGTTTCGCGACGCGCGGCGAAATGTGTTTTCGATTCGCGACTTAGTGGGTTTTTTTTTGCGTTTTTTTGTTCCGGTCAGCCCAAAAATTCCAAGGTGAGTTCGAGCGTTTTGACGCGTTTTAGCGTATTTCGTTTAAACGCAAAACGCAAACTCACAAAAGCGTTTTTGTCAACATAGCTTGCCGTCCCTAACGTGCGGCCGAAGGCCGCGCCGCGAGCGACGGCCGCCAAAGGCAACCGGCGCGAGCCGCCACCAAAGCAGAAGCAAAGAATGACCTGGAAACTAAACAAGGAGGAGAGAGAGCCAAGGGCTTAAGTAGCTAGCTAAGGGAGGCAAAGGCTCAGGTGCTCTCTTCCCTTCTCTCCTCTTATCTCCTCTTCTCTCCTCTTCGCCTCTCTTCTCTCCACTTCTCTCCTCTTCTCTCCTCTTCGCCGCTCTTCTCTCCACTTCTCTCCTCTTCTCTCCTCTTCTCTCCTCTTCTCTCCACTTCTCTCCTCTTCTCTCCTCTTCGCTCCGCTTCGCTCCCCTTCTCTCCACTTCTCTCCACTTCTCTCCACTTCTCTCCACTTTCCTCCACTTCTCTACACTTCCCTACACTTCTCTCCGCTTCTCTCTGCTTCTCTCCACTTCTCTCCACTTCTCTCCCCTTCTCTCCCCTTCTCTCCTCTTCTCTCCTCTTCTCTCCTCTTCTCTCCACTTCTCTCCTCTTCTCTCCTCTTCGCTCCGCTTCGCTCCCCTTCTCTCCACTTCTCTCCACTTCTCTCCACTTCTCTCCACTTTCCTCCACTTCTCTACACTTCCCTACACTTCTCTCCGCTTCTCTCTGCTTCTCTCCCCTTCTCTCCACTTCTCTCCACTTCTCTCCTCTTCTCTCCCTTTCTCTCCCCTTCTCTCCCCTTCTCTCTGCTTCTCTCCCCTACTCTCTACTTCTCTCCCCTTCTCTTTACTTCTCTCCCCTTCTCTCCCCTTCTCTCCCCTTCTCTCCACTTCTCTCCCCTTCTCTCCCCTTCTCTCCGCTTCACCCCCCTTCTCTCTACTTCTCTCCCCTTCTCTCCACTTCTCTCCACCTCTCTCTCTCCACTTCTCTCCACCTCTCTCCACTTCTTTCCACTTCTCTGCACTTCTCTGCACTTCTCTCCACTTCTCTCCACTTCTCTCCTCTTCCCTCCACTTCTCTCCACCTTTCTCCACTTCTCTCCGCATTTCTCCCCTTCTCTCCACTTCTCTCTACTTCTCTCCCCTTCTCTCCCCTTCACTCCACTTCTCTCCACTTCTCTCCCCTTCTCTCCGCTTCTCTCCACTTCTCTCTACTTCTCTCATCTTCTCTCCACTTCTCTCCCCTTCTCTCTACTTCTCTCCCCTTCTCTCCGCATCTCTCCCCTTCTCTCCCCTTCTCTCCACTTCTCTCCATTTTTCTCCACTTCTCTCCCCTTCTCTCCGCTTCTCTCCACTTCTCTCTACTTCTCTCCTCTTCTCTCCACTTCTCTCCCCTTCTCTCTACTTCTCTCCCCTTCTCTCCACTTCTCTCCCCTTCTCTCCCCTTCTCTCCACTTCTCTCCACTTGCTTCTCCATTCCTCTCCTGCACCTCTCATCTCACCCTCCCTCACCCTCCGCTGTTTCTCCTGCAAGGGCCACCTGCTGGACTTCTTTCGCCAATACCTTCACCTCTTTTCTCTCCCCCTAAGATGGTCAATCGGGTTCCCCCTCTCCCCCTCTCCCCACCCCCCTCCCTCCCCCCCCCCCACCATCGCCTCCCCAGGTTCCCCTCCAAGGCCCACCAGCTGGACTTCTTCCGCCACTACCTGCACCCGGGTGAACCGAATAAGGTGAGCTGAGAGCTGTTGATGTTTTGAGGCGCCTCAAAATGAGAGCTGTTGATGGGAGGGTCTGGCGGGGGCCGCTGGTGGCGACTCTATTCTTGAGGCGCTTCAAGAATGGACTCTTTTGCCACTACCTGCACCCAGGTGAGCCGGATATGATGAGTGAAGGGGAGGTGTTGATGGGAGGGACTGGCGGGGGATGGTGATGAGAATGGGCGCATGATGCGTGGGGTGGTGGGTCGGGTAGCGAGATGGGTGGTACAATGGGTTGAGAAGAGGGGTGGCCACATTTGACTCTCCTTGTAGTACAACAATGCTTTTCTAGGCGCCTGAAAAAAAGTGGTGGGATGGGTTGGTGAGATACGTTGATAAGACAGGTCATCGTGTATAACTCTCCCCACATTTCAACGATGCTTCCCTTGTCCAGTTAATCGTGCATTTTCTCTTCTCCTGTCGAAGGCATCTCAGGAGGAGCTGGACAGGTTGTATCTGGAGGTGATTACGTTCACCCTCATATCAGATAATACCTCCCTTCGCTCAATCACACCTCCTTCGCCTCCTCCCTCCATGTGCTGCGGCAGGCATCTCAGGAGGAGCTGGACGGACAGGTTGTATCTGGAGGTGAATCTGCTCACCCTCGTTCAGTCAATAACTCCCCTGTACCCCACATCCCACCTGTTGCAGGCCTCACAGGCAGAGCTGGACAGGTTGTATCTGGAGGTGAACGCGTTTACCCTCGCCTCCCACTTCTTCTGGTGCCTCTGGTCCCTCATCCAGGTAGAAGTCTTCTTGATTCAGACTAGCTCTTGACACAAATGCTTTCTGGTGGAATCATGGGGCACCGCAGACTTCGCCTCCCACCCACTTCTTTCGTGCCTCTGTCCACGTATGTTCTTCCCACGTAGTGCTTCCTGAAGCTTCCTGCTTCCTGCGTGGTGACACGCCTGCCCTGCTTTCTTCTATGCAGTGGGTTCCTGTCCTGTGTGTCATTAATTGAATGTTTTATTCACTTCCCGTTGTTGCATGTGCCATTCAACCCATGCATCATACACATGCATGCCTCCCCTCAGGCCAAGTTCTCCTCGATAGACTTTGACTACATGGACTATTTCTTTGTTCGTTACGGCGTGTACCAACAACGCAAGGATGAGACGGTTGCCATTGTGGAGTCTTACATGCACAGTCATCAATTGCAGGCCAACTAGTCGCAATTGTAACTGCCTTGGGTTCTGGCTCGGAGACTACGGATGCATTCCCAAGCGGGAAAATGAGAAATTGTAGGAACACACATCTGTCAACACACATGTTTGTATATCTGGCTTTGTTAGGTATGTTTGTCATAACCTAGCTAGGACAGCTCTTAGAGGGGACAACATTTCGCATATGTATCTCCCTGCCCTCTCTTCCTAGTCAACTTCCACATTGTATAAACCTAGGGTTAGATTCTCCATAGCGCCACGCTTTCGCCCGTACTCTAGCTTTTTTTTCTTTCGTGCAACTCCCTCTCCAATTTCGTGCTCCGTAGTCCCCCCCCCACCCCCCCTCTCCCTCCCCCCCTCCCCACCGTCCTCTCCGCTTCGTACGCCAGCCAGCCGACTCTCTAGCCAACCCGCTAGTCACCAGCCAGCTCGCCAGCCAGTTCGCCAGCCAGCTAGCTATCACGCCAGCCAGCGCGCCAGCCAGCAGCCAGCCAGCTAGCTAGCCCGCCCGCCAGCCTCTCAGCCAGCAGCGTCAGCCAGCTCATTGGCTTAGCCAGCACGACATCCAGCTCGCCGCTCGCTCGCCAGCCAGCAGCCGCTAGTCAACAGCCGCCAGCCAGCCGCAAGCCGCTGCCGCCAGCCAGCTCGCCGCTAGTCGCTGCCGCTAGCTTGCTCGCCGCTGGCCCGCCAACTAGCAGCCACCAGCAGCCGCCAGCCAGCAGCCGCTAGCTAGCTTGCCGCTGCCGCCCGCTGCCGTCGCTACATCTGCAGCTCCTGCTGCCGCTGCAGCCATCGCCGCCGCATCTGCTGCCGCTGCAACCGCGTCTGCAGCCACTGCCAACTGCCACCAGCGCCAACTGCCACCAGAAAGCGCCGGCCACCAGCCAGCTCGCCAGCACCGACTCGCCGCTGGCTCGCCGCTACCATCCTCCTGTGGCTAGCCGCGGCAGCTCCCGCCCACTCCAGCCTCCTTCAGCTTACTGCCGCCGCTCCTACCACTTCCGTCCCTGCCGCCGCAGCTACCGCTGCCACTGCTCCTGTCGCTGCCACTGCAGACGCCGCTGCCGCTGCTTCTGCCGCTACCGCCGCTGCCACAGCAGCCGCCGCTCCTGCCGCTTGTCGCTGCTGTCGCTGACTTCGCTGCTAGTCACCGCCTTGACTACACTGCTGCTCTGGTCTCTAGTACTGCCCGTCCTTCGTCCGTCAGGGGTGCACTTGCCCTTGGCAGTGACATGCTAGAAGGCAGGCAGTACGAGTTGGCCTACCTTGCTACCCCATGTCTGTATCCCCAGAGGGCGACCCGAACTCCCTCGACATCCCTATCCTGCGCTCTTACGCTGAGGCGGTCTCGAGACCCTAGGCAACCTAGCGGATATAGGCCATGAAGGCAGAGATGGCATCCTACACATCCACATGCACTTACGTTGACGTAGTTCCCCCACCTAGGGCGGATGTAGTCGATGGCATGTGGATCTTTAGGGTGAAGCTCGCACCTGGAGAGCCGCCGAAGTTCAAGGCGCGTTACATGGCTAGAGGCTTCGTCAGTGAGAGGGTGTGGACTTCTTCGAGACCTTCTTCCCGACCCTGAAGTTGACTACTCTTCGGGTGCTCCTTCACATGGCCGCGCAGCGTGACTACGAGCTTCTCTTACTCGGCTTCTCAACAGCCTTCTTGCAGGGCAGTCTGCACAAGCAGATCTACCTCCAGCGTCCACTAGGCTTCTCCACGTCCTTCCGATTTGGGATCGAGTGGAGCCTGTGCTGCCCGGTCTACGGCCTGCGCCAGGTGCCCCATGAGTGGCACGACACGCTCCGCACCACACTTGCTGAACTGCGATTCCTCCCGTCCTTTGCTGACCCCCCTCTCTTTGTTCGCACTGGTCAGACCCCGTTCTATATCCTAGTGTACGTAGACGATCTTACCTTTGTTGCTTCTGACACAAATGCACTGGCCTTAGTGAAGGCCGAGTTACTTAGGAGGCACACCTGCACTGACTTGGAAGAGTTGAGGTGCTATCTGACTTGGAGATCTCTCGTGACCGTGCTGCTCGCACAATCACACTCTCCCAGTCCAATCACATTCGCAAACATAGTCGCAATTTTATGGTGCAGCAGATCCTCTAGAGGATCAGTCTCCACTTCTCCTCAACACATCCCACCCCACTGCATGTGGATCACAAGCTCTCTACTCCTAATCCGATTGAGCCGGTTGAGCCTAAAGGTCCATACACAGAGCTGGTAGGGTGTTTCATATACCTAATGACCAGCACTCGACCAGATCTAGTGTACCCTATCAGTCTCTTTGTTCGCTTTGTAGTGACAGGTACTGTAGGCGGTACCAGACCACTGGTCGACTGCCAAGAGGACACTGCGATATCTGGCGAGTACATCAGGACTAGGACTTGTGCTAGGAGGACGGGAGCATGTGGTGCTCACTAGATACAGAGTTAGATATGAGTTAGATCCAAAGTACTATTCTGGATATTTGTGTTATGAACACATCCACTATGTGCCCCTCCCAAATCGTACTACCATTAAACATTAAGGCTTAATGTATAGTGGTCTTAAAGCCTAAAAACTCAAATTTATGCAAATCATACGGACAATAGTTTCCGCCACTGTATGTTGATGACTCTAGTGTGATTGGACCCTATTAACCAGTGTTGCCTAGCGTAGGTGTATCCACCGTGTGCAGTCTAGGCACCCCTGCTGTGTCAGGCATCGAACCCCCTACCTTGTTTAGCCTAGGCTCCACACTAGCCCCTCCGCCGGCAGCCACTAGCGCTTCGCTCTCCTTCACACTCGACTCTGGTGCGTCTACCTGCTTCTTTCGACCACACTTCCCTTATGCCGCTTGCCAGCCCTGCCACCGCGCCACTCCAGACCCTGCACCTGGACGTCTGGGGTCCAGCCCCCGTCCTTGGGTAGCGTCGAGAGCGCTACTTCCTGTTGCTTGTCGCCGACTACGCGCGCTACACCACGGTGTTTCCCCTGGAGTGGAAGGCTGACGTGCCTGAAGTTCTTATCCCATGGGTCGCAGCTGCGCGAGTCCGCCGAGGTCTTGCTGTGCTGTGTCTCCACTCCGACTGTGGCAGCGAGTTTGCCTCCGATCAGCTTGGCCGGTTCTGTCTTGCGGAGGGCATCACCCAATCATACACCCTGCCGGACTCCCCAAAGCAGAATGGGGTCGCTGAGTGACGCATCGGCTTGGTCATGGAGGTGGCTCGTACCTCCATGATCCATGCCAGTGCACCCTATTTTCTGTGGCTGTTCACTGTTTGCTACGCCGTCCACCAGCTGAACCTGTGGCCCCACTCCCAGCGGCCGCAGGTTTCACCGACCCTCCTCTGGACCGGGTCTCCTGGTGACCCGTCGGCGTTCTACGTCTAGGGATGCCTCGCTCACGTTCATGCCTCTTGCACGGACAAGCTCACTGCCCGTACTGTCCCCTGTGTCTTCCTTGGTTCCCCCCTTGACTCGTCTGACTGGTACTTTTACCACCCGCCGTCTCACCGCTTCCTTCACTCGCGTAACGTGACTTTCGACGAGTCTGTCTCCGTTTACCATCACTTTCCCCACCGAGTTCTCCTCATTTCCGCACCCCTATTTCTGGTTCTCACTCCCCCGGTAGCCCCTGCTCCCCTCCCTCCCCGTTCTACTCCGTCTGGAGTGTCTCACGTCACTCCCCTCCCGTCACTTGTCCCAGTCGAAAAGTCGGCAAACTCAGGTGGCCCCGAGGTGCAGTTCTCGCAGCCTGCCTCTCCTCCGGTGTCCCCTCCCCCGTCGCAGTCGCCGCCGCAGCCGTCTTCGCTGCCGCAGCAGCACTAGTCGCCGCCGCCGTTGCAGCAGCAGCAGCCGTTCAAGGACTTTGGGGGTGCTGGCGTTGAGGAGGGTGCTAGTCCTGGGGTTCCTGTCGTGGCTTGTCCCGACGGGCTTGGTGGTGGCACTGGTGCTGGAGAGGGTTCTCGCTTTGGGGGTGGTTGCTCTGGAGGTGCTGGAGTGGAGTGTTCCAGAGGTAGTCGTAGTGCAGCTGGCGGTCCAGGTTTTGGCGTCGAGCAGCAGCAGCAGCAGTCATCGCCGGTGTCCGCCCTTCGCCTGCTCGACCTTCTCTCCCCTGACCGCTCGCCTTCGACTCCCCCGCCGCCTCCTACCCTTCATGTCCAAGGTCCTGTGTTTCCTTCGCCGGACTCGTCCCCGGCTCGTCTCCCGCCTTGTTCCCCCCTTGTGTCTCCTCCTCTATCTCCTGACCCGACGCCTCCGTCTCACGTCTGGTCTCACCGTCCCTCTCGTGCTCGTCCCATCTCTCCTGTTCAGCGTTCTCACCCTATATTGCTTGGTTCCCACGCGTCTCATCATCCCCTCCTCCCTTCTCCTCCGTCTTCGCTCGCTGTCGAGCCTCCCTCTCTGTCTGACTACCTTCGTGCTGCTCGTCCTCTTGTTCTTCGGGTCCTTGCCTCCCTCGTTACCGACCCGTCTGTTCCTGTCTCGAGTCTTGACGCTCTTTTCGCTGCTGTCGCTAACTTTGCCTCTACCCGCCGCCTTGACTATGCCACAGCTCTGGTCTCTGGCCGTGCCTGCCCTCCGTCCGTCGCGGGTGCTCCTGCCCTTGGCAGTGACGTCCTAGAGGACAAGCAGTACGAGCTTGCTTTCCTGCCGGAGGCTGCTCCCCATCTCTGTTCCATGCTGCTAGTCCCCATGGGAGACCCAGACGTCTTTGACATCCCGACCCCTCGCACTTACGCTGAGGCGACCTCGGGACCCCTGACCTCTCAGTGGATAGCTACCATGGAGCAGGAGATGGCATCTTGGAGATCCACGGGCACCTACGTTGACGCAGTCTCCCACCTAGGGTGAACATAGTCGATGGCCGGTGGCTCTTCAAGGTAAAGCGCCCTCCTGGAGAGCTGCCTGCGTTCAAGGCGCGCTACGTGGCTCGAGGCTTCAGTCAGCGCGAGGGGGTGGAGAGTTGCGCTGCTACCTTGGCCTGCAGATCTCCATGGACAGAGCAGTGCGCACCATCACTCTCACATAGTCACACTTGGTGCGCCAGGTCGTTCAGAGGTTCGGTCTTCAGTTCTCCTCAGCACAGCCTATACCTCGGCCAGTAGACCACAGGCTCTCAGCTCATGTTCCTAAGGAGTCAATAGAGCCCAGTGGTCCTTACACAGAACTGGTGGGTTGCCTCATGTACATGATGACTTGCACTCGTCCAGATCTCGCATACCCTTTCAGCATCCTGGCTCGCTTTGTGGCCACAGGCAGAAACCGACCACAGCACTGGTCGGCCGCTAAGAGGGTTTTGCGTTATCTAGCAAGTACATCAGGCATGGGGCTAGTACTGGGAGGACGCAGGCCAGTGGTCCTTACTGGGCATACTGACGCTTCTTGGGCAGACGACGCTGAGACCCTCAGGTCCTTGCAGGGCTACTGCTTTAGTCTTGGTGCAAGCGCGGTCTCGTGGAGGCCCACGCGCTCGTCGTCTGTTGCACAGTCCAGCTGTGAGGCTGAGATCTACGCTAGTGCCATGGCGGCACAGGAGCTCCGCTGGCTGACTTTCTTGCTCACAGACTTAGGTGAGCGGACTAGCTCTGCGCCAAATATGTACGCTGACAACAGGGTCATGATCATCCTGTATCATGAGCCTCGACTGGAGGGCAGAGCGAAGCACATCCAGTTGCGGTACTTCCTCCTGCGCGAGCTACAGCAGCGCTGCCAGGCCCGCGCAGTACACTTGGCCTCCGGTGCCAACACAGCTAATATCTTTACTAAGGCGCTTGCGCCTAAAGATCATCAGCGTCACTCTTTGCAGCTTGGTCTAGCTCCTGTAGCTACTCACTTGCTAGGACCGTGATTGTGTACTTCTCTTTATATATACATTTCTGACTGGCCTTGTGGCTTCTCTTCCAGTCGGACTAGTAGTGCTGCCCTGGTTTGTTCTTGTCTTGTTTGTACTCTTGCTGACTGGTCTTCAAACCCTTGCCTCATAAGCTGGACTAGTAGTGCCACCCTAAGCTGTGTGTCGACTTTCAGGCACTGCCCCTCATCTGGCCTATGGGGTGTGTCAAACATATTAGTATATGTTATAATAGGCTAGATAGGTGCATGATCTTAGAGGGTACAACCACTTGAACAAAATCAACATGTATGCCTCATTCTAGTTAAATTTTCTACTCTGAGACCCTGTTGAGGCCATTTGTTTCGGAGATCAGACTAGTACTGCTGCCCTTAGTTGTCTTGGTACCTTCTGTTAAGATGAGCTAGCTAGGGGGATAAGCCATGGAATGACGTGAGGTTTGAGGCTAGGAGAAATATCGAGCGAGAAGAGGGTGAGATTAGAAGAGAGAGGGATACAAGGAGGGAGTTGTACCATCTACAGTAGGATCCAGCTACACCTACAAAGCCTACAATTATATATATAATATATAATTTAACACACCCCTTAGGCTTGGTAGTGGAAAGCCCACCACACACACAACACACTAAGCCACACACCCCTTAAGCCTAGCAACCCCATACTCAGCAGCAGCGACGACTACTACAGCAGGGTCAGCCCCTCGGCGTGTGAGGCGGCGATGTCGACAGCGAGGGTAGCGGTTCCAACGGCTCCGACGGCGGCAGCGTCGACAGCAGCGGCGGCGTGGCGAGCAGCACCAGCTGCGGCGGCGACGTCTTCGACGACAGCTGCCGGCGGCGGCGGAGCTCGCAGCACTCGGCGGCTTGGCCGGGCTCCGCGACGGTGGGACGGTCAACGCGAGTCAGCCGTCGGCTGCAGCGAGGATCGAGGAAGAGGGGACGAGGGGGAAGGGGGTGGGGCTTCAGCAGTGGAGCCCCGGAGCGTGACGCCCCGTGTGGCGCGCTGGCTGCATGCGGGCGTGCTGGCCAGCTCTAAGACGGGGCGCTGGCCGCTGCCGTCCGTCCCGTCCGCGCGCTGGCAGCACGTCGTCACGGCAGCACGAGGACGCCGTCACGCTGTCACGGCTTGACGTCGACGCCACGGCAGTGCGTCGAGACGGCCGCGGCAGCACGACGCGGCCGGCGGCACGACGACGCCGCCACAGGAGCATGACGCGGCCGCCATGGCAGCGTGAGAGAGAGAGAGAGTAGGAGTGCGCGGCGGAAGCAAGAGAAGAAGGTCCAGCAGGTTGTAACTGCTCTGATACCATATTAAGATGAGCTAGCTAGGGGGAGAAGCCATGGAATGGCGTGAAGTTTTAGGCAGGAAAAATATCAAGAGAGAAGAGGGTGAGATTAGAAGAGAGGGATACAAGGAGGGAGTTGTACCCTCTACAGTACGATCTAGCAACATCTACCAAGCCTACAATTACATATAATATATATCATTTAACGCCTCAACCAGAGGCCAGAGTAGTACTGCTACCCTGGTTTAGGAAACGTTGTTACTATCTAGGCTAGGGGGTGTGTCAATAAATATACTTGTATATCTAGCTAGGTTAGAGATGTTTGTTATAACCTAGCTAGGACAGCTCTTAGAGGGGAATGTTAAAATTATATAAGTTATAATTTTATATAGGCTTGGTAGGTTGCTACTGAACCTTTCTGTAGGGGGTACAAACCCCTCCTTGTACTCCCTTCTCTTCCTAATCCAACACTCTTTCTTCTCGACTTTCCTCCTACTCCTAGATCCGTTTTTCCTAGCGCCGTTCCATGGCGGCCTTGCTCCTATCCTAGCTAAGCTAGTGTCCTAACTTTAGGGACCTAGCATCCTAAGTTCTTAACATGGTATCAGAGCAGGAGATCCTTCCTGCTGGACTGCCTCCTCTCGCTTCCGCCATTTACTCATCATCCTCATTCACTCCAGCGGCCATGGGGCGGCCGCGTTTTGCTGCAGTGGCGACGTCGCGCTGCCACTGGGCGCGTCGTGCCGCGACTGGCCCGACGCGGTGCCGCGGAGTCGGGTCGTCGTTCTGCAGTCGCAGCGTCGACGCCCCGCTGCGCCATCGACGCTGCCATGGCGGCCGCGGCGGCGTCACGCTGTGGCGTCGTCGTCTTTTCGCCGGCTGCGCCGTCCTGCCGCGGCCGTCTCGACACGCGACCGGGACGACGTCAGCGCGACGCCGCGGCTGCGCCCCTCCTGGGCCTCGTCGCGCCCTGCCTGGCCTCATCGCACCCGCTCGGCCCCGTCGCGCCCTGCCTGGCCCCGTCGCCCTCTGCCCGGCCCCGTCGCCCCCTGCCAGGACGCCGTCGTCCCGCCTGTAAGCGCCGCGCCATTTATGGCGCGACGCTGAAGACTCGCCCCCCCCCCCCCCCCCATTCTCCCTTCCCCCTGCGTCTTTCCGTCCTCCTGTCGCAGCTGCTGTCTTCTGCCCGGACGTTGCCACATCGATGAGAGCCCTCAGCCGCGGCAGTCGCCGCCTGTCGTCGGCGACCCAGCCGCCTTGAGCCAGAGCTCCGCGGCTGCTTGTCGCTGACCCGCCTAGACGCCGTCGGCTGCCTCGTGTACGGGGGTGTGTCAACGCTTTGCCTGAGGGTCAGATACCCGGCTAAGCACGAGCCTGAGGGTGTGCGGGGTTAGGGGGTGGGTTGGGTGCGGGTGTGGGGGTGTGAGTGGGCTTGACACTACCAAGCCTAGGGGGTGTGTTAAAATTATATAAGTTATAATTTTATATAGGCTTGGTAGGTTGCTACTGAACCTTTCTGTAGGGGGTACAAACCCCTCCTTGTACTCCCTTCTCTTCCTAATCCAACTCTCTTTCTTCTCGACTTTCCTCCTACTCCTAGATCCGTTTTTCCTAGCGCCGTTCCATGGCGGCCTTGCTCCTATCCTAGCTAAGCTAGTGAATATGTATCTCCCCTCCCTCTCTTCCTAGTCAACTTTTTATGCGCTACTTTTACAACATCATATTAGGTGCCCTCGCAAAAGGGTAAGAAAATACATGGTTGTCTGGAGCAAGCAAAAGGGTCAGAAAATGAGGATGATTAATCTGCCATACAGCAAAGGAAAGGTTCTGTGCGTGTCAAAATTAACTGCATCACTTTGGAACTAGCAATGCTAGAAGAGGGGCACTAGGAAAATGCCAGCTGGTAGTGTATGGTTCTAGCCGTGGAGAACTAGTGAATTTGGAAGTGTACTGGTGTAACCTAAGGACAGATATTTCTCATGCACAGACCAGCACCCACACGTCAGACCCCAACATCCCAAATGTCGTGGAAAGCGGCCCAATATCCCCCGAAGCCGATGGGACTGCGATGCCGTGGCACCAATCAGAGCTCGCTCCTGCGACATGGAGGCCAAGATCCTCTCCTCTATTCTTGCTGGAAATGCTGACGGGGCAAGAAGGCTGACGCGCGGCGGTAGAAGGAATGCGCCTTTCCTGTGCCAGCACAAAGAAGCAGTGAAATGGGGGGGGAAGGGGGGGAAGTCGGGAGAAAGGTCGAGACGGGCTGCGGGCGCAGGGGCAATTCTGCGCTGAAGGAAGGCGCATCCGGGACCGTCAGGCAGAGACTGTCCGCGGGATGGCGAATCTGGCGCGGAGTTTCCGTGGGCAGGGCTAGCAGCAGCTGGCGGGGAGGAAGCATGCATGGGTGGGGGGAACGACAGAGAGCAACCTAAGGGAAGGAGGTTAGCGCAGCAGGAATCTGGTGGAAGCAGAAGAATCTCAGATTCTCAGACCAGGGTCCTCTCACATCACACGCATTGGTGGTGGTGCTCTAACCAGCGCATCCTCATCCCCTGAAGACCACTTTCAGTTTTGGCATTTCGCCATACCTCGCCCATCTCCATACCTAAGGCTAGCAGTGTCTTACTGCTTCCTGCTTCCTTTGATAGCCTATTCCGATTTTAGCTTCACCCTTCACTAACATTTCCAGGCAAACGAGCAGCAGCAGCCATGGTGCTGAGCGTGGCGCTCCCCGCGGGTCTGGACGCGTCGAAGCTGTCCAAGGACATCTCGTCGTACAGCGAGCTGCAGCTGGCGCGCCTCAAGTACCGCCCGACTCTCCCCTCCATGCTCGACGGACCCAGCGTCGTCGAGAAGGGCCCTCCTACGAAGGCCGCCGGCAACGATGGTACGCATCGCCGATGGAGTCTCTGATGGACAATCTGTGATCGTATCGCTTATGCTGGCGCGTCCAAATTGTGCTAGTCACTTATTCATGACGATGCGTTTCGCGAAGGCCATTCTTGAGTTCAGCAGGACGAATGGTCTGCAATAGGTACTAAGCTCCGGGTCGTTAGCGTGAGCATCAGCGTGAGCAGACCACATGATTCCCGTGAAGTCCATCACCAATGCCCTTGTTTGTGGCTGTCAAAGGAAGAATATTCTGGATCATTTGGTGGTAGATTTGTCGTCCTTCCTAGTGCGAGTCTAGAGATCCAAGGGATTTAGAAACTCACACCAACGATAGAAGCCTCCGCCCATCGTTTCAGACGTCATTTTTTGCCAACAAAAGACGTTTCGGCGCGTATGCTCTCGTGTCCCCCGGCCTTTCCGCCTTTGCCCTCGTGGTTCGGCAGTGGCGTTCCTCATCCCTCCGTTGCGCTCCGTCGCCGTGTCGCTTCGTCGTTCCAAGTGTAGCCTTTCCTCGTCCCCTCCCTTCACCCCCGGCCAGAGGAGATCCCGAAGCTCTTCCCGTCGCTCTACGGCCAGCCGTCTATAAGCTTCTCGCTCCTCTGCCTCCGCTCCTTTCTCTACATCTCGTCACGCAGAGGAGATCGCGAAGCGCTTCCCGTCGCTCTACGGCCAGCCGTCAGTGAAGTTCGTTCCATCTTTCAACCCCTCTCTGTTCCCGCTCTTCCGCTCTTCCCTTCCTGTCTCTGCCACCTCGTCACCTGCTATTCCTTCCATCAGAGGAGATCGCCAAGCTCTTCCCGTCGCTTTACGGCCAGCCGTCGGTGAAGCTCATTCCCGCCGGCGCGTCCGCGGCGGCCCCCACGCCCATCACCGTCGGCGTCGTGCTGTCCGGCGGCCAGGCCCCCGGCGGCCACAACGTCATCGCCGGCCTCTACGGTGAGTCGCCCATTCTTGTTTTTGTTATCGCTTGAGATTTAATTGCTGGTGCTGTCGTCCACGGTGTATCCTGCTTTCCAAAATAAATATCGGTGTGTGTGAAGATTTGCAGTTCGACTGTACAGGTTGGGTTGGGCAGATCCTCCGTTTTCTAGTCACGAGCATTTTTCGTGATGTATGCCACGAGATCTCTTATTCACCATCCGTTTAGTCAGGTCGCACCTGCCGGTCCATCCTCGTTGCCGTCGCACGACCTGCCAGCACTCGTGGACCACCGCTAACTGAACCACTCGACCACCTGAACGTATCAAACGGACTTCGCTTGATCCACACTCCTCGTGACCATCCGGTGAAGCATTATTCAAGCAATGACTTCTTGTCTCTTCAACGCCTGTTCACCTCAGACTATCTCCAGGAGAAGGTGCCGGGCAGCAAGCTCCTCGGGTTCCTCGGGGGCCCAGCGGGCGTGATGAAGTGCAAGTACGTGGAGATCACGGCCGAGTTCCTGTACCCCTACCGCAACCAGGGCGGCTTCGACATCATCTGCTCCGGCCGCGACAAGATCGAGTCGCCCGAGCAGGTACGGCTGTCGATCTGCTTCGGGAGTTCGCCCTGTGCGGCGTCCATATCGTCGATGGTTCCTGTGGCGAGTGGCTTCAGTCGTTGCACTCTGCTCCCATGTCCGCGCTCTCGCTAGGCTGCTCTCCTCCCTCAGCGTCGTGGATACGCTTGGTTCATGGCCGTTCGCGACTATGTTCTACGATCCCCGATCGGGTTGAGCACTTCCCCCGATCTACCCGTTCTCTGCCTCCACCCCTCGTCAGTTCGCCATGGCCATGGCGTCGGCGGAGTCTAGTTTTTGAGGTGCCTCAAAACTGCCTCCACCCCTCGTCAGTTCGCCATGGCCGTGGCGTCGGCGGAGAAGCCCTCTTTCGACGGGCTGGTGGTCATTGGCGAGATTACAAACGTTCCTCCTGTTGCCGTTCACCAGCAAGCAGCACTGTCCCGTCCTCCTCACATCCTTCTCTTTCCCCTCGCTCTCTGTCTCTCCACCCCTCGTTCGTCAGTTCGCCATGGCCGTGGCGTCGGCGGAGAAGCTCTCGCTGGACGGGCTGGTTGTCATTGGCGGCGACGACTCCAACACCAACGCTTGCCTGCTCGCCGAGCACTTCCGGTTAGTCATTGTGCCGCCCTTCATCTGTGCCGCCCTTCATCTGTGCCGCCCTTCATCTGTGCCGCCTGACTTCTCTTCGGTCGCCCGTCTTCCCTTCAGTCCCCCCCCGGTTGATCTGCTCCGCAAGCGTGCTTGGTTGATCGAATCGGCTTCCTGCGTCTTTGACACGAAATCCGTGCCTCGCGGGCCCCTCATCCTACTGCGTATCACCTTTTTTGTCCGCTTCTCGCCGCCTCCCGTCGCGTTCCGTCGCGTTCCGTCCGTCGGTGTCGTGTTTTACGGCATTGTATGTCGTCGCATCCCACCGTATTTATTCTGGCATCTCACTGTGTCTTACCGCATCTCATCGCGTTTCACCGCATTCCACCCCACCCCCCATGTCTCCGCAGCGGCAAGGGCCTGAAGACGAAGGTGATCGGGTGCCCCAAGACCATCGACGGCGATCTCAAGGCCGCGCAAGTGCCCATCAGCTTCGGCTTCGACACCGCCTGCAAGGTAACGGCGGGAAATGGGGTTGAGGGAGGTTAAGGTATGCGGGCTAGAGCATCGAGGCCGCGCAAGTGCCCATTAGCTTCGGCTTCGACACTGCCTGCAAGGTAACGAAGGGAACTGCATGAGCGCGTGCAAGGTACAGAAGGCAATGCAGGCTACCTGCAGGTGCGGGAGAATCGTCATCGGGAAAGGGTGTGATGGGGAATGGGGCATGGTATCATCGCATTCATGCAAACAGGATTTGCAAGTAGCTGCGTAGATGCGTAGCTTCGATGTGCCCATCTCCCCCCCCCCCCCCCCACCCCCTCTACCCCCTCCCCTCCTCCCACCCCCTCCACCCCCTCTCCCGCGCGGATGCCTCCGCTAATCTGCCCTTGCGCGGGCGCTCGTGCGTCCTTCCGCGTGCGCCCATTTTCTTTGCGCGTGCAGATCTACTCGGAGACGATCGGGAATGTGATGACTGATGCCCGGTCTGGCGGCAAGTACTATCACTGTGAGTGGGGGGAACCGGGCAAAGGCAGAGGGGGGGAGGGGGGAAGGGATTGAGAGAGGGGAGTCGAAGGAGAGGGAAGGAAGCAGTGGGAGAGAAAAGGGGACGGGCTCAGTAGGACGCCTACTGAGGAGAGGGACGCTCAGTAACGCCTTCGCTGCTAGTAGGGAGTTGGGTATTTCGCACATGTCTATTCTCCATTCCGCACGCTCTAGGACGAACGGTTCGACGGACGTGGCACGATGCATGCACGCATGCCGTAAAGCTGGCTCTAACATCACGACCCATTTCCCTCCCCTCCCCCGTCCTCCTCTCCCATCTCCCCCTCCCCTCCCCCCCTCCCCCGTCCCTTCTCTCCCTTCTCCCCCGGCTTGTGATGGCATGTGTTGGCATGTGATGGCATGTGACGGCATGTGATGGCATTTGATGGCATGTGATGGCATGTGATCGCATGTGATAGCATGTGATGGCATGTGATGGCATGTGATGGCATGTGATGGCATGTGATGGCATGTGATGGCATGTGATGGCATGTGGTGGCATGTGATGGCATGCAACGGTCATGTGGGTTATGTGTTGATCCGTGTGGCGGCATGGCAGTTGTCCGTCTGATGGGCAGAGCGGCGTCGCACATCACCCTCGAGTGCGCGCTGCAGACGCACCCCAACATCACTCTCGTGGGCGAGGAGGTGAGTTAGCGGAAGGGTGGAGTGCGGTTCAGTGCGGTGTGGTTGTGTGTGTCGCACATCACCCTCGAGTGCGCGCTGCAGACGCACCCCAACTTCACGCTGGTTGGCGAGGAGGTGAGTTGCTGAAAGGGTGGAGTGCGGTTAGATGCACTGTGGTTAGATCCAGTGTGGTTAGATGATGTGCGGTATTTGCAGCGTACGTCACACATCACCCCTAGTGTTGCACCGGCGTGCGATATCCGAGTGTGCGCTGCAGAGGCACATCCACGTCACTTACGTGGTCGAGGGGGTCAGTCGGAGGATGGGTGCAGTGTGGTTTTGATGCAGCATGGTCAAGCGAGCCGCAAGAGTTAAACGCGCGCCAGTCATAGTGAGCGAGTGGCTCTGTTCTCTTCTGCTCCGCCCTCCCTCGCTCTCACTCCCGCAGGTGTTCGCCAAGGGCATGACTCTGGGCCAGGTCACCAACCACATCGCTGACGTCATCTGCAAGCGCGCCGACGCGGGCAAGAATTTCGGCGTGGTGCTCATTCCCGAGGGGCTCATTGATTTCATTCCTGAGGTGAGGCCCTTGTTGCCCTCGTGCTCCATTACCGTCTCACATACGCGCGGCTCCCCTGGATAGCTTTGAGTCGACTCAAAAGGCGATCCCCGAGGTAAGGCTCTTGTTGCCCTCGTGCCCCATTGCCGTCTCACGTACGGGCGGCACCCCTGGCTAGCTTTGACGTGGTGCTCATTCCTGATGCAATCCTGCCCGGCAGATCAACGACCTGAACGCCCAGCTGAACGAGATTCTGGCGAAGGCGGCGGTTGACGCGGAGGGCATGTACGAGTGGAAGGAGGGGCTGCAGCCCACACGGATAGTGAGCACCCCAGGGCGTCCCTTCACACTCGCCACAACCCGTCTGCCCCACCCGTCCCATCCCATTTCCCCTCTGGCAGATCAACGACCTGATCTCGCAGCTGAACGAGATTCTGGCGAAGGCGGCGGTGGACGCGGAGGGCATGTACGAGTGGAAGGAGGGGCTGCAGCCCAACACGCGCACGCTGTTCGACTCGCTGCCCAAGGACATCCAGGACCAGCTGCTGCTCGAGAGAGACCCCCACGGCAACGTGCAGGTCAGTTGGCTTGTAACGCGGATAGAGCGGGTTAGTCGGTGCCCAAGGACATCCAGAACCAGCTGCTGCTCGAGAGACCTGCACGGCAACGTGCAGGTGAGGGCTGTAAACGAGTGCGGAGGTGCGTCTAGCGGATACAAGGGGGTGCTGGGGGAGTGAGTGGGAGGGCAACACGCGGACGCTGTTCGACTCGCGGCCCAAGGACATCCAGGACCTGCTGCTGCTCGAGAGAGAACCCCATGGGAACGTGCAGGTGAGGGAATGATGCTTGTAGCGGGTACAAGGGGGTGCATGCTTGGGTAGTGGGTGGTTTGGGAGACCAACGCGCACGCTGTATGACTCGCTGCCCAATGATATTCAGGACCAGCTGCTGCTTGAGAGAGACCCGCATGGAAGTGTTCAGGTTCGTATTGCATGTAGCGCAGATAGAACGGGCCAGCTAGTGCTTTAAGCGCGTACAAGCGGTTGCAGAGAGTCACTGAGAGGGGAACACGCCCCCGCTGTTTGACTCGCCCAACAGGTGGGTGCACAGAGACGGAGGAGCTGCGGAGGAGGAGGAGGAGCACAGTTTCTTACCCTTATGTTCCTGTTCCCCCCTCTCCACCCCGCACTGCTCCTGTTCCCCCCTCTCCACCCCGCACTGCTCCTGTTCCCCCCTCTCCACCCCGCACTGCTCCTGTTCCCCCCTCTCCACCCCGCACTGCTCCTGTTCCTCTCCCTTGGTCCCCCCCCACCAGGTGGCGCGCATTGAGACGGAGAAGATGCTCATCAGCATGGTGGAGGAGGAGCTGGGCCGGCGGGCGAAGGCTGGGCAGTACAAGGGCGCCTTTGAGGGCCGCTCGCACTTCTGCGGGTGAGTCCGCTTCAGAGAAGACTCGTTTCCTTCAGATGAGGGCGCCAAGGGGAGGCAAGGGGGCCAAGGGGAGGCAGTACAAGGGCGTTTTCGGGGGCCGCTCACACTTCTGGGCGAGTCCTGGGCTGGCTCATGGATGTCGGGTAAAGCTTCTGGTTGTGGCATTGGCATGCCCACGCCTATTCGGCCCCCTCAGCTGCTGTGCGCCAAGCTCCGTGTTTTCCTTCCCTTACACTCATCAAACCCCCGCAGCTACGAGGGGCGGTGTGGCATGCCCACGCTCTTTGATGCCACCAACTGCTACGTGCTTGGCTCCGTGGCGGCGGCGCTGGTGCAGGCAGGGAAGACTGGGCTCACTGCTTCCGTGGGCAACCCCTTTCTCACCTCCCCTGCCACGACTCCTCCGCCCCTTTCCTAACCCCCAGATACGAGGGCCGGTGTGGCATGCCCACTCTATTCGACGCCACCTACTGCTATGCCCTGGGCTCGGTTGCAGCTGCTCTGGTGCAGGCCGGGGAGACCGGGCTCATTGCGTCCGTGGGGAACCTGACCGCTCCCCCCCAGGAGTGGACCGTGGGAGGCACGGCTCTCACTGAGCTCATGGTGGTGGAGAGGCGCAAGGGTGAGTCAAGTGTCAAGGGCTCACGGTTTGGGGTTTAGGTTCAGTGGTGCAGGCGGATGAGTCAGGGCTCATAGGTTAACGCAGAGGTTGAGTGGTGACTGGGAGTGTGGGTGGATAGGTTTACATACAGTGGTTATTCTCCTGGTTGTTCTCAGGCCAGCCTCTCACGCTGCAATTGTTGTTCTTTCTCCTGTGCTGCATGCTTCTGGTTGTGTTGCTGCATCACTGTGTGCATGTATGCGTGCATGCATGTGTGTGAGCAGGCAAGAACAAGCCTGTGATCAAGAAGGCCATGGTTGAATTCGAGGGTGAGTTTCTCCAGCCCAGAGTGCCCCCCTGTCCACGATTTCCTTAGATTCCAACACCCGTCTGACCAGACAGACCTGTAGCCTCTCTCCGTGACCGTCCACGATTGCTGCATGCCCCACCTGCATTGCCCCATCTGCATGCCCCACCTGCATGCCCCATCTGCATGCCCCACCTGCATGCCCCATCTGCATGCCCCACCTGCATGCCCCATCTGCATGCCCCATCTGCATGCCCCATCTGCATGCCCCATCTGCATGCCCCATCTGCATGCCCCACTTTCCGGCTCCATGCCATGTGTGTTGACACGAACTGTGAGCCCATGCTTTTGACACGAAATCTCCCTTGTCCGTTCTGTGTCCAGGTGCGCCCTTCAAGAAGTTTGTCTCGGTGCGTGACGACTGGGCTCTCAACGATCGCTACAGAAGCCCAGGTACAGCCCGCACTCCCTCTTCCATCCCTAGCACAAAACACACAAACACTCGCACTTCCCTTTCCCTTTTCCCCCCCTCCTTCCCCCCCTCCTTCCCCTGCTTTTCTGCTCCATCTTGCCCTATCCACTGGCTTGATATAGCACTTGCCTTTGTACCCCCTGTAAGCTCCGGCTTCATAACCCACTCTCATGCTGCTTCCTTATTCGCATGTCCCTCGTGATGCTCCTCCCACTTGTTCTTCCAGGCCCTGTGCAATTCGAGGGCCCCACTGCTTCCCAGCCCAACCTCACACTGCTGCTGGAGCAAGGAGTCTCCATCTAGAAATACTAAAGCTGCTTTTAGGTATAGCGCATGTGTGTGCATCTGTTTTGGAGACCCTGATTTCTTTGTTCGGACAGCATAGCAACTCCAAGTCAACTGCCATGGCATGGCATGATCTTTGGAGGCAATTAGGGTTGGGCTGGGGCGTTGTGTTTTTGAACCGTCTTTGGTGATCGTATGGAACGTCACTACTAAACGGTTCAATTAAATGACAAGTCGGTGCAATTCTGTGAAGGATGAAACACCAACCCAGGAGCTTCACTAATTGTTATAAAATCTAAAACAGAGTAAAGCGCAGAACACTATAGAGGAGCTGGACTACAAATTGTCTCCTTAGTATGAAAGTCCTAGATTATGTAATGCTAGTTGACTGGGGTTGAGCCTCGAGAGTTCGACCAGTCAAGGGCTCGAGAGTCTCGAGGGCGACGGGGTCAAATTGGGTTCGGGGCGCCTTGGTAACAGGTTCGGAGCCAAGTAGTTCGGCGAGGGTGGTTTGACGCGAGAGTTGAGGGCCGAGCCTGGGGACGCATTCTGTTCGCGTTACTCGCTGTTGCGTGCCTCAGTAAGGATTCCTGAATTCCTTACACCAAACCAGGAGCTTCACCAACCCAGGAGCTACACCAATTTACTGTACACGTTTTCTGTTCCTTGTGTCGAGCATCGCACAGCCGCCACTGGTTCAAACTCTCCCCCCAAATCAGCAGCCAAGGTTTTCTGACCCAATCCGAACCAAAACAGCATTATGAGCACCAGAACAACCACAAGCACCTTGCAATCTTCAGGCAGAATTCCAAGTCCGAAGGACGGCACGGTTTTGCGTTTGAGCGACACATCGGCTGCATAGGTGTTGGGAGATTGACCATTCGCCCAGGAGAGAGGCTATGGCTGCCACCGTCCCCACGACTCCTAGTTTCGACGTCAATGTGCGTTGGACTGCTGCTCGATATAAGCGCAAAATCGGCCTACGAGGCGTCTGAACATTTTATTTTCCCCAGAAATGACCTGTTTCCTAAACCAGGAATCAGCATCAAACACAGAGTCAGCCAACGTATCGGCAGGGATGGTGTCCGCTTGTACAATGCTCTGCCTGCTCCGAGATCGCCGCAGTCAGGAGACGTTAGATTTTGATTCTGTCAGTAACCGTTAGGCTTTAATTATGTCGTTAGACGTTAGATCTTCATTCCTCACTACCCTTGATTTCCGCAGCCTATAGTTGGGAACCGCTCTTCGTTGTAGCGGGGCCAATAGTGACTGAATCAAGCGGCGTAAGTACAAGTGCCGCGGCTATTCACCAATTCTCCCTTTTCTCACGCCCGCATATTCCACCAGCCAAGGCCTGGCGAGCCGTTCTTGCTTATAGCGGGGCCGAATGTGATTGAATCGGAGGAACACACGCTGCGCATGGCACAGGCTATAAAAGAGGTCGCTGAGAGGTAGGGGGGCCATGGGGAAGGGGGCGAAGAGGGGGGGAAGGGGATTTTGGGTGGGTGGGAAACGGTTTGGATTGGGGGAACACACGCTGCGCATGGCACGGGCTATAAAAGATGCCGCTGAGAGGTAGGGAGATCACGGGGCGAGGTTTCGGGGATCTAGGCAAGCATGGCAGGGAGATTTTCGAGAAAGCATAGTGCAGGTCATCAAAACTGGAAGGCCGTCCATGTGGGGTAGGTGGACAAGGGTGCCAAAGAAAGCCTTAGGTGATTTTTGAGTCGACTAAAAAATCACCTCGTGTGGGGTAGGTGGACAAGGGTGCCAAAGAAAGCCTTAGGTGATTTTTGAGTCGACTCAAAAATCACCTCGTGTGGGGTAGGTGGACAAAGGTGCCAAAGAAAGCCTTAGGTGATTTTTGAGTCGACTCAAAAATCACCTCGTGTGGGGTAGGTGGACAAGGGTGCCAAAGAAAGCCTTAGGTGATTTTTTAGTCGACTCAAAAATCACCTCGTGTGGGGTAGGTGGACAAGGGTGCCAAAGAAAGCCTTAGGTGATTTTTTAGTCGACTCAAAAATCACCTCGTGTGGGGTAGGTGGACATGGGTGCCAAAGAAAGCCTCACCTGAAACCCTCTGGTGGCTGCGTGCGTGGTTCAGTCGGAAAGCCTTACTTAGAGTGTCAATGTGAGAGCTTGAAAAGCACGACTCTTCGCTCATTGTCCTTCAGTTTAGGCCAAAGGCCATGTTGAGAGTTGAGTGAAGGTCTCTGCTCACATTGACCACACTCATGTTGCAGGGCGTTTTTTAGAATTCTCGAAAACACCCTGCAGCGATCAAATATTCCTCGGCAGCAATCACATTGACTGCTCTGAGGGAAGTCAATGGTGGTGCCTTGCGTCGATACTGCCTGCCTGCCTGGTTTCTCCTTGCTGCGGTCCGCCTTGGTGTGTGCTGCGGTTCGCCTTTGAGCCAATGCAAGGCTGGGTTACACGCTCTCTCTCACTCTTGATACAAATCACTCTCAACTCCAACACGTCATGCTTCCCTTGCATTCCCTCTCTTTTGCATTTTGAGGCATCTCAAACATCTTGTTATGAGCACACGCTAACACCTCATACTCCCCCCCCCTCACTCCCTTCCCCATGCCCCCCCCACCTCATGTTTCCCTTGTAATCCGCTTTGTAATCCGCTTTGTAATCCGCTTTGTAATCCGCTTTGTAATCCGTCTCTTATGCCGCCACGATTCACCTCAGCCTGGATCTGCGGTTTGTCTTCAAGGCGAGCTTTGACAAGGCCAATCGCACGTCAGCAAATTCGTTCAGGGGCCCGGGAATGGAGGAAGGGCTCAAGGTAACTCCGAGAAGGGGGGGCTGGAAGGGGGGGGGGGGGGTGGAAGGGGGGGGGGGACGGGGGGATTGGAAGGGGGGGGTGGAAGGGGGGGGGTGGAGTTCATCTTTGAAGCGAGATTTGACGGCCAATCGCACGTCAGCACACGCATTCAGAGGCCCGGAATGGAGCAATGGCTGGAGGCAACTTCAATGGAAGGTGTCGGGGGGGAGGAAGGAAGGGGCAAGGGGGGTTCATTCATATTCAAAACAAGCTTTGACAAAGCCAATTGCACGTCGGCACACTCCTTCCAAGGACTGGGATTGGAGCAAGGGCTCGCGGTTACTCCAAGAGAAATGGCCTTTTCAGGCCTTTTGGTAGCTTCAAGGTCGAGAGGTTGTTGAGCCAACAGTATGCAAAAGTGACTTTGAAGTCAACTCAAAAGTCAATTGATCCGAAACAGATTTCACCCTTTTGTTTCCCTCTCAAAGTCTACTCACCTGTTTCCCTCTCAAAGTCTACTCACCTGTTTCCCTCTCAAAGTCTACTCACCTGTTTCCCTCTCACCCTTTCCCTTGCATGAGTCGACTCAAAAATCACCCTTTCCCTTGCACGAAAGACTGTTCAGTGAACACTTCCTCCTAACTTCCTCCTCTATGGTCCCACTCCCGCTTCCACACACGTGTTCCTTCGTACACGTGTTCCTCCCTTCCTTCCAATCGGTGCATTTCCCTCCCTGCTGAGTGTGCCCTGATAGCGCTGGTTATTTCACCTTCCCATGACCTCACGTTTTCGCCTTCTACATTGCATGCATCTCAATCCTTCCGATATGTGCATTTTCCGCCCTGCTAAGTGGGCCATGGTTGCGCTTATTATTTCACGTTATTTTGAGTTTCTGCATTAACTGAAATGGTTTCTGCAGAAATGCCTGTATGGATTCCATTCACATTTCCACTACCTCTCTCCTCCCCTTGCATCCCTCCCCTGCCTGTGCAACAGATTTTGGCGCAAGTGAGGCAGCAGGTGCAGGTGCCGGTGCTCACAGACGTACATGAAACGAGCCAGGTGCGTCACAGGCGAGATGAAACGCGCCAGGTGCGTCACAGGCGAGATGAAACGCGCCAGGTGCCTGCCTGTCATCCGTGCCTGCACAGTGCGAGCCGGTCGCGAAGGTGGTGGACGTCATTCGGATCCCAGCTCTCCTGCACACTCAGTGCTCCACTGCTTCGTGCTCCTCTCCCTCTCTTCCAGCTCTCCTGCACACTCAGTGCTCCACTGCTTCGTGCTCCTCTCTCTCTCTTCCAGCTCTCCTGCACATTCAGTGCTCCACTGCTTCGTGCTCCTCTCTCTCGCTTCCAGCTCTCCTGCACACTCAGCGCTCCACTGCTTCGTGCTCCTCCCTCTCTCTCTCTTCCAGCTCTCCTGCACACTCAGTGCTCCACTGCTTCGTGCTCCTCCCTCTCTCTCTCTTCCAGCTCTCCTGCACACTCAGTGCTCCACTGCTTCGTGCTCCTCTCTCTCGCTTCCAGCTCTCCTGCACACTCAGCGCTCCACTGCTTCGTGCTCCTCTCTCTCTCTTCCAGCTCTCCTGCACACTCAGCGCTCCACTGCTTCGTGCTCCTCCCTCTCTCTCTCTTCCAGCTCTCCTGCACACTCAGTGCTCCACTGCTTCGTGCTCCTCTCTCTCTCTTCCAGCTCTCCTGCACACTCAACGATCCCTTCTCTTTTGGCGATTGCCCCGGCCTCATCCTCTCTTTCTGCCTGTCGTCTTCCCCCCCACGGCACAGTGCGAGCCGGTCGCCAATGTGGTGGACGTCATTCAGATCCCGGCCTTCCTCTGCAGACAGGTGAGAGGCGATGCGATGAGGTGTGCAGGGGTGTGCAGGGTGTGCAGGCAGGTGAGTGTTAGATGCGTGCAACAGAGAGATGCAGCCAGGCACAGCACCCAGGAGGTGGACGTCACTCAGATCCCGGCCTTCCTCTGCAGACATGTGACTGCTAGAGGTGCGCAATAGATACATTTGGACAGGTGACCCTTCCTCAGGTGACCCTTCCTCAGGTGACTCTTCTTCAGGTGGCCCTCCCTCAGGTTAGCATTGTGCCGCTCCATGTGAACTGAATGTGCACTACACATGGCGTCTTGTACGCATGAGGCAATCTTCGGTCGAAACTGCTTTACTCACACACTCCATGGTCGAACACTAGAGGTAAACTCATTCCTCATGCCCCATCTCTCCCTCATTCCCCTGGTCCCTCCCCTAATGCCCGTTCCCCTCCCCCCCCCCCTTCCGTCCTTTCCCTCTTTCCTGCAGTAGACGGACCTGCTGACGGCAGCAGCGCGTACCGGCCGGCCCATCCACATCAAGAAGGGGCAGATGTGCAGCGCTGAGGTGAGGTGCGGTGCAGTGCAGTGAGTTGAGGTGAGGGGAGGTGAGGGGAGGTGAGTTGGGGTGAGGTGGGGTGAGGTGGGGTGAGGTGCGGTGAGGTGAGGTGAGGTGAGGTGAGGTGAAGTGCAGTGAGGCGAGGTGAGGTGAGGTGATTGTTTTGATGAGAATGAATGATGTGATTTTACATTTTGAAAGATCGGGCAGGTGTGCAGTGCTGAGGTGAGTTGAGGTTAGGTGAGTTGAGGTTAGATGAGGTGAGGTGAGGTGAGGTGAGGTGAGGTGAGGTGAGGTGAGGTGATGAATGGATTCGATGGGGTGTTCTGTTGTTTTGGTGATGTTGACAGTTTCTTGAGGAGTTGCCTGCATTGACTAAAATCAATGCATCCATGTTCCCATGCATGCACCCGACCGAGCACCTGTATCTTATTTTTGAGGCGCCTCAAAAACCTGAGCACCTGTATCTTACTTATCAATGTATTCATTCACGACCAGGCAGTCGGGCACTGCCCATAAGTGCTTGCCTGTATGCGGCACATACGCGCACTTGATTCATATATTTTTCCTTGCGCTCTCAACTGAATCACTCCCCAATCACCCGGTGGTGGTGGCAGCAGCAGACAAGGTGAAGGCGGCTGGCAGTCCCCAATATTGCTACTTCCCACCTATACGAGTGGATTCATCTATCCAGTTTTCCATCCGTGCATGCATGCATGCATGCACTCTCTCCCAATCACCAGGTCGTGCCTGCAGCAGCAGCAGACAAAGGTGAAGGTGGCTGGCTGGCACTGCCCACAAGTGCCTGCGTGCATGCCATACATACAGACAGACATACAGTAAATTCATATCTTTTCGTTTGCACAACCCCTAAATAAACACCAGGTAGTGGTGGCAGCAGCAGACAAGGTCAGAGCAGCCGGCAATCCCCATGTGATGGTGTGTGAGCGGGGCACCATGTTTGGGTACGGAGATCTGATCTTGGATCCTCGCAATCTGGTCCAGATGCGGGCGGCAAACTGCCCTGTGGTTGCTGACGTTACCCACTCCTTGCAGCAACCTGCACAGCGACAGGTAAGGCTAGAAGGCTCCTGACTCCTTCTGACTCCTGTTGACTCCTGTTGACTCCTTCTGGACTCCTGTTGACTCCTGCTGACTCCTTCTGACTCCCCCTATCCCCCTGTGTGCAGTTGCCAGGAGGGGGTCTAGCAAGTGGAGGGCAGAGGCACCTGATTCCAGCAGTGGCGCGTGCATGTGTGGCGGTGGGAGTGGATGGCATCTTCATGGAGGTAGGGGCTACATCCGTCTAGATGCATGTGTGGTGGTGATCAGGATGAATGTATGGTGCATGTGTGGCGGTGGGGGTGGATATCTTCATGGAGGTACAGCTGAGTTTTTTTTGTTACCATGGAGGCACTGCGCATGCCTCGTGCAGGCATGAGGGATGTGACCATGCATGAGGGATGTGAGCATGCATGTGTGGCGGCGGGGGTGGATGGCATCTTCATGGAGGTACTGTGTACTGTGGATGGGAAAAAGTTGGATTCGATCTGCAGCAAGCCTCCTAAGAGTAGATTTAGGTCCTCATGGAGGTACTACTGCGCATCTAATCAGCCAAGGTAATAGACCCACCTTTATGCCCTGCTTGGGTCGAAGCAGTAGTCGTGCGTGCAGTGCACGTGTGGCGGTGGGAATAGATGCAGGGTAACTGTGCTTCTTTGGTTGGTGCGGGGTTTGACTGACTGTTTGACTGACTGTTTGACTGACTGTTTGACTGACTGTTACAGTCAGTCAAAAGGCGCATGCATATGTGGCAGCAATCTGTTGCTCTTGCCTTTCCCCTCCAACGCCCATCACCACCCTCTCTGCCACCTGTCACCTGATAGAAGATCTGTTTTGAGACGTCTCAAGCCTATAACCTTCCTCTCTGCTGCCTGTAACCTTCCTCTCTGCTTCCTGTAACCTTCCTCTCTGCCACCCATAACTTTCCACTCTGCCGCCCATAACCTTCCTCTCTGCCGCCCATAACGTTACTTTCGGCGCCCCGTCACTCTTCTTCTGCCGCCCATCACCCGTTCCCGATCCTGCCACCTGTCAGGTTCATGACAATCCCGAGGCTGCTCCTGTGGACGGCCCGACACAATGGGTGAGTGGGGGGAAAGACGGGAGAGGTGAAATTGGGGAAGAGATGACGGTTGCATGAAGTGAGTAGAAGGGGGAGGGTTAGCGATTGTTCGAGTGAAGTCACCGTGGGGCTCAGCCACTGCCATCAGCGTTCGTTGAGCAGGTGTATTTTCAGCCAACGCAAAATATGAAAGGGTGGTGGTATGTGCCACAGCCGTCACCATAAATCCAACCAGTGGAAATTTCGTTCAGTTTTCCCCCATCCCTTCTCCCACCTCTGGGTCTCCCGTGTCCTGCAGCCCCTTCATTTGTTGAGACCACTGCTGACAGAACTGGTCGCCATTGCGGTGAGACTTGGGGCTCGCTTGAGTGGGTTTTGGCGCATTGGGATGTATGTTGTGTTTTTTTCCGAATTAATTTGTTTACATGACAAACCAAGCTGCATTGACATTCTGATCATGCCATGTTTTCGCATGTCGTGCCCATGCATTTCAGCATCCAATCATGTCCTCAAGATGTTCGCGTGGTTTTGTGTGGTTTGCAATGCGGTGCAGGCTGCGACTAAAGGGAAAGAAACGTCATACGTTTGAGATTTTACGCTACCTCTTTAGGATTTGTTCGTACATTCTGCATGCTAAACGAGAGGCTTCAAAGCTACAATTTTGGGGTGTCTTGTGACAGCCGATGTATGTGACAGCAAATGTATGTGACAGCAAATGTATGTGTGTTGAGGCTTTCGAGCTTTAGCGTATTCAGTGGAGGGCATTCAGTGTGACATATCCAGGATATCCTACGATGTCGCACCCAGTCGCGTCCCCGATGTCCTGTTTCGCGCAATGCACCGCCATACCTGGCCACTTCCCTGTCTGTCGGGGCTGGTTCAAGATTCTGAACATCCAGCCCTGCGATGCGACATTGTGACACCCAGTGCCTGTCGTTCATGACACTGTATGCAGCGTGGCGGCTCGCATCCTCCTCCCTTCGTTTCGCACACTGTCGCCGCAGGAGCCACGAATCACACTCTGATCGCACCGCTAGCGTCCGACAGTGTCCGGGGCGCGCCACAAATCACCTGCACCAGTCGCCCGCCCCTAGATGCCTCTTCGGCTTGAAATGTCGGTTGCCGCCAAAGCGCGAACTTCGTGCTCCGCCTTACCCTAGAGAGTTGTTGGGCTTTTCTAGAGAGGAAACCCTCAATCCATACTTGACCTGAGCAGATTTGAAATTATACCATTCAGAAAGCTGATCAAACCGCACAGAACCAGGCTGGACTCTACCTACAGAGCCAGCCGAGGCAGATTTCTGAACATTCCAGGTTGCAATTTTGGAAGTTCAGGGGGTTGGTCTGTTTGTGGTGTGGGTTGCGTCTTGCTTGCATCTCTCATCTCGACTCTCGTCTCCTCTTTTCCTCTTACCTCTTGAAAAGACGAGTGTGGTAAAACGCAGCGCAGGCTCTAATGCTGATAGCGTCTAGCAGATTATTCGACCTTTGGTTTTCTTGTCGCGCCTCGATGGCTCTCGCGAGCTCCTGGCCTTATTATCTTCTCCAGTTTCTGTCCGTGGCGTTCTCAATACTTCTAGACCCTAAGCACGGCTTCCTCTGGGAGTGACTATAGTGAATAAGCTGCTAGTGAATCCATTCCTCTCAAAACAATCTTCGAGAGCTTCAAGTTAGGTCGTGCGTCACTGGGTTTAATTCGCTATTGAACTAAGCATTTGACGTAGTTTCTAGAAGCCTGACGGATGTCCTTCAGTCGGATCGCGAATCCGAAGGAATCGACGGCTGGTTTGCAGTCCGCAGTATCCGGGCCGAAGCTTCGGGCCGGGCTTCGCGAAAGCTAGTCCGTATTCCAGTGTTCGGTATCCCTGCGTGTCTGTAGTAGGCGAATTGGCTCTGCAGGAGTCTAGCGAAACAGATTCCCTGGTCTGAGGCGGCTCGGAGTAGTCTGGGAAAACTATTTTCAGCCATAGAAATGGCAAGGCCACAGGTTTTCGCGCGCGTTCTACTGAGACTGTTCTTGATCGCGCTCGCAGCAACGATACTATGCAGCCACCATTCTGGTCGCCCGTGTAAGTTTTTTCGACATGTACGAAACACGCTTACGGTAATACGCTCTCACAGCTAACATCATCCCACCACTTTGCTCTTTCATGTTCTGCCGACCGAACGGCCTCGTAAGCCTCGCTCGCTCGATCTTCCTCGTACGATATCTTTCGCTCTGAACGAGTCGTTGCACTCTATGATATCAGATGAATCTCTTCGAACCACGTGGGTCTTGTTTTTCCTCGTTATTAGCAGTCCGTATTGATAACCTCCTGACTTCTTCTTGGGGAAGACAATCATCTGACGGAGTTTACTATTCGTATCTTAAATTCGTTTGCCCCTCGGTCTTTCTTCTTCCCCCACCTCCTCCCCCCCCCCCCTTCCCCCCCCCCCCCCCCCCCCCCCCCCCCCCCCCCCCTCCCCAACCCCCCCCCTCCCCAACAACCCCCCCCTCCCCGCGACCCCTGTTCTCCGCGCACCAGCTCTGATCCCACCAGTGGGCGCGATTCAAGTCGACCTGGCGAAAGCGAAGTTACCGTTACCGCCGTGGGGGCAGGGGCGCGCGAAGATCGACCTCGCGAAACTTAAGCTACCGAAGTTACCACCGTCGCCGTACGAGCGCGAGTGGGCGAAGTTTCGCCAGAGCGACGGGCTGCTGTCGCTGGACTACGTGAAATCGCTGCAGGCGCAAGCTCGGACGAGTGCTACGAAGAAGAAGAGCGGGAGTGATGTCTTTAAAGTCGTCTTCGTAAGTACTACATGAACCGTGCCTCTCTTTTGGGTCGACTCGAAAGTCAGCTGCAGGCGCAAGCTCGGACAGGGGCAACGAAGAAGAAGAGCAGCGGTGACGTCTTTAAAGCCGTCTTCGTAAGTACCTGGACTGTCGTAGCCAGGCCGAAGCAGACGACTAAGAACGTGGCTGACGCGGCAGTGCCTAAGCCCAACAGCGCCTATTCCTACCTAGTGGCCTATAACCGCTCGTACACGTACGCCGGGCCCAAGCAGACTATTGCGGAGTGTAGTTTTGAGGCGCCTCAAAACTGGAGTGTGTGCAACTCTCTCCATTCCCGTCTCCTGTTCCCCACGGCCTGGCAGGGTTTCAGCTATGTGCAAATCAAAACGTCTCGTTCCTTATCCCCGCCCCTGCTCCAACTCTTTCCCCCCTTCCCTTCCGCCCCCCAGTGTTCCCCCACGCCCTCTCTCCCCGCCCAAGAACCTGCTTCTGAACTCTAGAATGGAAAAAGGTACCACGTCGCGGCAGAGTTTCGGCTACGTACGGATCAAAGCCATGCAGTACACGACAGCGCCAAAGCCCTACTACAACCTGGTGGCATATAACCGCTCGTACACGTACGCCGGGCATGACAGGGGTTTGGCTACACGCCAAACATAACCTTCCTTCCCTTATTCCCGTTCCTGCTCCAACTCCCCCCCCACCCCTTCCACCTCCCTTCCCCCTCCCTTCCCCTCTCCCCCCCAGTGTTCCCCCACGCCTTCCCCCCCACTTAAGACGGAAACCTGTTCCTCAACCCCGCCATGGAGCAGGGCACCACCGCCTCAGTTGCATCCCTCCCCCCTCCCCTCTCTCCCTCCCAGTGTTCCCCCACGCCCTCTCCTCCCCCCGCTCAAGACGGCAACCTCTTCCTCAACCCCGCAATAGAGCAGGGCACCACAACCTGGCAACACTAGTGGGCTGCAACCTTACTCCATTCCCTTATTCCCCTTCCCCTGCTCCTACCCCCCCTCCCCCTCCCCATCTCCTCTTCCCCCAGTGTTCCCCCACGCCCTCTCCCCCTGCCCAAGACGGCAACCTGTTCCTCAACCCTAGCATAGAGCAGGGCACCACGGCCTGGCAGGGGTTCGGCTATGCGCCGATCAAAGCCGTGCAGAACACGACGGCGCCAAAGCCCTTCTCCTACCTGGTGGCGTACAACCGCTCGTACACGTACGCCGGGCCCAAGCAGAGTATCAAGAACGTGGCAGCAGCGGCGTATGAGCTGGCGGTGTGGGTGCGGATCGATGCGGGGGAGCGTCAGTATGTCACTGCAACGGCTAAGATCAATGATAAGTAAGTGCAATACTTAAAGGCATTCTAAGCATGTCACAGTCGGTCAGTTACGTACGGGGCTGAGAGCAGCGTATGAGCTTGTGAGATGGGTGAGGCTGGATGTTGGGGGGGAGCTGCAGTGTGCTTTTGCAACAGCTGAATTCTTATTAGTGAATGTACTATCTATGGCTACAGTCAATGATAAGTTAGTATGATCATGAAGCTCATCATAAGCTTTTCGTTTGCTCGTTTTTTTACACAAGGGATGATTTCCTGGCGCAGCTGGAGCAGTGAAGAAAAACGCCATCTAAAAGCCGTTTTTATTGTTGTGGTGTTATGTCGCTATTTCACGGGCAGGTACGTGTGCATAGGAGGGGCCAACGCTCGCTCCACGTGCTGGACGAAATTAACAGGGGGCTTTACCCTGCATGAGCCGGCTGCTGAGGTGGCGCTGTACGTGCAGGGGGCGGCGGTGGGGACCGAGATCTGGGTGACGTCAGCATCGCTCCTGCAAGTGGATATGGACAAGTGGAGGAGCCGACAGAACGAGAATATAAAGAAGGTGAGAAGGTGTGAGAAGGTGTGAGACGGTGTGAGACGGTGTGAGCCCAAAGAATGTGCCCCCACCCCATGCACAGCATAAGTCTCACGCACCCATGCTCCTGCAAGTGGATATGGACAAGGGGATGAGCCGGCAGAAGGAGAAAATAGAGAAGGTGAGAAGGGTTGGGCGAAAGGTGAGGGTTTTTTTTGGGTGCGAGCGTAATAACAAGGGTTAGAACGAATATGGACAAGTGGAGGAGCCGACAGAAGGAGAAGTAGGGGAATATGTATAAGGGTGAGTAGATTGCCCGATGTGCCTCATGCCCCTCTGACCCATCTCCCCCCTACCAGTACCGCATGTGGCCTGTGCGGTTGTCCCTTCAAGCCTGGGGCTCAGCCTGGTGCCGGCACGCGTGCTTCGAGCTGTCTCAACGTACACCCGTGTGTCCCCTGCACCCCATGCACCCCATGTACCCCATGCACCCTGTGCACCCCACGCATCCCATGCACCCCATGCACCCCATGCACCCCATGCACCCCATGCACCCCATGCATCCCATGGACCCCATGCACCCCATGCACCCCATGCACCCACCCCATGCACCCCATGCACCCCGTCCACCCCTTGCACCCTGTGCACCCTGTGCACCCTGTGCACCCCATGCACCCCATGCACCCCATGCACCCCATGCACTCCGTCCACCCCGTTCACCCCGTTCACCCCGTTCACCCCATGCACCCTATGCACCGTATGCACCCCATGCCCTCCATTCCCCACCACCAGTTCTGCGTGCGGCCTGTGCGGCTATCTCTACGACGCTTGGGGCTCAACCTGGTGTTGACACGCGTGCAGATCGACTCAGTACACCATTGCTCCATGTGCCCCATGCCCCATGTGCCCCATGCCCCATGTGCCCCATGCCCCATGTATCATATCCCCATCACAGTACTGCAGGAGCTCTGTGTGGCATTTTGGTGCCGGCATGCGTGCAGTTCGACCAGGTCTCGTTGGATTTCTTCTTTTGTGATGACGTATCTCGTCTTCCCCTGTTGCTCCATCCCCCCCCCACCAGCACCGCATGCGCCCTGTGCGACTATCTCTTCAAGGGCTGGGCTCAATCTAGTGCCGGCACGCGTGCAGATGGACTCAGAACACCCATTGCGCCATCTGTCCCATGCCCCTCTGCTCTATTCCCGCATCGCAGTACCGCATGCGCCCTGTGCGCCGGTCACTGCAACACCTGGGGCTCAACCTGGTGCCGGCATGCTTGCAGATCTACCAGGTCCCGTTGGACTTCCCCTTTGGCGCCTAAACATCCCAACTTCTCCCCTATTGCCCCATCTCTCCCCCTCCCCCCCCCCCCCCCCTCCCTCGCGCGGCATTACAGTACCGCATGCGCCCTGTGCGGTTATCTCTGCAAGGCCTGGGGCTCAATATAGTGCCGGCACGCGTGCAGATCGACCAGGTCTCGTCGGACTTCCCCTTTGGTGCTAACGTGAATGGCGCTATTCTCTACGACACTGCTTATCAAGAGGTGAGGTGATGCCGTCAAGAGGTGAGGTGATTGCTTAGGCGCCTCAGAAGTGGTTTCTAGCAGTGGAAATGCCATCTGCCCTCTTTGTCCAACGCCATTTCTCCTCCTCCCACCCAACCCCAGTGGTTGCTAATCAACTTCAACTGGGCGGTATTCAACAATGCGGGCTACTGAACCTCCAACCACTGAGCGATTGCCTTACAATCCCCCTCTCCTCCCGTTCCTCTCCGCCCTGCTCCAGTGGTTGCTGAACCGCCTCAACTGGGCGGTGTTCTACAATGCGGCCACGTGGCACTTCAACAAGCAGAAGCAGGGCCGCTGGCCCCCATCTCACGCCCCCTCACTCCATTCTCCCCTTACCCCTCCTCCTCCCGTCCACTGGTTCCTGAGCCGCTTCAACTGGGCGGTGTGCAACAGCGAGGGCAAGTGGTACTACATCAACCTGCCACCCTCCACCTTGCAATTCACTTCTCCTCCTCTCCTTTCTCTCCCCCACACCCCCATATGTCCTCATGTCCAGTAGCTCCTAAACCGCTTGAGCTGGACGGGGTTTAACAATGAAGACAAGTGGTACTTCTACCCCCTGCCATCACCTTACCCCCTTCTCCCCCCCTTCCGCACTCTCTCCCCATTATCCCCCCACTTCCAGTGGTTTTTGAACCGATTCACCTGGGCAGTGTCAAAGAACGAGGGCAAGTGGCACTCCAACCACTGAGCCATCCATCACCTTCCTCCTCCCTTCTTCCTATTCTCCTCGGCAATTTCAGTGGTTCTTAAATAGGTTCAACTGGGCAGTGTTCAACAACGAGGGCAAGTGGTACTTCAACGAGCGGCGGGAGGGGGTGGAGGACTACAACGTGACGGATGCGCTCGTGGACTGGTTCATTGAGAGGAACGTGAGCGTGCGCGGCCACAACGTGTTCTGGGCGGTTGAGAAATTCGTTCAGACATGGGTCAAGGTGAGTCAATGCTGGTCAAGGGGAGTCAACGTGGGTCAAAGGGAGTCAACATCGGTCGAAGTAAGTCAACGTGGGTCGAGGCGAGTCGACGTGGGTCGAGGCGAGTCCACATGGGTCGAGGCGAGTCAACGTGGGTCGAGGCGAGTCAACATGGGTCGAGGCGAGTCAACGTGGATCGAGGTGAGTCAACGTGGGCCAATGCAAGTCAGGAGGGAGGACTACAAAGTGACAGATGCGCTGGTGGAGTGGTTTATTGAGAGCGTGAGTGTGTGCGGGCACAATGTGTTCGGGCGTTCGAGAAGTTTGTGCAGTCGTGGGTCAAGTTGAGGTGAGTCAATGCTGGTCAAGATGAGTCAATGCTGGTCCAGATGAGTCATGCTGGTCCAGATGAGTCATGCTGGTCCAGATGAGTCATGCTGGTCCAGATGAGTCATGCTGGTCCAGATGAGTCATGCTGGTCCAGATGAGTCATGCTGGTCCAGATGAGTCATGCTGGTCCAGATGAGTCATGCTGGTCCAGATGAGTCATGCTGGTCCAGATGAGTCATGCTGGTCCAGATGAGTCATGCTGGTCCAGATGAGTCATGCTGGTCCAGATGAGTTTTTTCATGCTGGTCCAGATGAGTCATGCTGGTCCAGATGAGTCATGCTGGTCCAGATGAGTCATGCTGGTCCAGATGAGTCATGCTGGTCCAGATGAGTCATGCTGGTCCAGATGAGTCATGCTGGTCCAGATGAGTCATGCTGGTCCAGATGAGTCATGCTGGTCCAGATGAGTCATGCTGGTCCAGATGAGTCATGCTGGTCCAGATGAGTCATGCTGGTCCAGATGAGTCATGCTGGTCCAGATGAGTCATGCTGGTCCAGATGAGTCATGCTGGTCCAGATGAGTCATGCTGGTCCAGATGAGTCATGCTGGGTCCAGATGAGTCATGCTGGTCCAGATGAGTCATGCTGGTCCAGATGAGTCATGCTGGTCCAGATGAGTCATGCTGGTCCAGATGAGTCATGCTGGTCCAGATGAGTCATGCTGGTCCAGATGAGTCATGCTGGTCCAGATGAGTCATGCTGGTCCAGATGAGTCATGCTGGTCCAGATGAGTCATGCTGGTCCAGATGAGTCATGCTGGTCCAGATGAGTCATGCTGGTCCAGATGAGTCATGCTGGTCCAGATGAGTCATGCTGGTCCAGATGAGTCATGCTGGTCCAGATGAGTCATGCTGGTCCAGATGAGTCATGCTGGTCCAGATGAGTCATGCTGGTCCAGATGAGTCATGCTGGTCCAGATGAGTCATGCTGGTCCAGATGAGTCATGCTGGTCCAGATGAGTCATGCTGGTCCAGATGAGTCATGCTGGTCCAGATGAGTCATGCTGGTCCAGATGAGTCATGCTGGTCCAGATGAGTCATGCTGGTCCAGATGAGTCATGCTGGTCCAGATGAGTCATGCTGGTCCAGATGAGTCATGCTGGTCCAGATGAGTCATGCTGGTCCAGATGAGTCATGCTGGTCCAGATGAGTCATGCTGGTCCAGATGAGTCATGCTGGTCCAGATGAGTCATGCTGGTCCAGATGAGTCATGCTGGTCCAGATGAGTCATGCTGGTCCAGATGAGTCATGCTGGTCCAGATGAGTCATGCTGGTCCAGATGAGTCATGCTGGTCCAGATGAGTCATGCTGGTCCAGATGAGTCATGCTGGTCCATGGCAATGAGTCATGCTGGTCCAGATGAGTCATGCTGGTCCAGATGAGTCATGCTGGTCCAGATGAGTCATGCTGGTCCAGATGAGTCATGCTGGTCCAGATGAGTCATGCTGGTCCAGATGAGTCATGCTGGTCCAGATGAGTCATGCTGGTCCAGATGAGTCATGCTGGTCCAGATGAGTCATGCTGGTCCAGATGAGTCATGCTGGTCCAGATGAGTCATGCTGGTCCAGATGAGTCATGCTGGTCCAGATGAGTCATGCTGGGTCCAGATGAGTCATGCTGGTTCCAGATGAGTCATGCTGGTCCAGATGAGTCATGCTGGTCCAGATGAGTCATGCTGGTCCAGATGAGTCATGCTGGTCCAGATGAGTCATGCTGGTCCAGATGAGTCATGCTGGTCCAGATGAGTCATGCTGGTCCAGATGAGTCATGCTGGTCCAGATGAGTCATGCTGGTCCAGATGAGTCATGCTGGTCCAGATGAGTCATGCTGGTCCAGATGAGTCATGCTGGTCCAGATGAGTCATGCTGGTCCAGATGAGTCATGCTGGTCCAGATGAGTCATGCTGGTCCAGATGAGTCATGCTGGTCCAGATGAGTCATGCTGGTCCAGATGAGTCATGCTGGTCCAGATGAGTCATGCTGGTCCAGATGTCATGCTGGTCCAGATGAGTCATGCTGGTCCAGATGAGTCATGCTGGTCCAGATGAGTCATGCTGGTCCAGATGAGTCATGCTGGTCCAGATGAGTCATGCTGGTCCAGATGAGTCATGCTGGTCCAGATGAGTCATGCTGGTCCAGATGAGTCATGCTGGTCCAGATGAGTCATGCTGGTCCAGATGAGTCATGCTGGTCAAGGAGGGTCGACGCAGGTGAGGGGGACTACAATGTGATGGATGCCGAGACAAACTGATTTTTTTTAGAATTCTAAAAAAATAAATATTGATGGTTTTCGTGACATACTGACAGGAACGCCAACAAAAAGGCGTTGGCAGCATAAGCAAGTATAATGTGGAGGTGAGGGGCATCGATCCCCTTACCTATCGCATGCAAAGCGATCGCTCTACCATGTGAGCTACACCCCCATGTGCTCTAATGATGGGACACTACTCTGGGCAGCAATGCAACGACGCATGAACAGTGCAGTATCACGGTACAAGGGCAAGGCGCAGCGTGCACTCGTGGATGTTCAAGGCAGTTAGGGCTGTGATTCCAATGCCCTCTCCCTCTCCATTCCCCTCCGCCCTCGCCCCTTTCCCCTTCCTCTTCCCCTTCTCCTTTCGCTTTCCTCTTTCCCTTCCCCTTTCCCTTTCCTCTTTCCCCTTCCCCTTTCCCCTTCCTCTTTCCCCTTCCTCTTTCCCCTTCCCCTTTCCCCTTCCCCTTTCCCCTTCCCCTTTCCCCTTCCCCTTTCCCCTTCCCCTTTCCCCTTCCCCTTTCCCCTTCCCCTTTCCCCTTCCCCTTTCCCCTTCCTCTTTCCCTCTCTTCCCAGAATCTGAACGACACTGCCCTGTGGGCGGCCATGCAACGGCGCATGAACAGTGCGGTACCACGGTATAGAGACAAGGTGCAGCACTGGGACGTGATCAACGAACCGCTGCACGGCAACTACTTTGGGCAGCGCCTGGGGGAGGACGTGCACTCGTGGATGTTCAAGGCTGCCCGGGCGCTGGATCCCAACGTGCAGCTGTTTCTGAATGACTATAATACCGTGGAGCAGTGCGACAGAGGGGCCAACCCGGAAGTTTACCTCGAGGTGAGATGGTGGAGTGAAGCAACAGAGCGCAGTAGGGGGTGGGGGGACCTAGCGCCTGGGGGAGGACGGGCACTCGTTGATGTTCAAGGCTGCGAGGGCTCTGGATCCCAACGTGCAGCTGTTTCTGAACGACTATAGCACGGTGGTGTAGTGCGACAGGGGCGCCAATCCAGAGATACACATCGAGGTGAGAGGCAAGCTGACACGCAGTAACCTGTGGTTGGGGAGAGGGCGTGCAGTGCACTCGTGGATGTTCGAGGCTGCGAGGGCTCTGGACTGGATTTTTTAGAATTCTCAAAAATCACAAATCACCTACAACGCGAGGGCTGTGGACTGGACACGATCCCAAGGTGCAGCTGGTAGATCCCAAGGTTCTGTTCGTGCAGTGATAGTCATGCACAGTGATGCATTGTGCATGAGTATCACATGCACAGTGATGCACTGTGCATGACTATCACATGCACAGTGATGCATTGTGCATGACTATCACATGCACAGGCATCCACAAGCACAATGCTCCACCTGTGCATAACACGGCTGAGTGAGCCTTTTGAGAATTCTCAAAAAATAACATGGTGAAGCATTGTGACAGAGGGGCCAAGCCAACCCAGGGATACACCCTGAGATGAGTTGCTGGGGCGCGTATGTGCATGTGTGTGCGGTCTTAAAACGAGGGTGTACAGCAATTAGTGACTGACTGTACCACTGAGGATCGGTGACCAGGGGCCAACCCAGAGATGCCTCCAGTTGTTTTGGTGAGGAGATTATTTGGTGGGTGGATGCGGGAGATAGAGAGATGCGGAGGAAGCGCCATGGAGGCATCCTCATGTCTATGAATAAACCATGCGTGAGGAGTCTATTTTGGAGGCGCCTCAAAAATAGACTCCTCACTATGGAGGCATCTTCATCTTCCACTTTTTATAGAAGGGAAGCACGTGCCAATGCCTGTCACGTCTTCTCATTCTCTCCCTTAGCCATTTACCTCCTCTCTACCATTCTTTATCCCGCCTCTCTCCCTTCTCTTTTTCCCCCCTCTCCCCTTCCTCTCCAAGCAGAAGGTGTGGAATTTAAATGCCAGCGGTGCGCCAGTGACAGGCATTGGCGTGGAGGCACATTACAGTGGGGAGCCCCAGCTGGTGAGTTGGTGGTAGCAGGCTGGTAGCTGACTGACGGCTGTAGCAGTGGAGCTTTTTCAGAGAGGTAAACGGCTGTAGCCGTAGCGTGACAGGCACTGGCGTGGAGGCACATTACAGTGGGGAGCCCCAGCTGGTAAGTGGAGAGAGAGAGGGGCGGCGATCTGTTCTGGTGAGGGGCTAAATGGATGAGAGAAGCGAGAGGAGAGGAAGGATAGGGGTTGTGTATCCTCCAAGTAACTGCGCCCTCCACCCCAGCAGAGAGAGCCGACTACCTGAAGGCACACAAGTCAGGATATCGGCTCAAGTGAATCGCCTTCTCCCACCTCCTCCCCCCCCCACCCTCCTCGGTTTCGCCTGAAGCACAACTTGAATCGCCTGGCGATGGCGGAGCTCCCATTCGGCTGGTTTTGAGTCGAGTTAAAGGCGAAGCTCCCCTTTCGGCTGGCCGAGCTGGACTTCAGCGAAATCAAATCAAATCAAATCAAGCTACCTGAATCGCCTTCCCCCATCTCCTTGTCACCCCTCTTCTCAGGACCGCGACGTCAGCGAAATCTTTTTCAGAATTCTAAAAAACACACTGCTAAAACACGACTTGAATTGCCTGGCGCGATGGCGAAGCTCCCCATCATCTGGCTGACCGAACTAGACTTCGGTGAAGTGGAGTGGAGTCTGACTTCGGCCAGAGGGCGGATCACCGGAATCACTGTCCCTCATCACATTCTCCTTGCCTTCTCCTCAGGTTCGTCTGAAGCACGACTTGAATCGCCTGGCAATGGCTAAGCTCCCCATCTGGCTGACAGAGCTGGACTTCAGTGAAGTGGAATCAGACCACCAGAGGGCCAAGAGCATGAGTCGCTTCCTCATCTTCCCACTCCCCCTCTTTGCAGGTCCGCTTAAAGCACGACCTGAGGCCAAGCTCCCCATCTGGCTGACAGAGCTGGACTTCAGTGAGGTGGAGTCGGACGACCAGAAGAGAGGGCGGACTATCTCGAGGTGGTGATGCAGGAGGCCTTCGCCCATCCCAGTGTGGTCGGCATTGTGCTCCTCGCCCCTCCAAGCCTGGCCCACATTGCGCTCTGGTCGGCTGGTTGTGTGACTCCTCTCCTCTTACCTGCTTTCCCACCTCCTTTTTTCGCGCACTCTATCGTTGCAGGTCCGGCTGAAGCACGACTTGAATCGCCTCGCAATGGCAAAGCTCCCCATCTGGCTGACAGAGCTGGACTTCAGTGAAGTGGAATCAGACGATCAAAGGGCGGACTACCTGGAGGCGGTGATGCGGGAGTCTTTCGCCCATCCCAGTGTGGCCGGCATTGTGCTCTGGTCGGCCGGCCGCTCCACGTGCGCCTACTATAAGGACATCGACCCGGGGATGTGCAACCCGTGTGACGCATGCCTGGCAGACTCAAGCTTCAAAGATAACGAGGCTGGGAGAAGGTGAGAGGGTGGGAGGAGATGAGAGGGGGGGGAAAAGGTGAGAGGGCGGGAGAAGGGGCGAGAGGTTGGGAGAGAGGGAAAAGGGGAGAAAAGGGGTCAGGCAAGGGGCGAGGCAAGGGGTGAGGCACGGGGTGAGAAAAGGGATAATAACACGTTGTTCCAGGACCCACGGCATGCCACACGGTTTCCACGATGTTTGAACGACAGGCCGTAGGCCCATCTCAACTGCGGCGAGCTGACTTCTGAGTCGACTCAAAAGTCCACGATGTTTGAACGACAGGCCATAGGCCCATGGTCAACTGCACATCCCAATCCCCCCATCTCCATCTCTTTATCTTCTCCCCGTCCCCTCTCCAGATATGTGCGCCTGCGCAAGGAATGGTCCACCCATGTCAGCAGAGTGCTCTGGCTCGGCAAGGCCATGAAAGTCAGCCCCTTCCCTAAGACCAGGTACAGGAGCCTTGCGCTTTGTACCATGTTACTTTCTACCGTCTAACTTCTTCCCTCTGCCACTCTCCCCTGCCTTCCTATCCTCTCCTCTCCTCTCTTTTCTTTCCTGCCTCCCCCTCCCCTCTCCTCTCCTCTCCCCTCCCCCTCACCCTCCCTCTTTCACTCCCTCTCCTTGCTCTCTGCCTTTTCCCCCCTCGCCTCTACCTCCCCACCTCCTCTCCTCCTCTCCTCTCCTCTCCTCCCTTACCCTCCCCACTCGTCTCCTCTCCTCTCCCCTCCTCTCCTCCCCTCTCCTCTCCTCTCCTCTCCTCTCCTCTCCTCTCCTCGCCTTTCCTCTCCTCCCCTCCCCTCTCCTCTCCTCTCCTCTCCTTCCCTCTCCCCCATTATCCAGATACCAGGCCCTAAGAGCTGAGTGGAGCACTCACTTCGCTAGACGAACTCGGCTGGGTTTGCCCCTCTCCTTTACAGCCTTCCACGGCAGGTATGCTGCTACTCAAGCCAGGTAGCCCGCTGTCTGCATACCAGGCCCTGAGAGCTGAGTGCAGCACTCACTTTGCAAGGCGCACCCAGGTTAAGTTTGCCCCTCTCCTTACAGCCTTCCACAGCAGTCAGGTTATGTCTCTTCTTAAGCCAGGTAGCCTACCTACCCGGTACCAGGTCCTACGAGCTGAGTGGAGCACTCCCTTCGTAAGACGAACCCAGCTAGGCTTGCCCCTTTGCTTCACAGCATTCCCTGGCGGGTAAAGCCTTGCCCGGCACCTAGTGTAGTTTCTCAAGCCAGGTAGCCTGCCTTCCCGGTACCAGGTCCTACGAGCTGAGTGGAGCACTCCCTTCGTAAGACAAACCCAGCTAGGCTTGCCCCTTTGCTTCACAGCATTCCATGGCAGGTAAAGCCTTGCCCGGCACCTAGTGTAGTTTCTCAAGCCAGGTAGCCTGCCTTCCCGGTACCAGGTCCTACGAGCTGAGTGGAGCACTCCCTTCGTAAGACGAACCCAGCTAGGCTTGCCCCTTTGCTTCACAGCATTCCATGGCGGGTAAAGCCTTGCCCGGCACCTAGTGTAGTTTCTCAAGCCAGGTAGCCTGCCTTCCCAGTACCAGGCCCTAAGACCTGAGTGGAGCACTCTTTGCTAGGCGAACCCGGCTGGGCTTGCCCCTCTGCTTCACAGCCTTCCCTGGCAGGTAGGTGGCTCGGCAAGGAAGGTTTTTAACTGTTAAGTTTAAGTGGATTGGCTTAATGAAGATAGCTTGCTCGGCTGCGTGGAGCACTTACTTCGTGAGGCGAATTCGGCTGGGCTTTCCCCTCTCCTTCACAGCCGTCCACAGCTGGTGCGGATAAAGAGACGACTTTTGAGGTGACTCAAAATTCGGCTAGGCTTTCCCCTCTCCTTCACAGCCTTCCACACCAGGTGAAGAAGACTTGCACCGCAAGTAAAGCCTTCCCTGGCAGGTAATGCCAGCCCTGGCAGGTAAAGCCCTCCCCGGCGAGTAATCCTTCCTTGGCAGGTAATGCCTTGCGTGGCAGGTAAAGCCTTGCGTGGCAGGTAAAGCCTTGCGTGGCAGGTAAAGCCTTGCGTGGCAGGTAAAGCCTTGCGTGGCAGGTAAAGCCTGGCCCGGCAGGCAATGCTTGGCACGGAACACTTGCACGGAAGGTAGTGCTTTGCACAGTAGGTAAGGCATTCCCGAGACCAGCAGGCAACGCCTTGTATGGCACGCAATGCCTTGCATGCATGGTCAAGCCTTCCTTAGATCGGCAGATAAAGCCTTGCTTGGCAGGTACGCCTTGCCCGGCAAGTATGCCTTGCCCGGCAGGTATGCCTTGCCCGGTAGGTATGCCTTGCCCGGCAGGTACGCCTTCCCTGGCAGGTACACATGTTCCCTTTCAAGCTCACATGCGCCATTTTCCGCCAACAACCATGTTAGGGTTGGTGATGAGATGTGCCAGGCAGCCTGAACGCTGATGGGTATCTGCGTGGGTATCTGCGTGGTTACCAGTGTGGTTATCTGCGACACAATAGATGTGGGTTCACTCGCATCACTTAAATGCCGAATCACATGCAATCTTTGCGTGCCGCCCTATCACTGGTCCCGTGTGCGAGTATCCTTCACAGGGCAGCAGGTGGAGCGCTTCTTGGATGCGCCAGAGGGCATTGGCAGACTGAACGTTGCTGCCCAGTTGTGGCACTAAAGGGCGGGCACTCACATCACTCACATGCCATCAATGTGTCTCCCCCCACCATCAGGTACCGAGTCAGAGTATCGTTCAGAGGTCAGCAGGTGGAGCGGTTCTTCGATGTTCCCAAGGGCGCTGGCAGGCTGAACGTGGCCGTCCAACTGTGACAAAGAAGGGAACGGATTGCAACGGTTGGGGTTGGCAACCACAGTATTTTTAGCCATGTCAGGACTGTGACGAATAAGTGGGTGGAGCGCAGCAGTTGCGCACTGCAAGGCAGCGGACGGCAGCAGTTGTGCACTGCAAGGCGGCGGACGGCAGCAGTTGCGCACTGCAAGGCGGCGGATGGCAGCAGTTGCGCACTGCAAGGCGGCGGACGGCAGCAGTTGCGCACTGCAAGGCGGCGGACGGCAGCAGTTGCGATTGGCTCTCACAAGCCAAGACGTGTCTCACTGGCATCCTTATTGCAGTCAACTCTCCTTTCCCAAGTCAACGAGCCAGTTGACCGCTGGTAGATCACGTTTCGATTACGCTGGGGCAATGTGCGTCACAGCTGCACAGACGGGCTCTGACCGCTCTACAGCAGCAGGGCCTAGAACGTGCAGCAGCAGGGGCTAGAACGTGCAGCAGCAGGGGCTAGAACGTGCAGCAGCAGGGGCTAGAACGTGCAGCAGCAGGGGCTAGAACGTGCAGCAGCAGGGGCTAGAACGTGCAGCAGCAGGGGCTAGAACGTGCAGCAGCAGGGGCTAGAACGTGCAGCAGCAGGGGCTAGAACGTGCAGCAGCAGGGGCTAGAACGTGCAGCAGCAGGGGCTAGAACGTGCAGCAGCAGGGGCTAGAACGTGCAGCAGCAGGGGCTAGAACGTGCAGCAGCAGGGGCTAGAACGTGCAGCAGCAGGGGCTAGAACGTGCAGCAGCAGGGGCTAGAACGTGCAGCAGCAGGGGCTAGAACGTGCAGCAGCAGGGGCTAGAACGTGCAGCAGCAGGGGCTAGAACGTGCAGCAGCAGGGGCTAGAACGTGCAGCAGCAGGGGCTAGAACGTGCAGCAGCAGCAGGGGCTAGAACGTGCAGCAGCAGGGGCTAGAACGTGCAGCAGCAGGGGCTAGAACGTGCAGCAGCAGGGGCTAGAACGTGCAGCAGCAGGGGCTAGAACGTGCAGCAGCAGGGGCTAGAACGTGCAGCAGCAGGGGCTAGAACGTGCAGCAGCAGGGGCTAGAACGTGCAGCAGCAGGGGCTAGAACGTGCAGCAGCAGGGGCTAGAACGTGCAGCAGCAGGGGCTAGAACGTGCAGCAGCAGGGGCTAGAACGTGCAGCAGCAGGGGCTAGAACGTGCAGCAGCAGGGGCTAGAACGTGCAGCAGCAGGGGCTAGAACGTGCAGCAGCAGGGGCTAGAACGTGCAGCAGCAGGGGCTAGAACGTGCAGCAGCAGGGGCTAGAACGTGCAGCAGCAGGGGCTAGAACGTGCAGCAGCAGGGGCTAGAACGTGCAGCAGCAGGGGCTAGAACGTGCAGCAGCAGGGGCTAGAACGTGCAGCAGCAGGGGCTAGAACGTGCAGCAGCAGGGGCATTAGACTAGATTATGCAGCATCAAGTACTGTACAGCTCACAGCAGGGCTTGCTGTCAGAGCAGGGCTACACGACACTGTACCTGATGCTGTTAGGCGCCCTGTGACACTACACTGTATCATGCGGCTAACAAAGGGGGCGATCGGCAGTTGCAAGAGCGCCAGTCTCTGGCTCAAACTCATGGAAACATCAAATAATTCTGTTACTACAGCACAGACCTAAGATCTCTTTGTAGTAGGCAAGCAGCAGTTGGTGGTGCCAGTCAGCTTGATTGCTGACTAGTAATCACATGTATTCGTACGTATACTACTATGGAAACAGGCTTCTGTAAAAAATCCGCCCACCGCTGCATCCAGCATGACTCATACAGGTGCTAACGTAACCAGCGCTGGACTGAGAAAATCAATGGGAATAAATGTGTGTTGACTGAATACAATGGGATCAGAGGTGAGAGGATCAGGGGAAAGGCTAAAAGACGGGCCAGTACCACCAGATGGGGTGAAGTTGGACAACACATGTACACACATAGGAGGATAGGGCAGGCTCTAAAGTTAGACAAAGGGTGAGTGTAAGTTGGGCAACACTTCAGTCATGATGGCAGAAAAAGGCTGTGAAATTCGCCATGGACCAAGGTGCAGAGCTGGTTGTAGTTTCCTTGGTCTGAAAGGGTAGTGGATAGGAGAGAAAGAAGGTGAGGAAGGTGGGAAAGCGGGGGGGGGAGGGAGGGGGGAGGGGGAGAAGTTGTTGCAAATAGCAGACGAAGAAAGCTGGTGTGTAAAATGCCATTGATAACATACTAGCGAAAAGGAGGGGGAACGGCATGCTCCTGAAACCATGTGGATACGAACTGATTAATACAAGACATCTTGATTCTGATAAAGAACGCAAGTCGAGCGTTTCCTAGAACATCCGCATCGCCAGCTGGTCTTTCCGGGCATCCCAAACGCCTTCTCACGCTTTCCCTGAGACGTCTCAAACATAAAATTGGACGTTAAAGGAAAATAGAGGCGACCTCCATGGCTGAACGGACTCCAAATCTTCGTCAGAACGTTAGCGTATCTTCCATCTCCCAGCAAGTGAGCAAGTGGGAACGAGGACCAAGCTTACCGAAGTTGTTCCCGAAAGCTGTCGAAGACTCTTCGCGAATCGTAGTGTCGTTTTCGGGAACACCAATCACCTCGACGAATTGCGAGTCATCCCACGGCGACCGAGCCACCGCGCGGACTGTGACTGTAGCGTTGTCGCACGTCTGAGCGGTGATTACACCGGGGTCCACTCGAACCACTCTCAAGACCGTCCGGATTTTACGACCTACGAATCGACGCATCTGCTCTCCGTTGACCATGGGAGACGGGTCTGACAAATCCATGTCGGTCACTGAAACGTTAACCTAACTGAAACGTTAGCTACAACTGTATCGTTAAACCTAATCACGTTAGCCCCCCAATCACAACGGATGGGCAATTACTGCCTGATCAACGTTGTTGGCTTGGAGTAGTACGTGAGAGCTGACGTCTGAAAAGCTTCTGGCTGGTCCCTCGCTATCTATCCAATACTCTGATAGAGCACAAGGCAATAAAACATGGCAGCTGGAGTTGCTGACAAGGGATTCAAATATTTGAACTTCCTCGCGTGTCCTAAGCATTCACTTTAGTACGGTTGAGTAAGTTGCGGGATGTTTTGAAAGAGGTTCGCTGAAAACCCTAAGCGGTTAGGTAAGGTTTCGAGGGGAAAACGAACGCGTAGGACACGCCCTCATTGTGTTTGAGGGGTGTATAGCGTGGTTCAAAACCTGGTGTCCAGTATGTGACATCAAAGCCCACAGATGTCAAAGCATCCTGCGCGAGGCTCCAATCCGAAGTTTTAACTCGAACATTAGCCAAGCGTGGAGGTCGTGGTGTGGCTCGGGTGGCTGTCGATTGGTTTGGGGCCAATAATGTACTTGGGTGGCTGAGGTCCCCCGAAAACAGCCCTGAAATTTCCGGAAAGCGACCGAACTGAGCCATGCGTACGGGCTGGTGTCCAAACCAGAATGTCAAATCAGGGCTGTACCGGAGACTGTACTTTGCTTGAGAAAAAGACTTCGTCGTCGTACACCTTGAGCCTGACAGAAAAGCACAACTTTTCTGGGTGCCGGTAGACCAAAACGCGCAGGGGTTTCGCACGGCATCGTCACGGGCATGTGGGTCTTTCGCACGGGCACGAAGGTTACCATTTTGAACTTTTGTGGGGTATGTTTAAGTGGCTTATTTTGGCGAGCCATGTTTCACGCAGTTACCCTGTATTAAGTTTCGGCGCTTTCAAGCGAGAGTTTGTTTTCTTGGTGTCGCACCAGAGTGGTGGTTGGCGGGTGAGATGTTGAGTGAGTTTCTCTGGTTTGGTTTGCTCCTTTTTATACTCAGTGAAATGTGGCGAGGGGTTTGGATTCGCTATTCAGTTCCAAATATTAGGTGCGTGTTATCAAGTTTTCTTCTATTACGAATTGAAGTTTCGTGTCGTAAAAATAACTGCTGCGTGGAGTGTGGGAATTTGTTTTACGAGTCTGTTCCTAGGTTGGCTGTCGGATGTTGAGAACCATCCCTGGCATCGGGGCATCGCGACTCCATTCCGCTGCCAAGTCAGCGTTCGGTTCAATGCGACGATGCTCAAGCCACAAACAAACCCAGCGAAGCGTACGCAAGTTTACGAGCCCAACGAAAGGCTCGCCGAGCTTCGCCGGTGCGCTATTCCGAGCGCAGCTGGAAGTTTGTGGCGAAAACAGTTGCGGCGCACATCTTTCGTCTCGTGCCTCATGTTTGTCACCGCTGTCATGATGACGCTGCACTGCTGGCTCTGTTCACGACCCACATTGAGTGGGCCGTTGCCCGTGTATCAACGTGAATGGGCGGTGGTTTTTGATTGGGCCACGTATTGCACTGGGCGTCCGGTGTGCTCCAGGTGTACCACAGGGTAGGCAAGGTGGAGATATACCGGAGCGAGTGTCAGACCCGAAGTAGACCCGCGGTCGAAGGAGCCGCGGATTGTCTGAACCTAACAGCGGGTTTTATATTCTTGACGGTGCAGCGGCTGTACAACCGCGAACTAATTGGGACTACAAAGGCCGACCTTTGCGAGTCCACTAGAATTTTGCGAGTTGTTGATGCATTTGCACGTTATTATTAGTTGTTCGGTTTGTCAGCTGACTGGCTGGAGCCATCATTTTTTCGCAAGACCCAATGCAATTTTATCCAGCCTCGGATCTTAGGGCATGTTTCTAGTAGGTTTCATCCCAAAAAAGTGTCATCCGAGAATGTTGGAAACCCATTGCAGCCGTTGAAGTTTCGAAATAGCGGTTGCGATAAGTTTCCAACATTCTCGGATTACACTTTCTCGGGATGACACCTACTAGAAACAACCCTTAGAGCACAGCCCGAGAGTCTAACATTCGTTCCAGAAATACCCTGAGTGGCGAGGCCAACCTATTTTCGCATGATAAATTGTGTGTCAAATTTGATTGTAGTGCACATTTCCCAGTTATGCATAGGTGTCATAGACTTAGCCAAATTCGGGAATGAGGGAGCGTGTGGGAGGGGCTGGTAACTGGCTTTGGAGACTTAGCCAAAAAAATATGGGTGGGGAGGGGCATGGGGGAGTAAGGGGGTGGGCGAGGAGGATGTTGGAGTATTGTCTCGGGCTGTGAGAGACTCGTCGAATTCTCTGGGGGTGCGAGGGATGTGGGAAGAATGTCTGCGGGTGTGGGTCACCGATCTAGCTACTGTATGTTCGGTGAGGTGTGGGAAGATTGTATCTGGTTTGGAGGACTTGGCCGGAATTTCTAAGACGATGGTGAATTCTCTGGGTATGTGAGGGGTGTGTGAGGAATGTCTTTCGGTGTGGGAGAGGGATGAGGGAGGGATGTCTTTAGTTAGGAGGACTTGGCCAAATAATCTTAGCCGAAGGGCGAGGTTGGGTGCGGGGGGTGTGCGAGGAAGTTCTGCCTAGTGTCAGGGCATGTCTATTCACAGTTACGGAAAATCAGGGAAATGCCTCAACTCCGCCCTTTTGTAACCAGCCTCTGTAGGACCTCTCACCACACTGTACCACGTGATTATTTAGTTGAAACACGCCAACGCGTCCACTCGGACCTCCAGAGAAGTTCTGAGAAGTGAACGCCGAGTGTCGTTCCCCATCAATGTTGACAAGGTTCAAGATTTGCTGGCAATGGCTTCACCATCACGCCAAGTTCGAACCATGGTCCATATGCACGAGTGGTGTGCCAAAGGCGAAGAAGGTCTCCAACCACCAAGGACTACTGGTCGGTGGAACCAATAAGAGTAAAAATTCCCCTGCTTTGTTGTAGGCACATTCACCTTGTTTCAGTCACGGCGCTTGTGTGACGGCAAAAACTTGACTGGGCGTACATCGAGCCTCGAACCGATACAAGACCCAAGTTTTTATCTGATTGGTCAAACGAGAACACGAACCACATCCCGAACCTAGCGATGCCAAGGTCCCTGGGCTCAAACTGCATTTTTGCCACTGATGCCCTCCGCCTCGGCACCTCGCCTCGCGAATGTCGGCAAGGCTTTGAAACATGGTTTGAAAATCAGGCTCGACGAAGCGCATGTCCAAATGGGTTGTTTTTGGAGAAGGCGCGCGCACCCCACCCTTGGTTTTGTTTTTCGGGTGTTGGAACTAGTTCCTGTCCTGAATTCGGTGTTACTAAGTGATCGGTGATGGCAGATCTTCACGCGCAACCGCCTAGGAAAATGCATTCTGGAACAACATTTAAGTCAACGTTTAGATGTCCACGCCAACTTTGTATTTCGGGGAGTTTTGGGGACGCTCATGGAGGTTTGGCTCACACCCTCGTCGTACCTCGCCGTCGTGTGTTGTTGAGGGAGTTCGTGCCTTCCACAGGGTACTGTATGTGCCTCCAGCCCTGCAAACACCTCCCCTTGTCTCCTATTTTCCCGCTGATAGCTGGTGATTGATGGCCCGCCCGTTCAGCTGTGGAACTCACATTCGGCATTTGGCTCGTCCTCTCGATCAACTATTGTGGTAGTGGTTTAGAAGCTTCAAAAGCCTGGTAGGGTTCGGATGTAATCTAGGAATGCTGTAGTCAGGCAACTTACCACGCTGGCAGCATATCAGCATGCGCTTGTCAAGTCAAAATCTTAGACACCCCTTCTCACTTCAATCTCCAAAAGGCAGATAATCATCTGACACTACTCATGGCTCCGCCGGTTTCTATTGGCGTGGCGAGACGACTATTGCCCCTGTTCCTCGCCAGCGTTGCATTATTTTCCCACCAGAGACCTGGTGAGTTCACTAACGGATGGTGAGTTCACGGCAGTCCATAGTGGCGAGTTCACGACAGCCCGTATTGGCGAGTTTACGGCGGTTCAGCTTTCAAGCGCAAACAGGCAGGCACGTCAGTTACCCGCCTACCTTATCGAGCTAGTACTAGAGGCTCTAGGCGATACCAACAGCACCATCAGGGAGGTAGGGAGCGTTTTTGAGAATTCTAAAAAAACACCCTGCAGAAGAAACGAGAGGCTCCATACGATAGTAAGTGCAACATCAGGGAGGTAGGGAGCGCCGGAAACACTACCCTTGTCCCGGCCGTGACGTTATTAGTCGGCGTTCAGTAGACCCGTGAAGCTGCGTACTACTGGTCCTCGCTAGTGATCTCTTCCGCATCCGTGAACTCCTGTGTAACCCTGTGAAATTGCGTGACCACGCAATTCCTGTGAAATCTCCATCCTCTCCCCCCATTCCCCGCGCAACCACCCTCCCCACACACCCCCCGGAACGCTCCCGCCCCCCCTCCCCCGGTCCGCTCCCCCAGGACCGCTGATCCGCGCGGCGGAGTCCGCGGGCCTCCCGCCGTCGCCGTACGAGCGCGAGTGGGCGCAGTACCGCGGAGCGGACGGGTTACTGTCGCTCGACTATCTCAAAGCGTCGCACACGTCGCACAGCGACGGCCTCCGAGGGCGGAAAGCCCTGGATCAGATATTCAAAGTCGTCTTCGTGAGTGTTCTCTCCCCGTTACCTCCTAAATCTCTGCACCCACTTCCCCTCCTCCACCGTTACCCGCTCGCCCCTCCGATTTTTTCCGCCCCCTTGCGCTCACAGCCCTCTTCCGCATAACCCGCTTTCCTCCCCCGTTTCCCCCGAGCTCTGACTCCCCCTCTTTCCCGCCCGTCCCCTCCTCCACCAATTCCCGCACTTTGCGTCGACTCAATAGTCAAACCGTCCCTTCCTCCGCTTCCCGCACTTTCCGCACCTCCCGCCCACCCTGCACTCTCCCCCACCCTCCCTTCTCCCCCACCACGCCCCAGTGCTCCCCTAATCCCGGCCCCGCGGCTCCCCCAAATATCAACCTCCTTAAGAACCCGCGATTTCAGGAAGGCCTGTCCGCGTGGCAGGCCTTCGGCGACTCGTCCTTACGCCGCGCGCAGGCCGCGAACTACTCGTACGGCGTGTCGTACGCGCGGCGCGAGGAGTACGCGGGGCCGGCGCAGATGATACGCAACCTGCCGGCCGCAGCGTACGAGCTGGCGATCTGGGTCAAGCTGGGCGCCGGCGGCGCGCCGGCCGGCGGACCTGCCGGCGGCGGAATTTCCGGGGGAATTTTCGGCAGATCTGTGGGCAAAATCTCCGCCAGCTCAGCTGCCGGTGGGTCTGTTGTCGCATCTGCCGGCGGCCGGCAGTACGTGAACGCGATGGCGAAGATCGACGGCAAGTATGTGTGCATCGGCGGCGCGAACGCGCGGTCGTCGTGCTGGACGAAGCTGATTGGCGGATTCACGCTGCATCGGACGGCTGCGGAGGTCGCGGTGTACATCCAAGGGGCTACGGTGGGCACGGAGATCTGGGTGACGTCAGCATCGCTGATCGAAGTGAATAAGAAGATGTGGCGACAACGACAGAACGATAATATCAGAAAGGTAGGTTGCAAATAGGTGGCGTAGTAAGGTTCAGGACGCGTCAGGTGAGTAATTATGTAACAAGTAACAATGTAACTTGTACCAATTGGCAATTGAACATACGAGTTCCCGTTTAGCGAGTATTCCTGGCAGGCAGTGCCGTCAGCGGGACGTGACGCTGAGACTGCATGGCACGGGTGCAGTGACAGCTGAAGTGCAGATCGACCAGGTGAAGTCGGAGGTTCCCTCGGTCTCCCCCTTTCCGCTTATCCCTCTTTCCTCTTATCCCCTTTCCGCTTATCCCCCTTTCCGCTTATCCCCCTTTCCGCTTATCCCCCTTTCCGCTTATCCCCCTTTCCGCTTATCCCCCTTTCCGCTTATCCCCCTTTCCGCTTATTCCCCTTTCGCCCTCCCTCTCCACCCCCTCCTGAGTCCTCGCAATACCGCCAGCGCGACGTGACGCTGAGACTGCATGGCACGGGAGTGATGTGTTTAAGAGTGCACATCGACCAGGTGACGCGACTTCAAAGTTCCCCTCCATCTCCCCCGCTTGCTTCCCCCCCGCTTGCTTCCCCCCGTTCACACCTCTCCCCCTCCCCCAGTACCGCCAGCGCGACGTGACCCTGAGACTGCATGGCACGGGAGCGATGTCTGCTAGGGTGCAGATCGACCAGGTGACGTCGGGATTCCCGTTCGGAGCTAACGTGAACGGCGCTATCCTCTACGACCGCAACTACCAAAGGGTGAGTGTTGGCATGGCAAGAGCTGGACCAAGGCATCTCAGCTGAGGCAAGGGTGAGCTATGTTGGAATATACGCGTATTGCGTTTTATACGATAGTGTATATATGCTTGCGCGTATATACGCTATACGCAGGGGTTTGGGGTCCATTACGGCAGGAATACGGCTGCCCGGGCAGGGGAATTGTTATGCCCGGGCCGGCAAAAAAAACCGGCGGGCAGCCAGGAGAGGGGGGAAGGGCACAGGGAGGGCAGGGCATGGAGGCAGTTTTATTTATTTATTTATTTATTTAATTTAAATAACTTAACATAGGCATTTGTCACATCAAATAGGCATTTATTTAATTTGAAGGACCACATTCCCCCCCCCCCCCCCCCCCCCCCCCACACACGACATCCCAGCAAAACTGCCCTAGCCATTCTCCCTCTCCCACTGCTTGCACTGCTGCTACTACTTCTACAACTGCTGCAGCCTCTCACGCCCAGTGCTGCCACCGCTCCCTCGCCCTCTGCTGCAGCTGCGGCGAAAGTTATGAGATTTCGCGATGTCGCGAACTCGCAGGATTTTTTTATTTTTTTTTTCGCTGGGCAGCCCGGGTATAGCGTATCGCGTATTCCAAGCGTATCAGCGTATTGCGTATATTCGCAAGCGTATATACGCAGTACGCTAAGCCTTCTGTGCGTATATTCGCAAGCGTATATACGCAATACGCTAAGCCTTCTGTGCGTATATTCCAACATAGAGGGTGAGTGTGTTGGCATGCATGCAGATGCAGACAGATCGATCCCGTGCCACCGGAATTTCCGCTGGGAGCTAGTGTGGCAGGGGCTAATCTAGTGTGAAAGTGGTTAGTCTCACCCGCTAGTGTGAAAGGGTCGAATCTGTACAGCTGCAACTACCAGCGAGTGCCCAAGTGGGTGTCTGGCATATGAGAAATGCAAGTGAGAGGTCGAGGCCATATCGATCAGGTGCTAATGTGAGTGGCGCTATCCTCTACGACCGTAACTACCAGCGGTTGAGCTTCAGGCAGTCTAGGATGTATTTTCTGCGATCAGGTTTATCAAAGGGTTAAAAATGACTTGACGAGAGAACAGTGAGAGGCTGAGCGGTCGATAAAAGGGGCAGTCACTTTTAGGGTTCACATCCCTCCTCCACATCCTTCCACCTCCAGTGGTCTCTGAGCAGATTCAATCAACTTGGCAGTGTTACTTGGTTACTTAAGGCTCTCTCCTTCCTCCTTATTGCTGCCCCTCCCTCCTCCCTCCCCCCCCATCCCCAGTGGTTCTTGAGCCGCTTCAACTGGGCGGTGTTCAACAATGAAGCCAAGTGGTACTTCAACGAGCAGAGCCCGGGCGTGGTGAACTACAACGTGACTGACGCGCTGGTGGAGTGGTTTACCAGGAGAAACGTCAAAGTGCGCGCGCACAACGTGTTCTGGGCGGTTGAGAAGTTCGTCCAGACATGGGTCAAGGTGAGTCAACGTAGGACAACGTGAGTCAACGCAAGTCAAGGTGAATAAACTCTGTTTCTTGCCGCTTGTGCTCTCTCATCACGCCTTGCACTTACAAATATCCCACCAGAGACTGAACCATGCTCCACTGAATCCCGTTCCCTTACATCACTTATCCTTCCTTCCTTTGACCATGTTTTGCTCATTGGCATCGCTATTGAGTCGTTGCATTGCAATGAGCAGTTTTCAGTTTGGCTTGCTGCTGTCGAATCGAACCTGCTCATAGCAACTGACCATGTTTTGCTCCTTGGTACCGCTGTTGAGTCGATCCAAAAGCACATGCCCTCGTGAATCCCACTCCCTTGCGTTCCATCACGTATCCTTCCTTGTAATCATTCTTTGCTCTTAATGGGCGCCCTCAAAATGATGCATCTTGAGAGATTTTTTTCGATACGCAAGCAGCTGGTTGACTTTTGAGGCGCCTCAAGAGTTGAGATTTTTTTAATATGCAACCAGCTGATCTGGTTCCGTCCGTGCGATACTTTGGGGCCCCGGCTGTTAGGCAATGTGCAGAGTGCAGTGCCTTCTTCTCAGCTCATCCCAATCTGCCCTGCTCTCTGCCCTGCACTCTACCCTGTTCTGTGCCCTCCGTCTCTCCTCGTACCCCCCAGGATCTCACAGCACTGCCCTATGGAAAGAAATGCTGAGGCGCATGAGTGCAGGACCTCCTTCTCTCCTACCTGCCGTGTTCTCTGCCCAGTTCTGTGCCCTCCGTCTCGCTCCTCTTATCCCCCAGGATCTCAACAGCACAGCCCTATGGAAAGCAGTGCAGAGATGAGCGGTGCAGTGCAGCACTGGGACGAGACCAACGAATCCCATTGCCCCGTTCCCAGCCCTCCCTCTTCCCTTCCACCTATCAGGACCTCAACAACACCTCCCTGTGGAAAGCTTTTGAGTTGACTAAAAAAAAGCAATGAACCCCATCGCCCCTTCCCATCCCTCCCTCTTTCCTTCCACCTATCAGGACCTCAACAACACCGCCCTATGGAAGGCAATGCAAAGGCGAATGAACAGTGCGGTGCAGAGATATCGGGGGAAGGTGCAGCACTGGGACGTCTTAAATGAGCCCATGCACGGCAACTACTACGGGGGCCGCCTGGGCGGCAACGTGCACGCGTGGATGTTCAAAGCGGCGCGGGCGCTTGATCCTAATGTCAGGCTGTTTCTTAACGAGTACAACACTGTGGAGCAGTGCGACAAGGAGGCCAACCCAGAACGTTACTTAGAGGTCAGTTCGAGTAAGAGAAAATGGAGCAAGTGGAAGAGGATTGAGGTATGCAATTGCTTCTTAACGAGTACAACACGGTGAAGCCGTGTGATAAAGAGGCCAACCCGGAGGTTTACCTCGAGATGAGCTGGGGAAAGAGAAATATATGTGAGAGCAATATGATTGGGCCTGTCTGCAACTGTTTCTTAACGAGTACAACACTGTGGAACAGTGCGATAAGGAGGCCAACCCAGAAGTTGGAGGTCAGTTGGAGAGTAAGAGAGAGAAAAGAGAAGCTGTTTCTTGACCCTCGGTGGGTGGAAAGGATGGGAGGACGAACAGGAGCATGGGGGATGCTTCTCAGCTGTTTCTTAACGAGTTCATAACTGCGGAGCAGTAAGATAAGGAGGCGACCCCTGAGGTTTACCTTGAGGTGAACTGGACCACAATCTATGCGGAGATTTCCACTGTGTTATTTTCTGCACGGAGCATTCAAGCTATCTCGCCTCTCGCCTCCCTCATTCGCATTTCGCGTGAGCAACACTCACAGCCCCCCCCCCCCCCCCTCCCCCCCCCCCCCCCCCCTTCCCCCCTCCCCTCCCCCCCCACATTGACCCATACCTCCCACCCACCCCATTGCAACGGTGTGGATTTCAACCTTTCCCTTTCAGCCTCCTTCCTTCCCCAGTCACACCCGCTCTTCCCGTCTCTGTTCACCCCTTCCCCTCTCTGTCCCAAGAGCTGAAGGTGTGGAATTTAACATCCCGTGGTGAGCCAATCACAGGCATTGGCGTGGAAACTGACGTCCGGTGCCCCCCACCGTCCTCCCTTCCCCTTCCCTGTTCTCTCCCCTCGCCCCCACGAGCAGAAGGTGTGGAATCTAACATCTAGTGGGGCGCCAGTGACAGGCATTGGCGTGGAGGCACACTACAGTGGGGAGCCCCAGCTGGTGAGTTGCTGTAGTGGCTGTAGCAGCACGGTTGAATGTAATGGGTTGTAGCAGCACGGTTGAAGATAATGGGTTGTAGCAGCATGGTTGAATGTAAAGGGTTGTAGGAGCACGGTTGAATGTAATGGGTTGTAGCAGCACGGTTGAATGTAATGGGTTGTAGCAGCACGGTTGAATGTAATGGGTTGTAGCAGCACGGTTGAATCCAATGGGTTGTAGCAGCGCCAGTGGCAAGCATTGGCGTGGAGGCGCCACTACAGTGGGGAGCCGCAGCTGGTGAGCTGGTAGTAGGAGCTGATGGCTGTAGCAGTGGAACCATTTTTGAGAGGTAAACGGCCGTAGCCATAGAGTGCAGGCATTGGCGTATAGGTGCACTACAGTGGGGAGCAGCAGCTGGTGAGTTGAGAGAAGTGGGAGGCACGGCTGGTGAGTTGGTATCAATCGCACTAGAGTGCAGGCACTGGCGTAGAGGTGCACTACAGCAGGGAGCTGCAGCTGGTGAGCTTGCCTGAGCTGGTTTCAGTCTTTGCATTAAGAATGCATGAGCCTTCATCGTGCCCTGGCCGGCCGCTTTCTTTTGTAGCCTTCCCCTGTTTCCCCACTCTCCTTCTAGTCCACTCCCTCTCTCCCCCCTCCCCCTCCTCAGGTCCGTCTAAAGCATGATTTGAACAAACTCGCAGTGGCAGGCATGCCTATATGGCTTACCGAGTTAGACTTTAACGAGGTGCAATCGGAGAGGCAAAGGGCGGACTACCTGGAGGCGGTGATGCGGGAGGCCTTCGCCCATCCCAGTGTGGCCGGCATGGTGCTCTGGTCGGCCGGTCGCTCCACGTGCGCTTACTATAAGGACATGGACCCTGGCATGTGCAGCACGTGCGATGCATGCTTGGCGGACGCCAAGTTTGTGGACAACCTGGCTGGGACAAGGTGAGATATGAACGCATTACGTGTTCCTTTTATAAAGACATGGACCCAGGCATGTGCAGTGCGTGCTTGGCGGACGCCAAGTTTGTGGATAACCTGGCTGGGAAGAGGTGAGAATGCTTGATGCTGGGTGAGGAAGGTGCGATCCCAGGGATGTCCACTCATTTGAGGAAGAGCCACAGATGAGGTCTCCTGTTAGCGGAAAGAGGTGAGAATGCTTCATGCTGGGGGCCTACTCTTGAGGCGCCTCAAAAGTAGGTGAGATCCCAGGGATGTGCACTCATTGAGGGAGGAGGAGCTGCAGATGAGGCCTCCTGTTTGCGGAAATTATGCTGGCACCTAAAAAGCAGCTGCAGAGTGAGGTCTCCTGTTAGTGGAAAGGGGTGAGAATGCTTCAAGCTGGGAGAGATGGATACGAGGAGTAGCAGGGCCGTTGTGATCTGGTCCGCTGGTCGCTCCACCTGCGCCTGGCTTGGAAGAGGTTAGGGAAAAGAGGCGGAGGGAGGAGGCCGTGTTCCATGTTGCGCTCACCTTGTTCTCTTATTAACATGTGCTCAACGCACCTTAGAAGTTAAGAAAGTAGCGTCTCATGTGTTCATTCCTGCATCTCCCCCCCCCCCCCCCCCCCCCCCCTCCCCTCTTCCCCTCTCCCCTTCTTGCTCCCCCGCCTCCCCTCCCCTCCCCCTTATGCAGGTATGTGCGCCTGCGCAAGGAGTGGAGCACACATCTTATAAGACAGGTTACCTTTGGAAGCCCCGTCAAGTTTAGAGGCTTTCATGGCAAGTATCGTGCACGGATTACTGTGAATGGGAGGCTTATCGAGAGGTACTTTTATGTGCCCAAGCAAACAACTGGCTTAAATGTAGATATTAGAATCTAATGGAGGAAATGCCGGTAGTTATCATAGAGACTTATGGTCAACCTCCTCGGTTGCTGATATATAGTCTCAATTTTGATTGAACCATATGCTAATACAAATGACTCCCACTATACTTGCTCTTTGCAAATATCTCCAGCTTGACCATTCGTTTCCATTTGCAAACCGTTCGTGTTTATCGTATTCCATACGAAGGAACATGGATCTTAACAAGAACCTGAACACTTAAAACCATTCAACATATACTAGTAAGAAGCAAAAACTATTCGTACAAAAATATACAGCAGCTATACACCCCTATTGAAAGTGGAACGACTAATGGCTCGCCCCTCCACGTCCCCACCTCACCCTCGCGTCTACCCTTCACAGCTCCACACGAAGCGCATCACCAGGAGAAGGATGCACGACATGCTCCCTGATCCTCTCCCCCTTTCCTTCACCCTTCACTCCGCCCGTCTCTCCCCGCATCCCCATCTTCTCAAACACATCCCCAAATTGAGTCTGGATCTGCTCGAAGCCCTTCTTCGCCTCTACGTACCTCCTCCATGCTTCCTTCTTCACAGCTTCAGCCTGCTCTTCGCTCCTCGATTTCGCCGTTTCCGTTGCGTCGTTGGCCGCTTTCCAGAGCTCGTGCACGGAGGCTTCCGCGCGGCTGTACATGTCGCGCAGCACGCCTTCCCCCTCTTCCGCTCCGCCAGGCCTCCGCAGCTCCCCCACTTCCCCCGTAGCGAAGCTCAGCGCCTCTTTCGCCGCCTCATATCGTGCGCTTGCACCCTCCGCCAGCTGCTTCAGCCAATCAGCGCTTTTCCCCGAGCCCTTCTCCGCCGCCTCCTGCGCCTTCCGCGTAGCCTCCTCCGCTTCGTCCTTCCGCTGCGCCACAAGCCGCAATGACCACTCCATCATCGCCTTCCCCGCGCGCTGGAAGTCCGCAGGGCCCGGAATTGCCGCCGCAGCGCCAGAAGCGGCGCCTGACACGGTATCATAAGCCTTCGACCCAGCCACCTTGGCCTGATCAGCAGTGAATTGGCCTGCCCCAGAAACGCCCTCCCCTACGCGCCCCGCTGCTCCAGCCGCGGTGTCATAAGCGCCTTTCCCCGCGCCATACGCGCCTGCGCCCACCTGCTTCACGGTATCAGCAGCAAACTCCCCCGCTTGCCCGACCGTAGCAGCAGTGCCCTTCGCGGCTTGTTTTGTCGCCTCGCCGATTCGCGACGCGGTGTCACGCACGCCGCCAACCACCCCCCCTACTGCCGAACCGACTGCGCCAGTGGCATGTTCCGCGCCCTCTCCCGCAACCTCGCGTCCCGCCTCCACCGTTGACGCCACGTCAGCTGCCCGTTCGCCTGCCCGCTGTGTGAGGCCTTCAGCAGTCTCCGCCGCGGCTGTTCCGCCAGCCTTTGCGCGCTCCTCCGCCTCCGCGCCTGCGGAAGCCGCAGTGTCGCGCGTTTGCTGTGCGATGTGCATTCCGTGCCCCGCAGCGTGCTGAAGTCGATCCGCCACTTGCCGAACGCGGTCGTAGACTCCCCAGCCCGCCTTCCCCGCCTCTTCCGCGGCCCGCTGCCCGCCCGCCTTGGTCCCCTTGAGCGTAGCCCCCGCGCCTTCCGCCATAGCGTCCGCGTATTCCTCTGCGCGCTCCTGCGCTTGCGCGCCCGTCTCCCCCACATGCTCCCCCAGCTGCGCGCCAGCCTCCCCCACACGCTCCCCCAGCTGCGCGCCAGCCTCCCCCACACGCCGCTGTGCTTGCACGCCCGTTTCCCCCACCTGCTCCGCGCCCTCGCGCCCAGCGGAAGCCGCCCCGGTAGTCGCCTCCTTGAGCTTCTCCCACGCGCTTGATACGACGTTAGACGCGGCGCTTGCCCCGCCTGAAGCGGCGTCAGATGCGGCGCTAGCTCCGGCCTCCGCTTGCTTCCTGGCGGCGTCTCCGCCCGTGGCGGCGGACTGGCCTGCCTTGGCTGCCGACTCGCCTGCCGCGTCTGCCGCCTCTGACCACTCCTGCTCCGCCTGGGCTTCAGATGATGACCTGCAGAGGGCAAGAGAAGGGGAAGAAAAAGGGCAAGAAAAGTACACATCAGTGAAGAAGAAAGACGAGGAGAAACAGAAAGCGCAATGATCTAAACAGATCCAACCCGCCCGATACAAAAGCGGATAAGGCAACTTACGTCTTCCCCATCCCTGTCACGCCCGAGATCCAATCCGTCCACTTCCCTTCACTCTCCTCCTCGGCCCCTTCCTTAGCTGTGCCCGCGAGATGCGACACGCCTGCAGCCACGGTCCGCGGCTCTGCTTCATCCGGATTGGAGGACTGCGAGAGGGGCGGCTCGTCCACGGGAACGCCGCCGACAGGGTCGGTGGCTTTGGACGAGACGCCGAATACTGAGAACGCGTGTGCGGCGCGAGCGACGTGCAGCGCCAGCAGGAAAAACACGAGGAAACGCAGGACAGCCATGGCTTGAACGCGAGTGAAATCAGGAATTCGAGATTACTGAAAACGAAAGTGGGAATGAGCGGAAACCAACCACAGACTACCAAGGCTGCTGGGTGGGAAATAAGGTGGTGGAAATTGGTGGAGTGATTTGCGAGAACTTGGACGGAATGTTTTCCACTCATTCCGTCACACAATACTAACCCCAGCCGAGGCGCCATGACCTTGAAAGGCGCCTCCGTTTCATGGTGGGCACGTGGCTGGAATCGAAGGTATTGCAGCTATGGACGGATGGATGTTTTCGCTGCATCAAATTTCTCATACGTTCGCGTTATACGATGTGGTTGGGAGTACTGTGGTCCCCTCGGAATGTCGCTTTGGTGGTACAACAGTGAGCAAAGGCGTGCATACTGATGTAATATCATGCTACAAACCATAGGCACTTACATTGATTATGCACACTACAACAAGGCACTACTAAAATTGCATAAAATAAGCATCTACGCTTCACTACAGGAACGTCTATACTGTTACATACCTAGAGAATATGCATCTGTTGTAGCATAGCAATACTCACTTCATGGCTCTTCTTCCTCATAGCCCCCCAACCTGGGCTGGACTCCACTTGTTTCAGGCTCCCATCTCTGTCAACTGGAAGGCTGTCTGCCGCTGGAAAGGAGGCTTCCACCTCCCAGATGCAGGGCTGTTTCTCGATCCCAAGCTTGGTCCCTGCCTGCATCATGTCGGACTCCAGGTAATAGAATTAATGTCTCCAGACTGCTGCTGGAAATGAACAAACGAATGAATTATTTAGGTGGAAACCACCAACCACACCCTTCTTTTATGGCACATCATTAGTGCAGGCAAATCAGCCAACTGAGGCCACCCCTTCCTTCCCCCTGCAGACGGAGAAAACAAAACCGCGGCTTGTGCAGAAGACTGACTCCCCCCGAGAAGCCGCTTTTCCCCCGACCCATTGCCGAACCAGCTGCCCGACCTGTGGCGGCTTGCTGCCCGAACTGCCCCCCAGGCCTGGTCGGGGGAGTGAAAACCCGTGGATAGATGTCCGCTTGCCTTGGCTTCGCGCCTGTACCGTTGGTTTGGGTGGAAATTGTGACTGAGGCGAATGTGATTGTGAGTTATCATCACTGCTTGAAGGGCTGTTGCTGGCGCTGCTGCCACTGCTGCTGCTACTGCAAAACTCCGCATCGAAGTCTCCATCCCCGTTACTGCTATCTCCGTTACTGCTGCTGGATTCGTGAGCATCACTACCACAGCTCTCACGCTCCTCACAGTTAAGACTAGCGACTTTCTCTGAAGCGAAGCTTTTCGACGAACAGGGAGTGCTTTCTCCACCGTTTATTTTCCCATCCTTGACGCCAAGCCGACCAATCATGGAGACCGGACAGGGAGCATTCAGGGAGCAGAACGACGCAACGCGGCGGGCGCGAGCGTCGGCGGAGACGAGGGGAACCGGGGAGGCGGAGGCGGAAGAAGCGGACGAAGCGGACGGAGCCGCGGAAGAGGCGGAGAGCGAGCGCGGGAAGAGCGCGGGGAAGGGGAGCAGCGCGGAGCAGTCGTGCGCGGGGAGGAGGAGGAGGTGCGCGTCGATGGAGTGGCAGCAGTCGACGAGGGAACGCGCGAAGGACAGAGCTGTGCTGGCGGACGGCAGGCGAATGGCCTCGAAACGAACCTGGCGACAGGGAGACGCGGAGAGAGACGAAAATGAGGGGGAGGGTTGAGACGAAATACGGAGGAGGATTTTTTTATCCTGACGGGAGACAAAACCCCAACCAGATAGAAAGCTGAAACTGTGTTTTCTAGAATAAGACCAAGGAATCCGCCGCGTTCGAGGGTTCGGGTTCGGTCGAGAACCGAAGCTCCCGTAACGCAATGGACGTCACTCGTTATATGATCGGGTCGGGGCCGGAGCTTACCTTTTCTTGAGCGCCGATTTCGGCGAGTTTCAGCAGCACGGCGCGCGATTTCTTGTCCCAGTCGCCGAAATCGTCGAGCGGCAAACCCGGCACGACCACAGTGTTCTTCACAACGGCAGTCGCCGCTTTCTCGCTTGCGCCAGCCGGCGCTAGTATATGTCGCACGTCGCATGATTTGCTGCGTCTATGCGTGCGATTCTGCGACGGAGCCGCGTCGCTCGTTGGGGTCGTCGTCGTGGGTTTGCTGCTCCCGGCGGCGATCGCGACGACGATTCGGTCGTCCGGTTGCTGGCCGTCGTGCAACCACTGTGCGAAAGCGTTGCGACAGTCGCGACAGCCGTCAAGCCCGATGGCGACGGTTCGCCCTTCGCCGACGCTGTAGATGGTCTCCAGAGGAATGGTCGACACGATCTTGCGCAAGGCGCGGGGAGCCATGAATCGTGCTAGTAACAGTCCTGAATAACTCAAAGAGAAATAACCGCAGAGACTCCGACCCGCTCGCTTCTCGGTCGCTCTGGCTAAAACTATGAGGGGACTGAAAGATGACACTGATGCTCTATGTTGGTTCTGATGCTCGCTGTTATGCTGCTCACTTGAGGGACGTCCTGCTCATTTCTGGTAAACTGAGGACTATTGCATGAATGTGAGCTATCGAATGGGAAGGCGGGAATTAATATCGACTAGGAACAATCGCAGTTATTGGCGGCGCTCGTCCACCGCAGGTTGTGCATCGCAGCCTATCAGAAAGTCAAGGAGTGGAACGCGTGAATGTACGCATGAATTCTGGTAAAGGGGTAAGTGAGTAAAGACATTCATGGCTTCACGTCTTCTTCACTGATTACATGCCGCGTAGATATTGCCCAGTCAGGTCGCTCATTCACTGTAGTCAGGTTGCACTGTGCTAAATACCGTTTTTTGCGAGTGCGACGTACATAAGACAGTTGTACAGCTGTACGCTAGGTGCTGTCTTGGATCTGATGCAATGCTATGCAACTCTTCCCACACGCACCCATGGCTTCCTGCGCGGGGGCCTGCTGTTCCACTCGCACGATCTCCCCCATTTCTCGACCACCACGCCATGGCTTCCACCTTGTCTCCCTGCCTTCTGATTTTCAACCGAACTTTGACTTGTGAACTGTTTACAGATGGCCCAATTTCGCCCCAACTGAGGGTGGTTACCGAGTTATCATGCATTACCAGGAGCTCGCCGGATAGACAGATCCTTCTCAATGTTTTCGCCTGTCTCGCATGGCGTTGTCGCGCTTTCCCTCAAAACTCCATCCAAGCCAACCTGCCTTCTGGTCGAACGAAATGTTTGGGGTTCAGCCAAAAAGTTCCTCCGAAAATTCCAAGCTTTACACGCTACCCAGCCAAAGTCGACATGGTGGTTCCTTCCTTCCCTCCCAAACCTGACAGGTTGACCTGGTCCGTGGCTGTCGGCTTCGTCTGCCCTACTTCCGTTTGCCCGCGTGCTTCTTCCGCCCGCCTTGCGCAAGCAGGTTTGTCCTTGACTTGGCGCAGCCAAGTTTCCGCAACACAAGCCAATGGGAGACTTCCCCCATTTCCCTCCCCGCCCCAACCTATCTCCGACTGCTTGTTCATGGAAGATTCGAGAGTCCACAAGTCTCCCGCTGTCACTCACCACTTCCACCGCCTTTTCCACTTCCACCACCAGCACCCCCATTGTAGGTTTTTGTAGCCACCCACCCTCACCACCACACCAGCCATAAACCCCAGTTTCGAAGCTTGTGCCCCACCTCCACTTTCTTGGCGAGTGTGAATATTTGTCGATGACCCGTGGTCGTGAATGGTACCGTACGGCGCATAACCGGCTGTGCTCCGCCACAGAAATTCACAAGCCTGGGGCTGGTGTGTCGTGGCAAATTGGCGCTCTGGCTGGAGCAGTCGACAAATGCCTGCCTCTACTCCAGCAGCCTTCGCTGTTAGGCTCAGATCCAAAGCGGTGGCTCGGGCTCGGACAGGTCGATTTGGCACGGCACAAGACACCAAGCTACGCAGCAGGCCTCTTGCTAACAGGGTAATTATCCTTAATGTCGAGAAATTAAGAGTAAACATCATATCGATTCCGTTTTTTTTTAAACGGTTCCTATATTTCCCTAATCTGTCCACCTTACGAAAACGATTTTGCGCGATTCCTTAGCCTAATGAGTAACCTATTTTTCAATCCATACGGGCAATACGATCTGTAGGGGGTAGCGAGCCCCACGCATCCCCCACCCCTTTATTTATTGCTAGCCGAATTTGTAGCGGCCGATTCCTTTGGGAACGGGTTTTATGGGGGGATTCCGTCTGTTAACGGGTTATCCAGAGGCGATTCCGTCCACTTCCGGAATACCCTGGGGCTTAGCGAGAGGCCTAGTACGCAGAACTTGCGCAAACCCTACGACACGCTGCAACTGGCTTGAAACAGTTCGAAAGGGGACAAAATATACTTCTGAACTACAGGTCGGATGGGACGTGGCACGAGGAAGGCGACATCTCGTGCCCTGTCAGAACAGACGCCATTGGAAAGGGTAAGGTCCATGTTTTGAAAACAAACAAGGATGGACGGTGGCACGAGGTGTGCTCATCACAACATGGCATACGTCCAATATGAGGCGAAATCATTACAGATGAGCACAAAGGCTCGGTTCAGGGTCAGCTACTTCGTCTATCCTACAAAAGTTCAGATTTGCTGTTTGGTAGCAATGCTGACACCTAATGTAAGGAATTAGTAATCCCTTACTGAGGCTTGCTACAGGGCGTACGAATCGAACAGTCCCGAACCAGCAATAGTGTTCCAGACCTTTCAGTTTGAGCCTCCTGGGCCTTTCCGGACCTCGCTTCGACAAATCGAGGCCCTTCGACACCTTTCCCGAACGTTCCGATCCTATGTCCAGGATTGCCCTAGGTTTCCTATATATATTGTGTTGTCTTTCATTTTATTGTCATTCATTCGTTCACAGTTTCGCCATTGCCCTCCGCGCTATTCGGTAGTTCCATTCATAACACTTGGTATTCAGAGCCACTTTCCTCACCCGTTGGGCTTCCGCGGGCAGAATATTTTTTTGGGGGGAGGGGTGGGGGGGGGGGGGGGGGGAGGGGGGAGAGGGCGGATGGCGCTACAGAAGGCACGACGGTTAATCTGAAGATATGATATGGTTCAACTACTTCGTTTGCGTGGGCTTCTGAAGACCGTCGATCCGACCGCAAGGGACGAGCAAGATTTGTTCGGCCATCCCCTCGAGGGCGGTTGTGTCCGTCCTGACATGGCGAAAATTTTGAATAGTGTTCCTGGTACGCTGTTTATTTCGCATATCGTTAAAGGAGTTGCAATTGCAGTTTCAGAATTTTCGGCAAGCAGCAACGTCGATTCGGATTGGTGTCCGAAATGGAGCGAGGAGCTCGTCACGAGACGACAAGCTCGCAGATATCCCAAGGCGAAGGTGATTTCGTCGGGAGCGCGTGTAGCAGACGTGGCCGCATGGTGAAGTGTAGCTGACGTCAGAAGGCTCGGCGTTTCCGGCAGGCGACACGCAGGTGATGACGGGACTTCGAACCTGTTCACGGACATGTAGTTGGAGATTTCGGCACGACCGAGATCGCACGTGCAATAAGTGGGGCCCAGGCACGGAGCAATCGGAGGGCGGCAAACCTCGGATTTTCGCATGTCCTGCCCGCCTGGAGGAGCAATTTCGTATGCCCTAGAGCTACTGTACGAAGCTCGGCGAGAGCCGTTTCCCCGTAAGGAAATTGTTTTCGTGGTCAGAAAATTACACTCCATGGTCAACTGAGGAAGACGAAGACATACCCCCGGGGTATTTACTTCAGTGTCTCCACGGGATCACCGTAAAGGACCAACGGCAAAGAAATGAAGCAGTGGAAGAAGAACGACAGTGAACCGCTGGATAAGAGTCAGCGACAGACGTATCCCCTGACTGACTTGGCTGGGTCACCCCATTTTCAGTATCTCTACCGGGTGGTAGTAAGATACATGCTATCGACCGCTCCCGGACGAATAAAGGAGGATGGGCTTGCCGATCACCCTGCGCTAGTGGATCGAAATGTTTTCGGCGCTACACGACAGGCGAACGATTTTTGAAAATCGGATGATGTACAGTGGGAGGCGCATGAAGCAGGTTAACGAAAATAGCGAAGGAATTTTGCGACGGCGATCAGACAGTACGCGGAGCTCCAGTCCAATATGAACGACGAGGATTTGTCGCGGAACGTGCGCGCTACTGTTTTGAGAACGACGAACATGGGCGCTGGGTGAACAGCGGCCTACGGGGGTTTTATCGTGGAAGCGGCAGTTGAAGAAATATTGCAGCTGTTTGGAGCAGATTGTTGCAGCGACGATTTTTTCAGGGAGGGGAACGAGAATCCCTCACGTAAGCTGCAAAGCGGTTGCCCGCGAATTAGAATGATTAATTCGCCCAACTACGATAGCGTTTGCGTTTACCTGAGTACGAGCACACTGAGGATTCACCCATGCTCTGGAATGTATTAATCAAATGGAGCTTCGGGAAGACAAGGGTTACTGTTGCAGTGGGAGAAATGTGTTGCTGTCACGAAAAATTTGGAGTCACGCGGGAGTCTTCAGGAAATATTCATGAGTTGCTGGGCTATAATCGAAGATTCGGCTACGAGGAATCATTCGTGGATTTACCTGGACGGGCGAAATGATGGGTGAACGTCGGCGCGTCGCTAAACGTCGGGTATTTTCCGGGTGGGAATTCTTCAAGTTTTTGGCTGGAGCGGTAGCTGGGGTCACGGGTACCTACCGAGCTGTGCGATGGTTTAAATACCAGTATGGTTAGTTGGTGAAACTGCAGAAAATGCGCTTCTCGTAGCTGAGAACTGTGCCCGAGTTTTTCTGGGGTACCTACCGTAGCCGCGCGATGGGTAAACGTCTGCACGGCGAACCGGTCAGGTGGAGTTGCGAAATTTTCTATAGAGGGTAACAACACGAAGCAGATCGACGACAGTTGAGAAGCTGAATATTTATCTACGGCGTCAGATGGAGCTAGGATCTAAGTGGCACAGCTAACATGCGTTATAGGGTCATGCTGAGACAGGTCCCGACGAGCAGAGTTTGAAGTTACTTCAATTTTCGGGTCAAGGGAAACTTGAAGCAGGCTATTTTTGGCATCGACGACAGAAGATTCTTTTCATGGCGGGAGAGAGAGAGCAGCTGCCCAGCAGTTGTTTTTTTGGATTTTCCTTCGACAATTGGCATCCGCTGCATGAGCATCGACAAACAGATGCTGTTCGATCGACTGAATCGACGGACAGATTCGAGTTGGCCTTTCCGGAATTTCGCAGGTATTTGCGAAAGTTGAAGGCGTGTCTACATTAGCCACCTGAGGCGATATCGACTACGTTTACTGGACTGATTGAACTGTCGTCCATCGGCTGATGGAATTCGCTTACTTTCGTGAAACATGGACGCGTGTTCTCGCATGTGTCACGAATGACCTTGCATTTGACGAATAGCTGGATTTCGTTGACTTTGCGAAATACGGGCGCGTGTTTCTGCGAGTGTGACGACTCATGTGGAATTAAAACAAGGAGCCATCTACAGTCGTGGAGCTACGAACAAGTTTGGCGCATGCAGCAGATCCGGCTCGCCAACTTGTTGCAGCGTGAATAACGTAGTGTTACTGTGCAGATACAGTACACGACGACGGGGTTTGTAAGGGCAGGGTTATACCGCATGTCAGACGGTTGGTACAGCCCTACTTGACACCTGGAAGCACATACCGCCCTGGTGTCAGGGTAGTTCAAAGCACGCGGCAATATTTCCCGCTATCAGAAACTGGTAAACAAAGCGTCTACACGTCAATTTCAGCGTCGCATGTATTCACAGTCCAACTACCGCGAAACAAGCCGAGCCAGTACGCATTCACAGTGGCAGTCGCTTGTATCGCACACGAC